TTTGATTTTTAAAATTAAAATTTTTTGGCCGGAAATTTCTGCCTGAAAAATTCACTAAAATTTTCAAAAAATCATATCTCACCTAAAGTATTCCTTTTTTAAAGATTTTAAAATCTTTTCAGGTGCAGAAAAATCTGCTTTATCCAGGAAAAATTACTTCGGTCCGAACCGCCGGCAAAAATCCCGAAAAAATTTCGAAAAACCGAAAAATTTTGGGTTTTTCGAAATTAGACCCCTACACCTCCAATTTCGAATTTTTTCGAAATTTTTTGGGCTCAAAAAATTTCTAATTTTTTACTCTATTTTATAAATCAAACCCCATTCCATTCCGGAAATCCAATAAAAAGTTATTCCAAATTTAAAAATCCCTCATATCCCACAAAAGGGGTACCCCTTTTGAAAAATTCGAGGGGTCAAAAATTTTCAAATTTTGACCCAAAAATATCCTATATGGTACTCTTACACCCGCTGAATCCAAATCAGGTGTCAGAAAAATTTTTAAAAAATTTGCAAAAAAGTTATAGCCCAAAAAAGTTTCGCGACATTTGCGAACATTGGCCATAACTTTTTGAGACTCAACCGGACCCCCGACATATTATACCTTTTTGGGACCGCCAGGGGACGCTCTATAACATAGGATATCAAAAAAACCTGAAACGACAAATTTTGACAATTGGAGCCATCCTTCCCTATTTTACATCGGGCCATTTTGAACGGGGTTGGGACAAAATTTTCGAACTTTGACCCAAAAAATATCCTATATGGTACTCTGGCATGCGCTGAATCCATTTCCGGTCTCAGAAAAATTTTAAAAAATTTCGCAACAAAGTTATAGCCAAAAAAAGTTTCGCGACATTTGCGAACATTGGCCATAACTTTTTCAGACTCAAATGGACCCCCAACATATTATACCTTTTTCGGACCGTCAGGGGACGCTCTATAACATAGGATATCGAAATCAAGTTTCAATTCACTTTTCGCGATTGGAGCCACCCTTCCCAATTTTACATGCCCGAATTTTGAACCTTTAAATTACTGTAACTCGGTCCAAAGTGGTCCGAAAAATTTGAACTAAAATTCCCCGAACTCAGCTCACTGAGAGCTTTCATTTGAGCTATTACACGTGAATTGTCGATGAGTTTCGAAAATTTCGACTTTACCGACAGGGGGGGATTTTCACCGAAATCCGGATTTTTGCGCACCAATAAGTCCCTTCAAATTGTAATTTCGACTTCGAATTTTTTGCATTTGACATCTCCATTAAATGCTTCAGTGCCCTCCCAGCGGAACTTTTTCGATAACTCCACTCATAAAAAAGATAGCCCCGGTACCTATAAAATTTAGGTACCAGGGGGGTTCCTCTGAAACTTCGACATAATTTTCCTAGATGCGCCATAAAAAGTTGTAGGACTAATGTACAACTCAAAAAAATTCATTAGCAAACCTTAATCAGATCTGAGTTTTTAAACCACTTTCCCGGCAAAATGATTGGCGTCCACCCCAGAAAAAACCAATACTTTTATAGGAATATATTAAATAATTATTTTAATTTCTTTACTAACCAAAAATTAAAAAATATTTAAAGATATATTCACAAAAAATATTCCGTAAATTAACTTTACCTCAAAGTTGCCGAATTCGACGTTAAACTTTCAACACGAAACTTGAAATTAAAAATAATATTATTTAATTTAATTAATTTATTTTACATTTTCTGGAGGATCGGGAACTTGATTTTCTACAAAATTAAAATTTCAAAAATAAAATATATTTAATTAAAAACCTGTTGGGCCTAAATTCTTTTTATCAATTAATTCTAATGTTGTTATTATTTTAAACAAAAATATAATTAAAATTATAGGAGAGGGCCAAATAATGATAATTTTGTGGTTGCTAACCACAAATAACATTATTAGTATTTTGTTTTCATTTTAGCTTTCCTTTTTTGTTTTAAAAATAATTTAAATATAATAGTTAATATTTACAATTATTTAGAAGGGTTAATAATATTTGATAAATGCCTCATTATGTAAGCTAACCCTAAATTGATTTCCCAATCGTTCCTGGATTTCTTCAAAAATTTTTTCCAAAAAAATAATCAACAAATTCTTTAAATATTTTTTATCAAGTTATTAATATTCACAACTTTCAAGTGTTTTTCCTTAGATTAAAAAATTTTTGACCAAGCAGTGAGAGGTGGAAATTAAAGTTTGTAAATATATATAAATTATATTTTTAAAAATTTTTCTTTTCAAAATTTCTCAGTCTAGGCAACAAATAAATTAGTTTATTTTGAAGGAAAAAAAGAAAAGTTTTTAAAAGTAAAAGAGAAGAAGATATTTGGCCCTCAACAAAATTTGATTGAATTTGCATAATTTGTGTGACCATTACTTTTTTGTGATGGGGTTTGACGGGAAGTTAATAACGAAATTTGCAATTTAAAAAAAAGAGAGAGGGGAAATTTAACAGAATTTTATATTAAAAATAAATAAATTTTACCAGAAAATGTTCTAAAATGAGAAAAAAAAATAATTGGAATATTTTTTTGAAAAATAAAAATTTTAAAATATAGAGGAGGTGATATTTAAAAGAAAAAAATGTCAAAATTTGTGCTTCTCCTAAGGGTGAGGAACTTTTAAGAAATGGAGGAGTTCTCTTCCCGTACAAATAAAAACTTTAATTTGAACAAATAAATTCAAAAAATAACAAAAAGCCTAATCCTCTTTTTTAAAAAAAAGGCGAATAATAATAACAGCTGTCGGCACCGCGCAACAAAATGAGAGGGGAAAAAGGAGAAAAAGCAACGACCCGAATAAATAAATTAATAAATGGCACAAAGAATGTACACAAATTTGTTTGTTTGATAATCCAAGTGGAAAAACCGGTAATCTTTTTAATTTTTATTTTTGGCAGAACAGAATTATGGCCACTAATTTATTGGCTTATTTTGAAAATAAAAATTTTTAATGGAAAGAAAATATACAACAATTCACAGAAATTATTTTTATATTTTCTAAATTTTATGTTTCTAAACAAAATTTATATCTGAAATATTCAAAATAAAAAATATTGTGACAGTTTATATATGTATTCCCTTAATCTCACTTGATGTTAAGCCAAAGTGGAAGAGTTTAATTGAAGGAGGGGACTAAAAAAACAAATTGAAATCCCCCTCCCCCCTTTATTTCAGTTCCTGATTGGTTTTTGTATCAATTGTTGGGCCAATCTGGAAAAGTTCGTAATAAGACAATAAATATATACAAAAAGGATGTGTTTGTTTTGCACTAAAAATAGAATGGGGAAAGAAAGGTTTGTAAAAAGACAGAATATTCATTCCATAAGGTCCGGTAATCAAAATAGCCTTCCTTACACACATTCCTCACATTAATATTTGCTGAGAAATGATTTAAAGCAATTCTTAATAGTTTTTATTTTGTTTGTATCTAATAAAATATTTTTATTTTATAAAATTTTTTGATATCAAAAAAAATTTTAAAAATATATAATTAGAAAATTCATTGAGAAATTAAAAAAGACACAGTTAGTAGTTTGCATTCTCTATTAAGCTCTGGAAAATAACCGGCTAACTGAAATTGAGATCCGAACCGAAAACTGTCCGGCTTTTTGGTTCTAAATAAACCGCCAACCCTACTTCGTAATCCCGCTCCTTTATTTTACAAACATCCTGTCTGAAGCGAAAATCTAACCTCAAAAGATCTAATCTCGACTCAGTTTCGAGGAGCCCTTGCGAAAGATCTATTAAGTAATTTAAATATATTAACATAAATTAACTTTTTTTGAAAAATTTATTTTGTCGAAATAAAAATAAAACTTTTTTTCTAAAAATTACTGAAATCGTTGCACAAAAAGAAGATTTGAAAAAGAAAATTATTTACAACAGATTTTCAGAGAAAAGTTCAAAAATTCAAAAAAATTTCGAATAAAATTTTAATTTTTTGATTAAAATTGAGGGATTTGCACACTTTAAAAGTCAAAATATAAGCAAAATAATTAAAGCTTTCAAATGGGTAATTTTGCCAATTTTTTCTAAAATTATTGACTATTTTAACGAATATTTTTGAAAGCCTTAAATAAAATTATAAGGAAAGGATAACAGAAGATAGACGCGTCTCGTTAAGCCAATCTTGAGCCGAACGATGTTTATTTCAGAAAAATCGGATACCCAAAAATAAGTTTTACTCTAAAAACCGGGCTCTATTTATCACACATTTAGGTACACTCTATCAATTGAGCTTACTACTTTGCTTTTTTTATTTTAAATGCTAGCCAAGGGAGTAGCCCTTGATACATTATGACGCGATATATTCAGAACATATCCATCAGAATATCATTCGACTAGGTATTGGTATTGGCAGTTCTGCCAATTCTAGGTATTGGCAGAACCGGGACTATCGTCACGATCTTAATGGCTCGGAACACGCTGCATGCTGAACAGCGCCTGAACTTGTACGAGTTGGTCACAGAGTTGCGCCGTCATCGGGTAGGGAGTGTGCAGACTCTGGAGCAGTACTTGTATATCTATGCCGTCATTCTCCGGTAAGAGATAATAAGGCCCTATCAGTTTCTTAAAAATTAAAATTTTCTTTACAGATGCGCGTGGCCCAAAGCACGAAGGAACAATGAGGACGTGGAGGCAATTGACAACCTGGTACGAGCGATATCGGGGCGGATATATCGAGGCATATAATAGCCGAAGAGGCGCTAGGACAGTAGGACATAGATATTTTGTTGTGATATCTCATATTGATATGTGTATAGACTAATTAATTGATGTATTTTGTCTCTGTATTTGTTTTTCCCCTCATAATTGAATAATGTGAATAAATATTTTAAGTTCTTTTTTGTTTTTGCCATAGGATCGGAATAAACACTTTATTTTGTGTTGGAAAATAGGTAAAAGGTTAACAGATGGAAAGTTGAAATGATGATTCGTGAGGTCTTGTATCACCTAGCTTGGTTTGTCGAATCAATTTGAATTGAGCAGGTTTTCGACGTGCTCTTTGGAATCCTATTTGATTTAATGTCGAGTTTAAAAAAAAGACTAAAAATTGTCAGATTTCTTAAGTCTATTCAACAAAAATTTAACCAAATCCCCCTTAAAATTTCAAAATTTACCCGCAAAAATCTTCTTCAACTTCTTCCCCAATTATTTTTCCTCCTCCACTTTTCCAACGATTTTTATTTATTTTCTCTTCACTTTTTCTTAATAAAGGTAATTTTTCACTCCATTGGCTCATAGAACCGTTAGAAGAAATTAATTTAACTTTAGCTAAATATTTATTTGAATTAATTAATTTAATTCCAGTTAATAATGCTGGGGGATGTTCGACATTTATTTTATGTAATTCTTTTATTCGTCCATCTTTTAATATTCCAGAATCTTTCCAATACCTTTTTTTAAAAATATTTTTTTCTAAACATTGTTAAAAATATTTTAAAAATCAGAAAATTATTTTTTAATATTTATTTGAAAGGCCGTCCATAATATGATCGAAGTAATTCAACCAAACCCTTATGTATTAGGGTTTCAATGGAAGTTCCGGTTCCGGAAAGTTCTGACGTTTTTTGGTTCCAATTCCGGGATCTGGAACTCAAATTGGATCCGGTTCCGGCCAAAATTTCGGTTCCAGTGAAACTCTACTATGTATGTAGAAATAAAAGAATACTTCCCCCACCCCCTTCCTGCTTATCCAAAAAATAATTTAAGTAATTTAAATTTACTTTTTTTAACAAAAAAAACTTACTGAACAATATAATAAATAAAATTCTTCTTTTTATTATTTTCATTAATTAATTCTTCTGGTTCATCCCAATATAACAAAAATTCATCAACATTTCCAGTTTTTTCAACTTTTAATCCAGAAGGTTTAGGTAATAATAAATTATTCAAATATTTATTATTATTTTCTTCTTCCAAAACTTCGTCTTTAGCTTGTTGGAAATTATTTAAAGGTGTTTTAATTAATAAAAGTAAACGAGAAGAATCTTCTCCATAAGCTTCATTATATGCAGTTAAGGAGAGAACATAACTTGTATTTGGCTCTTTTGAGGAAAAAATGTTATTAAAATTTGTATTAAGGAAAGTTTATATTGGACTGACCTCTGATTGAGAGTCAACGAGGAGCACCAAAAATAAAAGTAAACTGTTTTTCTATTTAGATAACCAAAATGGAAACTAATACTAAATATGGTTTCTGATTTTAAACAAAAACTGAAAATTTAAAAACCAAAGAGTTAAAACGGGATTGAAAGGTTGCCCTAACCAATTAAACTAAATTTCAACGAAGACACCCCCAAACATACTTAACATATTCAATGTATATTCAACGTTTTCTGCTCCTTCTAAAACAACTTTTCTCGTGTCAGTAGAACCTGTCCCATAAGAAAGTGTATAGCCACGAACGAGAATATTGTCTATAGAAGGCGGGGGATCCCATCTAAAAATTAAAAAAATAATTTTAAATTTTATTTTTAAACCCCTATAAATCTCTCGGAAAAAATATTCTCTATTAATAATTATTTTAATTTCTTTACTAACCAAAAATTAAAAAATATTTAAAGATATATTCACAAAAAATATTCCGTAAATTAACTTTACCTCAAAGTTGCCGAATTCGACGTTAAACTTTCAACACGAAACTTGAAATTAAAAATAATATTATTTAATTTAATTAATTTATTTTACATTTTCTGGAGGATCGGGAACTTGATTTTCTACAAAATTAAAATTTCAAAAATAAAATATATTTAATTAAAAACCTGTTGGGCCTAAATTCTTTTTATCAATTAATTCTAATGTTGTTATTATTTTAAACAAAAATATAATTAAAATTATAGGAGAGGGCCAAATAATGATAATTTTGTGGTTGCTAACCACAAATAACATTATTAGTATTTTGTTTTCATTTTAGCTTTCCTTTTTTGTTTTAAAAATAATTTAAATATAATAGTTAATATTTACAATTATTTAGAAGGGTTAATAATATTTGATAAATGCCTCATTATGTAAGCTAACCCTAAATTGATTTCCCAATCGTTCCTGGATTTCTTCAAAAATTTTTTCCAAAAAAATAATCAACAAATTCTTTAAATATTTTTTATCAAGTTATTAATATTCACAACTTTCAAGTGTTTTTCCTTAGATTAAAAAATTTTTGACCAAGCAGTGAGAGGTGGAAATTAAAGTTTGTAAATATATATAAATTATATTTTTAAAAATTTTTCTTTTCAAAATTTCTCAGTCTAGGCAACAAATAAATTAGTTTATTTTGAAGGAAAAAAAGAAAAGTTTTTAAAAGTAAAAGAGAAGAAGATATTTGGCCCTCAACAAAATTTGATTGAATTTGCATAATTTGTGTGACCATTACTTTTTTGTGATGGGGTTTGACGGGAAGTTAATAACGAAATTTGCAATTTAAAAAAAAGAGAGAGGGGAAATTTAACAGAATTTTATATTAAAAATAAATAAATTTTACCAGAAAATGTTCTAAAATGAGAAAAAAAAATAATTGGAATATTTTTTTGAAAAATAAAAATTTTAAAATATAGAGGAGGTGATATTTAAAAGAAAAAAATGTCAAAATTTGTGCTTCTCCTAAGGGTGAGGAACTTTTAAGAAATGGAGGAGTTCTCTTCCCGTACAAATAAAAACTTTAATTTGAACAAATAAATTCAAAAAATAACAAAAAGCCTAATCCTCTTTTTTAAAAAAAAGGCGAATAATAATAACAGCTGTCGGCACCGCGCAACAAAATGAGAGGGGAAAAAGGAGAAAAAGCAACGACCCGAATAAATAAATTAATAAATGGCACAAAGAATGTACACAAATTTGTTTGTTTGATAATCCAAGTGGAAAAACCGGTAATCTTTTTAATTTTTATTTTTGGCAGAACAGAATTATGGCCACTAATTTATTGGCTTATTTTGAAAATAAAAATTTTTAATGGAAAGAAAATATACAACAATTCACAGAAATTATTTTTATATTTTCTAAATTTTATGTTTCTAAACAAAATTTATATCTGAAATATTCAAAATAAAAAATATTGTGACAGTTTATATATGTATTCCCTTAATCTCACTTGATGTTAAGCCAAAGTGGAAGAGTTTAATTGAAGGAGGGGACTAAAAAAACAAATTGAAATCCCCCTCCCCCCTTTATTTCAGTTCCTGATTGGTTTTTGTATCAATTGTTGGGCCAATCTGGAAAAGTTCGTAATAAGACAATAAATATATACAAAAAGGATGTGTTTGTTTTGCACTAAAAATAGAATGGGGAAAGAAAGGTTTGTAAAAAGACAGAATATTCATTCCATAAGGTCCGGTAATCAAAATAGCCTTCCTTACACACATTCCTCACATTAATATTTGCTGAGAAATGATTTAAAGCAATTCTTAATAGTTTTTATTTTGTTTGTATCTAATAAAATATTTTTATTTTATAAAATTTTTTGATATCAAAAAAAATTTTAAAAATATATAATTAGAAAATTCATTGAGAAATTAAAAAAGACACAGTTAGTAGTTTGCATTCTCTATTAAGCTCTGGAAAATAACCGGCTAACTGAAATTGAGATCCGAACCGAAAACTGTCCGGCTTTTTGGTTCTAAATAAACCGCCAACCCTACTTCGTAATCCCGCTCCTTTATTTTACAAACATCCTGTCTGAAGCGAAAATCTAACCTCAAAAGATCTAATCTCGACTCAGTTTCGAGGAGCCCTTGCGAAAGATCTATTAAGTAATTTAAATATATTAACATAAATTAACTTTTTTTGAAAAATTTATTTTGTCGAAATAAAAATAAAACTTTTTTTCTAAAAATTACTGAAATCGTTGCACAAAAAGAAGATTTGAAAAAGAAAATTATTTACAACAGATTTTCAGAGAAAAGTTCAAAAATTCAAAAAAATTTCGAATAAAATTTTAATTTTTTGATTAAAATTGAGGGATTTGCACACTTTAAAAGTCAAAATATAAGCAAAATAATTAAAGCTTTCAAATGGGTAATTTTGCCAATTTTTTCTAAAATTATTGACTATTTTAACGAATATTTTTGAAAGCCTTAAATAAAATTATAAGGAAAGGATAACAGAAGATAGACGCGTCTCGTTAAGCCAATCTTGAGCCGAACGATGTTTATTTCAGAAAAATCGGATACCCAAAAATAAGTTTTACTCTAAAAACCGGGCTCTATTTATCACACATTTAGGTACACTCTATCAATTGAGCTTACTACTTTGCTTTTTTTATTTTAAATGCTAGCCAAGGGAGTAGCCCTTGATACATTATGACGCGATATATTCAGAACATATCCATCAGAATATCATTCGACTAGCTCGGCGAGCCGCGTTAGACAAAATCGAAACTAATAGGGGCTGTGGCATAAAAAACAAGTTAATTTTGACAATTTTATATTTAGAACGAGGCAGCTTATTTAAAAAAAACTGGAAACGGAAGTTATAGAATTTTAATTCACAGTTCTCGTGGTTGTTTGTTACAATAAAAAATAATTTTGCTCGATTTTTTTCAAATCGAATTTAAAACAAAAAGTCATTGGGTCATTGGGTAAAGAAAGATAAAGAAATATTTAAGTTTAAATAAATATTTTGATGGATTTTATATATCAAAATTATATTTTTAAAAATTGCAAAAATATTTAGTTGGTGTTGATAAATTTCAATATCCAAGGGTTTATCAAGAGGATAAGGGGTAACATTCAATTATGCTTCCCGAATCTACCTCTGTATTCACCCTTGACAAGAACTTTCCAAAAAAAAAATAATTTTTCTTCAAAAAAATAAAATTAAGATAAAATTACCCAAAAAATACTTCTCTCTTCTCTCAAATACTTTCTTCATTAATTCCTTTTCCTTTAATCAATCCTTGTTCTGCAGAATGTATTCCATTTAAACGAATTCCATTTTCCTCTGAATTTTTTATTTTTCTTATTTCTTCTGCTTTTTCAGTTTCTTGTCCTTGATTTTCGTGAAAACGTTTGTCCATATCCTTCAAAATAAAATTATTTTTAATTAAAAAAATTTTCTTGTTGAAAACAAAAATATCAAAAATCCAATTTTCTATTTACATTAACAATCCAAATCAGGCCCTACCTAATAGGGCAACTGTGTATTTTTTTAATTAAAATTGCAGGTGGGGTTACATAAAAATTTCCGACTGTGGACAGCCCTTCTACCAAAATATTCAGTTAGATACAATAAAATTTGAAAAATCCTAACCCGTTTCTGTACCCAAGTATAAGCAGCAGAACCAATCAAAACAACCAAATTAGATAACCACCACAAAATTGGTTTAACTTCTCTCCACCAACCAACAGCTATAACTGTTTGTGCTGCTGCTTTAGCTGTTCCGCTAATATTGTGTGTTAAAGCTGAAGTTGCTTGGATTTGCCAACCTAAAAGAAATTTATTTAAAAAATTTGAAGAAAAATTTTGAATAAATAAGTCGTCAGGTTATTTAACATGAAAGAAATTTACAAAATTTAGACAATATTTCGAAAAATTTAACAAATATTTATCTAATGTGAAACCGCCTAAAAATAATTTTTTGACTATTCTACCAGAAATTTTGAGGAAAAGTAAAAAGGCTAGACTAATTACTTTTTATTAATGAAAAAGTATTCCCTATTTGTACTTATTAAAATACAGACAAAATTTAAAAAAATATTTTAAATAAAAACCTGTAACATATCCCATAATAAATCCAAAAAATCCACTTAAAGTCATCAACAACCAAAATGTCGGGGCAACAATATTTGGCGAATAAGGGATTGTCCCCAATTCTCCAGTAAAAAGCATTAAAGGCAAAAACAACAAAACAGCATTTAAATTATTATACATAGTCATTCTCCATATTGAATCTCCAACCATAGGGAGAGTTTTCTTTGTAAAAATAGCATTTAAAGCAACACATAGAGAAGCCAAAACTCCAAAAATTACACCAATAACAGACAAAGTACCTATAAAAATTATCTAAATTTTTTTATTTTTATAGCTATAATTAATTTAATCAAATTAGAAACAGATAACTCTCGAAAAAAAATACAAAAATATGGGTATATTCAGGCTAAAAATTAACTAATATTGAGAAATTCCATCAAAAAATAAAAGAAATCCCAAAATAAAAATAAACAAACCAGCAACATCTTCCTGATCGACACCCAGGAAAAACCCCGCAACAATAGTTAAACAACATAGAAGCGCATTTCTTGATGTTTTTTGTCCCAAAATTAAATAAGAACAAATCTAAAAAGAATTAAAAATTTTGCTTATTATAAAAGGAAATTTTATGAGAAAGAGTAAATAAGCATCAGTGGTTAAGTGGTATAATTGCCGCCTCCCAAGCGGTAGTCCCGGGTTCGATTCCCGGCTGATGCAAAGGAATTTTTTGACTATTTTAAAGTTAATTTTTAAAAAAATTCTTGAGGTTAATAAATTTAAAATTTTTTAAAAAATTTTTTCTCTAAAAAATAATTAAATACATACCACATTGAAGACTGTAGTTAAAGAACGTCCCACATAATAAAAAGACACCCCAACATATTTAAGGCACAAATTGTTAAAAGTAATCATAGCAACGAAGACTAGAGAAAGAGGTAAAACCTAAAAAATAATTTAAAAAAATATATTAATTAAAAATACCGCTTTACAAAGTTTTAAATCAACAGCCATTCTCGGAAAAGTAATTAATCTTGGAAAAGTTTGAGAAAGTAAATCTGCTGTGAAACAAAGAATTAAAGAGACGAGGCATTGATACCAAGTAATAAATAAAGGGGCGTCCAACTTGAAAAAAAAAATATGTAAAAATTTTAAGAGAATGTTTTTATAATTTCTAAAAAAATACGAGGGACGGTTAAGAAAAAATAAAACTTGTGAGGAAAATGACCCCAAGACATTTTATCCCATATAAAAAATTAAATTAAATTTAAAGAAACCTCAATATCTGGACTACTTAACAAATGTTTATTAATAAAAACTAAGCCAATTGAGCAAATCCAATAAGAACTGACTGCTGCAAAAATATTTACATATTGCTGTGCAAGTGTTTTTTCTTGTCGATTTTGTATCATTTTTTTAAATAAAAAATATTTTGAAAAATAATTTGGCCTGAAAATTAAATAAAAAATTTTTTAAGAATAAAAAATAATTATTTAAAAATTAAAAAAAAAGGAAAATGACAACAAAAAATATTTCCATAATTTTTTTGGGTTCGCAGTGTAATCAAAAATAACTTTTTGCAAAAAAATTTTGAAGAACCCTTTAAATATAAATTTTTTTTGCTAGATTGATTTAAATTAAAAAATAAAAATATTTTTAATAAAAAAAAAGTAAAAATATAGCCGCAATCGAATTTGTTTATTTAGAAAATAAAAATGTTTTACACGTGGATATTTTGTTAACACATTTCACATGATTAACACAGAAAAGAAAAATATTGAAAAAAATAATCCAACTCTGAATTTTTAATTTTAATATTTAATTTCAAGGTGGGCTTTTTTGAATTTAATTTTTGAGGGAATTGAGAGAGTATAAAGAATAGAATAAAATACAATGATCAAAAGATTTTAATTATCAAGTCCAATCAGAAATTGCTTGCAAACAAATTTCAAGACAGCAAGGCAAAATTTAAAAAGTTTTTCAGTAAAAAGAAAGAAAGACAAATAAGCGTGTCATCTCATTTCAATATTATTTTCTTCAGCAAGATGCTTTCATTTAATTTTAGTGTAAGATGAATGGAAATGAAGAAATGTTCATGGAATCATGAAGGGAAAATTTAAAAAATCCATGAGAAAAAATTGAAAACGTCACAAAATATTTCTGAATTATTATGGAATAAAGAGAGATTTAAAAAATATTAATGAATTAAAAAAGATTGCTATTAAGTAATTATTTAGTAAAAAAGTACTAAAAAAGTTCTTGTTCTCCGGTTCGGAAACAAGATTTTTTGAATAAAATTGATAAAATCATCGTCTGAAAGCATCAACGATTATTTTTTATAAATTAAGAGGGAATATTTCGTGAATTTATTTTTTAGAGAGAGAGAAAGAAAAAATTATTTTTTGTGAATATTTACGACTTGAGAGTAATAAAAAATTCAAAAAAAAATTTTTTTTGAAAGTAATAAAGTCATAAAATTGGAATAATAAATACTTGTTAGGTATTTAAATAAGAACACCAAAATCTAAAAATATTGGAAAAATAAATAATCGTTAAGTACATAAAAATTAAAAAATAAAATTATCAGCAAAGAAATAGAATTTTTTGGATTGATAAATAAACCTAAAAATTGTATATAATTCAGCAATTTATCGACTACTAGGTAGTACTTTTCTGCTCGCCTCGAAAAACGGATAGATAAAAAATTCAACGGAAAAATTCAAGGCTAAAACTTCCAGTAAAGTTAATTTTAGTCTACAGAAGTACTGAAGACAAAAATGAAATTTACTGGAAGTTTTTGAATTTTTTATTTAACCGTTTTTCGAAGCAAAAAATTAAAAGTTTCCTTAAAATATTTAAATTTAACAGTATTTTTTTAAAGAATATTTAACAACAAAAAACACAATATATTCAAATTTTACTATTTTTGTAACATTTAATCTCATCGTCTCTCACTAGATGAACCTCCTAAACTTGATAACGAAGGAACACCACCCCCACTCCCCGACATTTGTTGGTTACAGAGTGCTTGAGATAAATGAAGTTTTGTCATATTCTCGTTTGCTGCCTTTAAATATTGTAAAATTAAAATATTATTTTAGGCACCAACAACAATTATTTGACTAACACAAAAATACCCTTTAAAATTATAAAGTCAAATAGGTAGAGGTAGGGGGTGGGGGTCAAATAGAGGTGGGGCAAATATTAAATAAGTACCGGGAATTATTCTAAATATTCTATATTTTTGTAAAACCTATAGCTCGTTATCGACTAAAAAATTCCTATTTCTACCCAAATACGTAGTAATAATAAAATTAAAATTTATTTAAAATTTACCGCAATTTGAAAACTAGCATAAGCATTAGCGTCAAGAGCTCCAAGAAATAGATCAAGCATTCCATTTTTTGTCTGCATTTGTGGTTGTTTAATTTGTTTTTTAATTTCCTCAATAGAAATTGGAGGTTCCCCACGAGCTAAACGCGCCTCATTTTCTACAGCCTTAAAAAAAATTAATAATAAAAAAATAAAAGAAATTAAAAGAAACCCTTTTTTGCATCATACTGGCATAAATAGCATCATATTTTTGTTTTTCAGTCTAAAATAAAAAAAAATAAACAGGAAAGAAATTAGGTTTTAATAAAAAATTTTTTATATTATTTCAGACAAAAACTTTTGCGGAATAATTTTGAGAAATTAATTCAAAAAATAATTTAATCAAAAAACCAACCATATATCTCCCGTAAGCATTAACAGCTTTGTTTAATTCATCCACAGTGCCCATAGAAGCTTTAACTGATCTTTAAAAATAAATTCAAAAATTAAAAAAAATATTTAAAGAGAAAACCTTTCTAAAGCTCTTTTAGTTCCAAGTTCCAAAACAACAGTATTTGTCTTTTTTCCACGAGAAAAAAGTGCCAATTCAGCTAGAAGTACATTAATTAAGTGACTGTTCTTTACAACAATTGGAAGTTCTTCGAAAAAATTTGAGAAATTTAGGCCAGTTTGTTTTGTACTAAAAAAATTAAATATTTGAAGGTAATTTTGGAAATTGGGAAGAATTAAAAAATAATTGAAAAATAAATATTTACACTTCTGGAGACCAATCACCAACATTCGCCAATTCCAAAGCTTTACGAGAAAGTCGATAAGCTCGAATAGTTAAATTTCCTTGACGAGTTCGAATTGGATCTATAAATTTCAATATATAAATCCAAAATTTATAAAATTAAAAATAACCATAAATTAAAACAACTGCATTCTGTTGACTACTTTGGTAATCGACGAGAGAAAAAAACATATCAATGTTGAAACAAACCCCAAATGGGTGAGCCTGGTAGAAACCAACAAGTTCATAATCGATATTCATCATTCTAAAATAAGGATAGAATTCTTTAATGCCTGATAGGACCAATAAAAAGGAATGGAGGGAAATGGATGGAAGGACCAGTAAAATCGGAACAAAATAATATCAAAAATTGGACTCTAATAATTTCCGAGTAAACTCTAATAATTCTTAATGGATAAAAAACTAGATAGAAAAAATTGAAAGAATTCATTATCCCAAAACGCAGGCCCGTAGCCAGGATTTTTTTCGGGGGGGGGGGGGGGGCCAAAGAGGGAAAATTTTTTCTGCGCCAAATTTTTGGCGCCGAAGGCGCCAAAAATTTTTATTTTCAGCGCCGCAGGCGAAAATTTTGAGAATTTTAGAAGGCCGTAGGCCAAAAAATTCACTTTTTCGGCGCCGCAGGCGCCAAAAATTTGATTTTCAGCGCCGCAGGCGAAAATTTTTTGAATTTTGGACCTCAAAAAGCCAGATTTCTTCCTTTTTTAGCGCCGCAGGCGAAAATTTTTTAAATTTCAGAGGCCGTAGGCCAAAAAAATTTACTTTTTTTGCCCCAGCCCTTCCCCAAATTTTTTCCTTTTTCCCATTTCGGGGGGGGGGGGGGGATTCCCCCCTCACCCCCCTGGCTACGGGCCTGCCAAAACGGGATTTGTAAAATTTTGCAAAAAAGCACAAACCGAAAACGTTTCAACATTTCGATAACTTCAGTATCTTTAGTATCTTGATATGCAGCTGGATCATGTGGAGAACCATCATCACCATCAGCCAAAATATCAGGACGTGAGGTGGAAAAGCTGAGACTTTTTAATTAAAGATATTTAAATTAAAATACCAATTAGTAATTTCCAGCTTTTTCTCCTTTTCTTCTATAGAGATTAATCCAGTAAGAATTCCTTGACAAGTTTCGCCAGCAACTTTAGACATTCCCGCATAAAACTCGATATCACCATGTTTAACTATCTTCATTACAACCTAGGTAAATTTAAAAAGGATTGTGTATATCAAAACAATATCCGAGCACAACCAGCAATATTTGGATCTCAAAATGAAAAAAAACACAAAATTTCAAACAATACTTTGAAAAAATTTAGCCTAGAAAATCATGGTTACACTCGACGAATCCGTTAAATAAAAAATTAACTAACCAAAGAATCCAACTGAACAAAATCAATGAGTGGTTGATCAAAATTTAACGTCGGAAAAGAAGTAGCAGAGAATGACATTTTAATTAATTTCTATTTAAAATTCCAATAAACTGAAAAGTGAACATTTATTGAATAAATTAAAAAAGGAAAGAATAAATTTCAAAAGAAATTTCAAAGTCCTAAAAAACTTCATTAGAAAATTTCCAAAATTTAAAAAGAAATTATTCTCATAAAATTTATCAACTAAAGACAATCAAAATCTGCAATTAAAAAGAACGAACAAAATAAAGAAACAAAAAAAATTCTAAAAGATTTTTTGAACAAACAAAGAAAAAACAAAATAGAAAGAGAGCAAAATGCTGCTCATGAACCTAAGAACAACCCACTTTTATGAAAAACGACACCATCTAAAATGAGGGTGTCTCACACCTTACAAAAGCTTAAAATTCAAAACCTTAGCAAGTTGTTACATCAAAAATAAAAGAAAAAACAAGAATATTTAGATTAATAAAAGGGTCATTTATCTTTCCTTTTCGTTTCCAAAAATTCTTGAATTTTGGCATAAAGTTCATCAGGTCGTGGAAGTTTTGGTAGGTCATAATGTTGGTCAAAGCAAATCCCAGCATATATACCGGCCGCAAAAATAAAAAGATGTGAACAAATTCCCATATCAAAACCAAAGGACAACTAAAAAATTTAATAAGGTTATTAAAGAAAAATTTGAAGTCATTTTTTGAGACCCACGGAATTTATCCAGCCATAGAAATTAATTTTGTTTATTAAACAGCAAAAAAGCTCCTACCAAATGCCAATATATTAAATTATAAATTAAAAAACCTATTTTCTCAACGATAAGGATTGCGTCCGTCGAATTTTGGAGCGTATGGACTATTTCCTGAAGTGAGCGATTGAAATTCGTTGTATGCTTTCGATTGCTCCTTAGCTAAGTGGTCAATTAAAGATTTTCGTTGACCAGTTTTGTATAAATAATTATCGTAGCTTAAAAATAAAAATATAAAAGAAATGATAAAAAAATACTAGTCAAGAGCTATCCAACTCCAACAAATTGCAGGTACAATAAAAACAGTAGTCCACTTTCCTATTTTGAAAAGAGCGCTATGCTGGGCAGTCATTCAACTGAAAATATGTTTGAAATTTTAAAAAAATTTTGGAAAAATTTTAGAAAAACAAGAAAAAGGCGAAAAATACAAGAACCATCAGAATTTAGATTAACTGAATTTTGACAAAATAAATTTTAAACAAAACGCCAAACAGAAAGCGTTAATTCAAAAATTTATTTCAACGTTTCTTTAAATTCAATTTTTAACGATTTTTTGCCATTTAAATTTAATTAATTTTTTTTGATTTTTCAGAAAAATGAGGAATTTTTGTCTAACTTTATTATCCTTTATTCTTTGCCTTTTATTTTTAAATTTTGTCAGTTCTGAAGACGGGGATGATCCAATAACTTGTGGAACAGTTTTAAAACTTCAAAATGCTGCAGACAATATTCGTCTTCATTCACATGAGATTAAATACGGTTCTGGCTCTGGACAACAATCTGTTACGGGAATGACACACAGTGACGATGTTAATTCACATTGGCAAATTTTGGGACGTTAGTTTTTATTTAATTAAAAATTTATTTGGGGGTTTTAAGTCTTTATTTCTGAACAGACCTGCCAAATTTTGGATTTCTCAATTAAATTAACTTATTTTTTGAGATTCTACAGTTTTTCTGAGATTTTGTTTTCATTTTAGCCAATTCGTAGTTTATTTTTGAATTTATCGGGTGAACAATCACTCTATTTCAGTTTATTTGAAACTAGGATTTTTCTAAGGGTTTTCTGAAGCATTATCTGATTTTTTGAATTAATATTCCTATGATTCATGATCTCTAGAGATCGGGATTTTTAAAAAACCTTGATTTTGGGTGAGGATCTTGTCCAGATCAAGGACCTTGAGTCAAGGAAAAATTATGGAACGCTGAAAAATGCCTTAATCTCGACCCTGAATCCAGGAAAATCAAGGTCCGGATCCTGTTCCAACTCGATCTCTAATTATTTCTAAATAAAAATTATTTTTGTAGCTGTAAATCAACATTGTAAACGTGGAACTCCAATTAAATGCGATGATATTATTAGATTAATGCATTTACAAACTCGTTGTTTTCTTCATTCACACGATTTTGAAGCTCCTTTAAGTAAAGGAAATAATGTTTGTGGATTTTTCTTCTAATTTTATTTTTTAAAAATATTTTTAAGGAAATTTCTTGTTTTGGAAAGGAAGGGGAAAGTACGGATACTGGGGATCATTACAAAGTTATTTGTGCTTCTGATGTTTGGATAGAGGATGAACAAGTTGATTTTTTTGAGAATTTATTAAATTAAAAAAATATTTTTTAGGTGCGTTTTAAACATGTTGAAACTGGAAATTATTTGGCTTTGAGTGGACAAACTTATAGTAAGTTAATGGTTTTTTCTTTTTATCAATTTTACTTGTTAGGTTTGGGGCTTCCAATTAAGGCTTTTTACTTTTTAGTAGTTTTTCTGAATTTTGTCCATATTTCTGACTTAAAGGAAGAGTGGGTGAATGAATTTGACTGCAGGGAAATTTTTCTAGAACTATGCAAGGAAGAAATGACTGACCATTTCGTACTGGGGGGGGGGGTGGGTGAGGGGATAAGCACCATAATTTTATAGTAATTTTGTTAATATTTTCTAAAATTAGACCGTCCAATATCCGGGCAGCGTGAAGTTGTTGGTTCACCAAGTGCCGGATATTCTGCTTTTTGGATTGCTGCCGAGGGTGTTTTTGTTAAAAATTGATTTAAATTACCTATTTATTTATTCCTTCTTTTACTTTCTATTTTCTGTCAAATTTTTTCCTAAATTTTTCTTTTAATTTTTATGTCATCAAAAGGGTGCTTTATTTATTTTCTAAAATATTTAAAAAGTTAAACAAAACATAAAGATTGTTACAGTTTTTTATGTTCTTTTATTAGTTCTAAAATTTTGAATTTAAATTTAAGAGAACCCCCTCCTCCTCTTCAATTAGCTTTTTACATTAAAAATTGAAAGAAGTATAGCCGTCTTTTCCAATTTCATTAGAGATTGGATTACTCTTCTCCTAGCTTTCTTTTGTGATATACTCGTATTTTTATCAGACCCATAACCAAAAATTTTTTACAAGGGAAGAGGCGTCATTTTGGAAAAAAATTATTTTTTTTTGTTTCGCTAATTTAAAAAGTAAAATTATTGGCGCTCCGACTCGGGCACAGTGATCCATTTGCACAGTAAGACTTTTGCACAGAGGGCATCTGCACAGTGGACAATTGCACAGTAATTTGTGGTTAAGTGGATTTGTGTTAGGTTTTACTTATTGTTATAAGGGAATAAATGTTACTAAGGAAAAATTCCGTCATATCACCCGGAAACCGATTCGGACAAATGATATGTCATTCGAAAGATCTCGCCGAGCTGAGTCGAACGGTACCAAAATTAGCTTGGGGACTCAGTTATGGGCCGAGATATAGATCCCCGAAAATCGAAAAACCATAGAGGGGAGTAAGCCCAATTTTGGGGTAAAAAATTCGAATATGCAAATTATACCTCATTCGAAATCACTGGATATTACCTATTTCACCTGAAATCACACGATATCACTCAAAATTCACTTTAAACCATCATTGTCCCTTTTCATTGTCCTTTTTTTTATCATTGTCCTTTTTCAGCGCCGCGGGCAAAAATTTGTGAATTTGGGAGGGATAAAAAGCCAGATTTTCTTCATTTATTGTGAGGGAAATTTTGATATAATAAAGATCTGCTAGAATTTGTCCACTTGATAAGCGAACGAAAATTTAGAATATGTAAAAAAGAATTAAGAAATACTTAGGTTAGAAAAAGAATTATGAATTCTAATACAATTTAAGATTTTTTGTAAAGGTACTAATAATTAGTAACATTTATTCCCTTATAATAATAAGTAAAACCTAGCACAAATCCACTTAACCACAAATTACTGTGCAATTGTCCACTGTGCAGATGCCCTCTGTGCAAAAGTCTTACTGTGCAAATGGATCACTGTGCCCGAGTCGTGTCACCAAATTATTTTTTCTACATCAATTCTCTCCAACAGACCACCATTACATACAATCATTTTTATTTTTTAACTAGCTCCATTTTCTAGTTTTACTTGTTTTTTTACTAAATTTTATGCAATCCGCAAAAAAATAATTTTAAAAAATATATTTACAACAATTTATTTTTTTATTTCTTTCTACGCCTCGTCTCGCGACACAAAAACATAAATTATATGTGTACACGCTTTTGTATGCATTTGGGTGGGGAGAGAAAAGTTTATTTTTAAAAATTGATAAAAATTCAGACAAAAATTTAAATAAAAATTACAGTCAATCTCGATAATACATAAACTTTTGGGACCGAAGTTAACCGCCGTGTTAAGGAAATAAAGATCAGCTATTAGAGTTAAATCTCGCTAAAACAAATTTCATAACCTATAAAAGTTTAAGGCGATAGTCGGGATAGTAGGAGGGAGTCAGTCTATCGAGATTTGATTTTTAATTTGTTTTGATTTTTAGTTATAGTTATTTTTTAATAAATTATCTCTAAGGTTTTAAAAATTTATTTTCTTTATTCTTTTCAAGTTTTAATCGACCAAAAAATAATAATTTTTACGCAATACTTTTTTATAAAAAATTTTTTTGAATCCTACACAGATCAAAGAATCTTTAGTCATCAATTAATTATTGCAAAAATAATTCTTTATGCAAAACTTTTCTGATAACTTTTAATAAATATTAATTACCTAATTTTTTAAAATAATATTTAGTTTAATGTTTTAACTTTCTTTTTTTTTGGGAGGGGGGGGGTAATCTAGGTAATTTTTTAAATTTTTATTAATTAAAAAAATATAAAAATTAAAAAATAATAAAAGTACAAATTCTTTAACTAATTTTGTTTAATTTTCTATAATATTTACCACAAAATGTTAAATATTTGTCCTTCAATAAAAATTTTTTATTTCTCCCCGATAATTCCTTTTTACAAACTTTTTTTGCCAAAAATAGTAAATATTGAAAGAAAATATTATTATTTTTTGATTTTTGAACAATTTTGGATAATTCTCAACAAATATCACGTTGATTTGTCTTTTAAAATTATTTCTAACTGAGAGAAGAATGTTTAAATTGATTAAAGTTTTTTTGGAGGGGTAGGGGTAAATTGAAAATTTTTTTAAATTAACACTTGGAGATTAATTTCTGATCCTTTTAAAAGGAATGTGGAGAGGTAGAGATTCCCCCCTCCCTCTGAAAATGGAGATTAAACAACTCGTATCATTCAATACTTTTTTTTCTATTTTTCTTCATTTTAATTTTAAAAATTAAATTTTCTTGGCCATTTCCCATTCAAAAAATATATTTTTTTTTGATATTTCTCATTAGACTGGAAAAATAAAGTTTCATTTTTAAGAGAACAAAAACAGGTTGTTTTTGGTTATTTTGATATTTAGAAGAAGGGAAATAAGGAAAGAAAGAGAAAATAAGTGCGCGAACTCTAGAATGGTTCTAATTATTTTTGTTGTTGTGTAATTTTAAATATTGACTCATATACTTATATGGTTTTATTTTTTATTTTAACTTTTAATGCTAATTTAGGGAGAGAATTACTTGTCAAGTACTCGCCCTTGCTTCCTTCCTCTCTTTTTTTCATTGTGTTGTTCTTATAATTAGTTGTAGAACTGTAATTTTCGAAAAGTCAAGTTCTCCAAATCTCTGGGGGGGGATTTCCGTATTTCGATTTCTAAATCAGTTTCGGCACCCCTAAATACAAAAATACTCCAAGTAAAATCCCAACTTTTTTTACCTCCACCTAAACATTCCTTTCTATATTTTATATATTGGTTTGGCCGTCTTTTTCAACGGCAATCATTGCCTCCTTCCCCTTACTGCGCAATAATATTAAATATGTACTTCTACTAAATATTTTAGTAGTTATTCTTTCCTCTCCTTTTTATTACCTTCACAGAAAGTGTCCCTCCCTCCCTCCCTTCCTCTTCTCTTCCTCTTCTTCTCATTTTCACGTCGCTCATCTTCCTTTACCCAATTTATTTTATTTTAGCCATCATTATTTGTCCATAACTTTATTTATTTTTAATTTTATTTATTTTTTATTTAAACTAAATCCAATTAAACAATTTTTCAGTTATTTATGTAAAAATAATTGATACACAATAGGGACATTTTAAGACACGATATCGTTATTCAGAGAGTAATATTTAAAATTTAAAATTTTTAAAAATTTAAAAACCTATAATTTTTAGAGGGTTTTTGGACAAAACAATTTTTAGTTTTTCCAAGGACAAATAAATTTTTGAAAAATATATGCAAGTATTTTTTTAATAATTTTATTGATGACAACGATTTTGGAAAATTTTTTATATACAAAATTTACTCACACATAGAAGAATTTTGCTTTTTAGTTTCCATTTTAAGCCAATAATTTAAAAATAATTTCATAAACTTTTTCTCAAAGGCAATCAAAATTTTTGCAGCTTTTTCCTCATTTTTCTGGGTTAACTGTTTTTCCATTTTGGCTTTTCTCTTGTCTAAAAAATAATTCTTTTTAACAAAAATTTATTCTCATTTTTTTTCAAATACTCACAACAAATTTATCTAAAAAATATCATTTCCCTCCCTCTGTTTCCTTTTAATTATTATTGTTTTTAATGCGCAACCACGACTACTTTCATACCCCACGGCTACCTCCCCCCTTCCTCCCAAGTTTTTAGCTTTTTTTTTATTTTTCTTCTTCACCTTTTCTGTTGCCGTTAATCGCACACGCCTAAATAAGTAAAAGCAATTTTGTGTGTGTGCTTGTTGTCATTTTCTAAATAAAAAAATATCAAAATTACCTTCAACTTATTTTTGATTTTATTTGGATATCTAAAAATGATTATTTTGGAGGGGGTTTTCTGTTAATACATATACTCAATTAAAGACCAACTTTAGTTGTCGTACGATAATATCGACATCGATATACGTATCGATCCGGTCTCCATACTCAATCACCATTTATTCTGATTAATTCTTTTTTTTATCAGTTTTCTGTCAAATTTACAAAACCCCTTTCCTTATTAAAACTTATTTAGGGAGTGAAATCCCCCTATTCAAAAATATTTTCTCGCCTCGCGAATTGTTTGATTGAATAATTACTTAAATCTTTAAATAAAACTATAATTTAAATTTGGCATATTAAGTAGAATTACTTCAAAAAATTAAATTTATTTTTTCCTTATATTTTCTACATAAATTGTTAACTAAAAATTATTAAGAAAAACATTAATTATTTAAAAATCTGCTATTGATTAACACTTCTGTTGATCAATTGGGATTAAATATAAATTGTTATTTAATTATTTATTTATTAGCAATAAATAAATAAATTAATTTTTTTTCTTTAAATAAAAAAGCAAAGGTCGTTTGGTGTTGTTCTCTTTTAACTATTTTGTTTGTTAAAAATTATCAGGCGTGTAAACAAACACATTTTTCTCTCCCCAAAATTTTCGCGCATTCCACACATTTACTAGGTATTTAATTTTTTTCCTTTTTTTTGGTTGTGGCCTTTGGGGCAAAAGAATTTTCTTTGATATTTTGTCTAAAATATAATGTAATTTCTGATATATTTCTCCCTTTAAATAATTCTCTTCTCTTCAAAACTTGAAAGCTTTGCTCTCTTCAAAAAATGAAGCAACAAAATAAGAAAAAATATTTTAAAAATTCAACAAAAATTAAAAATCCTTCCTCATTTTTCTTAAATATTTTTAATTTGGAAAGGAGAAGAAAACAATTACTTTTTAATGGACAGATTTTTCTTCTCTTAATGGGAGAGGTAAAAATTGAGAAATTGAGATAATTTTTATCTAATTTACTAAAATTTAAAAATTAATAAAAATATTAAAAAATAAATTTTGATATTTTTGAGCTCGATAATTTTTGGTAATTATTATCGAAAATGTTGTATTTTCGTATAAATAAGTCTTTTTAGAAAATACAGTTGGAACTTATAGGGCATTCGGGGCTTATAAAATTATACCTAAATTCGAGTGTTTACATTTTGGAGGTATAATTATTTAACTCTCTCCCCACCCAATTGCCAACCAAGTTGACTATACCTTAAATAAATGGTGTACATTAAACAATGGAATTCAGAAATTAATAGAGAATTTATTCCTGTTTCCAAATAATTACCCTTCTAATAATTTTTATTCCCAAAAATTTTTAATTTCCCCTACAGATTTTCCTCTGTTCAGCAACAATATTTGAAGATTATGAAAAATGTCGTGAGCAATCTTTATTTGGACAAAGAAATGGATCAGCAGTCTGTGACACAATAGGGAAACTTAAATCAACAGATTCTTCTCAATTAGAGAATTTACTCCACGATTTGGAACTAAATATTTCTTGTCAATGCTTTTCTGGGTGTTTAAGGCAAAATAATGATGATAAGTTTAAGGCAAATTTTTTTTGAAAATTTTTTCTTTTCAAAAATTTATTTCTTTTAGGCTTTATTAATTGTAACTGATTCTGAAAAAGTCGAGCAATCTGGAGGGGAACAAACACTAAATGAGACAGGCAGACATATTTGGGAAGCAGCGGAAATGGGGGATTCTTTATGTGACAATAATGGAATGTTGTTAATTTATGTGAGGGATAAAAGAAATGTAAGGAGGGAAATAATTATTTAAAAATTATTTTTAATTTTAAAAAATTAAAAGAGAAATTAGTTTATAAGGGAGATTCAAACATTGGTACTCTCCCAACTCTCCAAATTTTTCCCAAAGGAATATACTACAACCTCATGGGTTCGTATCCACTGAATCATTAAACAATGCTTTCTTCTAATTATTTTCTTTTTGGTAAGGGAAGTTGGGAGTTTATGGATTAGTACATTAATTTCTCTTAATATCCTAGTGATGGTATAATTGAAGTTAACAGTATAGACTAGAGAATAGATCAAAACGAGATCTCAAACAAAAATTTCGATCATCAAGATTTTTTGAGATATCTTGTGCGACACAACCAGTCCAGTTTCAGTATAAACCACCCAAATAGCATACCTATATATTCTGATTTAAAACAAATATTCTTTTCTAATTATTAATTTATTTATCGGAAACGAATTAATTTTTACAAAAAATAGGTGTATGTATTATTTAATTACAACCACCCCCCCCCCCTTCGGCTAATAAATTATTTTATTATTTTCTTTAATAAAAACCCGTTTTTCGTTCCAAAGGTGTTTGCCTTTTGCAATTCCAAAAAAACTCGAAAATTAATAATAATTTGTTGTTAATAAAATAAACGTCACAAAAAGAAAATGGGATGATTTTTAATTTAAAAATTAAATGAAAATTGTTTGGAATGGATATTAGGGAATTAAAAGATAATCCAAAATGGTCTATATTTCTCGATATATTTGAATCTCACTAGTAACGATACTTCTCATCCAAAAAATATCTGACACATTAGAGACTGTCATGAAATTGGGGGGGGGGGGGGGGTGTTCAACTACCTATATTTCTATCTATTTGTTTTTTTCTAGTTGGCAGTCTATCAAGGCCATAACAAACCTTTAAGAATGTTTTCAAATAAAGATATAGCTAATTTACATGAATTGGCTATTCAAAATAATGGAACTGGAAATGTTACTTCTTTAAATGATTTTCAAAGTATTCATACTCCACCTCCACCTTCTCCTTCTTCTTCAAAGGATGGGGAAACAGCGGCTTCTTCTTCTGCTGAAGTTCATCAGGCAGATTGGAATTGGGTGGTTAGAAAAATTTAAAAGAATTGTTAGGGTTGTTGAGGCGCTTGGAAGTGTTAAAAAGGGGAAGGGCGATTAGGAGGAATTACAGGTTTAGCAAGTATTTTGTATCATCGTGCATGCAGTTACACCCTCTTGCTCGTTATTGCTAGGTGCTTCGCTCACCGCTTTTGTGATATACTACGCTAGCTAGGTGCTCTACTTTATTCATAAAAATTTTAAATCCCGCCTATACGTTTCCAGGCTTCATTACAATTTCCCAAAGTTTCGTGCCCTCCAACTCCAACACAATTTAATTTTAATTTTTATAAAATTTTATTATTTTTTAAAGCCAGTTATTGGTCTAACAATTGCTCTAGCATTGACTTTTCTTGTTTTATTTATTCTTCTATGTCTTCTTTTAGCCAAATGTTTTGGGTTTTGTTGTTCGGGAAATAGAAGAAGAAAACGTTTATCAGCAAAATATTATGTTAATCCATTAATGGCATCTAGTGGACATTACAAACCTGTTGAACCTATTTATGTTGTTACTCCTGGGAGGTAAAAACATAGATTTTTATATGTATACCCTCCCAATAAAATGAACAATTGCTTTTAAGTATGTATATAAGAGGTAACTAATCTCGTATTTATTATTAGAGGTAGGTATAACATTGGTTAGTGATAACGTTCTTCAGTCCCTACGAGCTTCTTATATCGAGAGATTATGTAAGGCTAACATTCTCCTCCTAGCCTACTAATTGATAAAACCAAAAAATGAACCCAAAAATTGGTGGTGGAAGGATTGAGATGCGTGAGTCCAGACGTCCTTAAAATGATTATATTAGCTGGATGTATTATAAGGGGATATTTTAACGAGCGATTTATGGGTAACCAAAATAAACTATAGGAAGTAGAGAAGTCCACCCACCAATAATCTCAATTACCTCCTCAAATAAAATTTTTTTAAGTGAAGCAGCTGGGGGAATACCTCCACCTTCTTCCACCTCAATTTATGGCACAGTAAGTAACGGCCATCCACATCACCATCTCCACCATCCCCAACACCATCCAATACCTCCTCCACTAATTCCAGCACATCACCACCATCACCCACCATTTGGTCCCTCTCCCCCAATCCCCCCTCCACATTTAATTCATCAACAATATTCACGTTCAATGACACCAACATCTACATACAGAATAAATAGAAGGGGTGGAGGTGAGGGAGGGGATAGTAGAGGGATTAGAACAAGCAGTTTAATACAATCATCGATGCAAAGTACTCCGGAAGCTAATAAAAGAGATAAAGTAAGAGGAGGATATTTTAATTAATTTTTGGGAAACTTGGGGGGAAGGAAAGGAAATTTTGATTTTTGGGGGGTTTTCCAAAGGGTTTTTAATTTAAATATTTTTTTTATATTTTGTTTTTTCCTCCTAACAAAATTTAATTTAAAATTAAAAGATTGTAAGCCGTACAATGACTGTGCCAGTAACAATAACAAATAACAAAAATGGATTTCATCAACAACAAAGAATTATGGAAGAACAACAACAAATTGAAAAAGACCAAATACTTCCCCACCCCCTTCCCCATCAACAACCAACAACTTCTTCCTCCTCTCCCCCTCCATTACCTCCTCCCCACCATCCCTCACAAACTCCAATTTTGCCATTTTTAGATCCTTGGAGAAAACAAGAAGTACAAACTAGAGAACAATTTATTGGATAAAAGAAAATTATTTTTTTTTTGATATTTGATTTTGTAATAGGAAAATTTAAAAGAATTTTTTTGTCAATTTTTTAAATCAAAAAATAAATTTTATTTAATTTGTTTTCAAAAATATTTCTTTGGTTGTGTTTGCCCTTCAACAGGTTTGCCTTTTAAATTATACTTAAATAGAAATGCGATTAATTTTGTTAAAAAAATTTGTAATACTCAATAAAAATGAGGGTTTTGACATTTTGGAAAATATAAATTTAATTTTTAAAAATATTTTCGAAATAAAGCAATTTCTTTTAATGATTCTCAACACTCCATTTTCTGTTGAATTTTTGTGGAGCCAATCCCGGAATTTTGGAAAGAACCACCTTATTTTAAAAAATACAGCATTAGATCCTTATATATTTTCTACAATATATTTGTGAACATATAATTTAAAATAAAACGTAGACATCAAAAAAACTAGGTAACGTAAAAAGGGCAAAAAATAAGCATTAAACTCTAACAAAAAAAATTTTTTTTCAATTGTCAGTTAATCTTTACTTTAATTAAAATTACAAACAAACAAAATTCTAATTAACACTTTAAATATTCTACAAAAAAAACCTTTTCCATTCATTCACTTTCTAATATTTTCTACAATATTGAATTATCAATCCAAGCGTTCCCAAAACAATTCCCGTCGCCATGTACGGATTCTCTTCGGCAAAAATTTGAAAGATTCCTTTTGGAGCAGTGTCTGGAATTTTATATTTATGTTCGGGTAATTGAGGCGCTGGAGATGGAGAAAATTTTGATGGAGACCACAAACGGGGCCATTTAAATTTTTCTTCTTCAAATTCTGAATAAAAAAACAATTTAAAAAATAAATTAATTAAATTTTTACTTTTGTCCATTTTTCCTTTCCAATTAAATTCAAAAAGCAATTAAAGTTGTAGCAAAAATAAAAATAAATAAAATTCCTTAAAAAAATTTGTTAAAATTTTTTAAAAATAAATATTTAAAAGGTGAATAAAAGAGAAAATGAGAGAGAAGAAAAGAAAAAAAGAAAAAATTACAAAATGCCAAAAATTAAAAATAACGACAAATTTGCAAATTTTTTGAATCACTAAACGCTCAACTTACAATGAGAATCCGAGATGATCTACCTTTAAAGGATACTTTAAGTTAATCAACGCAAATGACAATATGTATTCGCGGAATAGACCATATCCAAATGAACCCCATCCTCAAAACTGTGAAACAGAATCTCTGATCCGCAGTTAATCTCCAACGTAAAAATATTACAAAATAACTTTTATTTAAAAATATACATGTTAAATAATCACTGCCAAATTACTCTTTTAAATAATTAATTACTAACAAATTACTTCTAAGTAAATAAAACACTTATATCAAAATCTTTAGTTGGACTTGTTTCAGTCATTTCATATTCTTTAATTCTTAGACTTCCCCCTCTATTTGTTCGATATTCTTGTTGGTACATTGTCGAAGTTATTATTGGGTGGACTTTCATTGTATTTAATTTTAAAGGTTTCTCGATTAAATGCTCCAATTTTTGAATTGTTTCGGGTGTTTGCAGAGAAGGTATTTTGGTTGAATCAGTCGGATGGACTTTTAGTGTATTTCGAGTTAATGGTCTTGTTGAATTGTTATCTAGATAGAAATTATTTTATTTAGAGGAAAATCTTGGTTAGATTTTTGTTAGAACACCCTAAAACACCGTTAGGCAAATTCACGGTAAAACGACAGTTTAAACAAGTGAATGGAAATTCAGCAAGTAAAATTTAGCAAAAGGAAAGACCCTTCCAAAAAATTAATGAATTCCTTCCCAAGTTAATTAAAATTCAACTACCTTCAATTTTAGTAGCAATAGATTCAATTAAATCCATTATTAAATTTAAAATTCAGATTAAAAATATTTTTATTTTTAGGAAAAAAGAAAAGACTGACTTTGTTGTTATTATTGTTTATGTTTAAATAATAAGCTAAAAATAGGATAAAAGAGGGAGGAGAGAAAATGGTCGTCCATCACATGCCAGCCACTCCTCTTTATAATCGTAAACAAAAATTTAGCTCTTTGTAGTTGCAAAAATAAAAAAAAAGTAAATATGTATTTTTAGAGGAAATTTAAAAAAAATACGTTAAATATGGATAAAGCTGTGTTACAAATATGGGAATCTGTGAGGATTGACCGAGAAATTTCTATAACCGATATTTTTGAATGATATCTAGTCTCGGTTTGTGTAAATAAGCGAGACCATTTTGATTTTATTTTTAAACGACTTTTAAAATATATTTATTAAAAATAATTTAATAAAAATAATTTTTAAGACAAATCTCCAAGCATAATCTGATCTGTTTTATAAATTTCTCTAAATTCTTTTTCAAGTAATTCGTGTAAACTAACCCCATCATGTTTATATACCCAACGATATGAATCGCCTTTTAGAAAGAAAATAATTTAAATAAAAATATTTTTTAAATAAAAATTTACTTAAATCATATCTTTTAGGCCCAGAAATTGGAGAAGAAAGCCAAATTTGTTTATTTGGCGATTGTTTATTAATTACATATGTCCCTATATCTGGGCTTATATGTGCTTAAAGATAAAATAAATTTTAGAATTTTTTTAAATTTCTTACCTGTAAGAACGCCCATAGAATACGAAATATCATAAGCCTGAAAATTTTTGAAAATCAGAGAAAATCTTGAATAGCGTAATCGGAATTCCGATCCCCTCCCCCATGTTTATCCCTTAATATTTACGTAATCTTCCCGTTTCACTAAAATCAAAACAAGAAAACATTTACCTTATCAGTATTTAACCGCTCAGGAAGTTCATCCAAAAACTCTGTAAGAGCCATTAGAGTTTCTTCCGCCCTTTTGTCATATTCTGCTTCTGTCCATTGTTGTGTAAATGTGCAAAGCAAAGAAGCTTAAAATTAAAAATATTTTGAACAGAAAAACTTCTTATAAATATTAACCTTGTCGTTGATAAAGAGAGGCCAACACAGAATTAAAACCTTTATTGGCAATAAAATTTCTTGCAGCATTCATTTTCTACAGAAATTTTAAAATTGTACATATTTTTAAAAATAAAATAAAAATAAAGAAAAGTCAAAAACATTTTTTAAAAATCTCAAAAAAATCAAAATTATTTCCTTTATTAACAAAGTAAATAATTAAAAGCTATTGAAGTTAATTCGACATAAATGTGGCAAAGAAATTTTTGTTCATAAAATTAAACTCGTATGAGAAAATGTCTGAATTAGCTTCTAAAACAAAAAAAACTTTTTTTTTATTTCTAATCATTTCTATCCCACATATATTCCCCTCTCTTCAAGCGTGGATGTTCTTCCCAAGTTTCAGGCCCAATTTCTTGTCGCCATTCTTCAAGAAAATCGGTAGATGGTTGGAATAAACGAGGAAAGGCTGAACGCTCTTCTTCTGTATATTCTGTTGATTTTTTTGGAACTTTTTGAATTTGGCGAAGCTGAAAAGTTTTTTTTTAATATTTTAAAATTAATTTTTAATAGTATTGATTTATTAATGGAAACTCCCACCCCAACAGTATTACCCCACTAGTTAAATCTGAACATGAACAAACATTCACCATTCCTTAGAAAAAATTTTTCAGTTTATAGTCCTGGGAAAATATTTTTTAATGGTCGTTAAAAAATCAGATTTCTCGGCTACTAGCTTGATGGTCAGAAAGCCGAAGCCGAAGAATTTTAATCTATTGTACATAAGATTCTGAATTAAATCGAAGGGCCTTTTGAATATCCGAAATCTAGGCAAATAACCAGAATGACACAAAAAACTTTACTACAAATTACCTGATTGCTAATATTTTTCTTAATAATTTCTGGTATTTCGGTATCAGGCAACAAATGTAATCGTTCAATATACATCCTTTGTTGAATACTATTTTGATTGAGGAAACCCAATTGACGTCCAATACACATCCAAACTACACGACAAGGATCATATTCATGGATTTGATAGGCTGGAATATCTGCTTTGCTTCTTGGGCGTAACTAAAAAAATTTCCAGAATTACACCTTTCAGTGCTAATATTTTTGGTTTTTTTCTTTCCAATTAAAATATTAAAAAAACAAACTCTGTCAAAGAAAAATCGTGTATGTTTCCAATCAAATGCATGCATGCTAACTTGACGACAATTTACAACAACAACGTTATCACCACAATCAGTATGAGGATGCCAAATTGGTTTATGCATTCCACTCAAATGTTGGGCTACTTTACGCGCAAGCTTCCAAATATCTTGACGGTCAGCATCAATTACAGACCTTAAAATGATTTTATCTTCAATTAACCTCCGACCTGAATAAAGTTCAAGGTCATTGACCTCGAGAGAGCCTTTCTTACAAAATGTAAACATAAATTAAGTCAAAAATTAAACCATTGACGCGAGAAAAGTTGCCATTGCCGCACCCTCTCCGCACGAGAAACAAAAGATTTAGGCACAACAGGAACAAGTTTTGAAGCCATATTTAACTTATGCTTGAAGTTAAAAATAAATTATTTAAACAAAAATATTTTAAAAAATGAAATTTAGTCAACAACCAAATTAAAATTAATTAAAATCATTTTATTCTAATTTTTAGATCAATAATTAATAGATCAGTAATTAATAGGAATGAAAAACTCTTAAATGTTTTATTCTAGTTCTATAATTTTTTAAGTTGAATAGAGGAAGTGTTACTAAAACAAAAATTTTATAATTTGGCTATATCACAGTTAATTTGAGCAATCTAAAAATGAGGGAATGGTTATTTTATTCTATTTTTTTCCTATTCTCTATTCATCACCAAACAATAGAATTTTTATATTCAGGCAATACACAAAGTCGTTTAATTGTTTCATAACCGGTAATGACAAAAAAGCTTTGAAGGCCTATAAAATTTTATTTTAAATTTAGAAATAAAAATACCATTATTTATCATTCGAGGTGCTAATCCTTTAGTAAACACATTTCTTCCTTCCTCCGAATAAAGGCATTTTATAGTTTCAAGATAACCAGTTCTGTGGACCTTTAAAAAATAAAATTTTTCACGAATTTTGAATTTATTTTAAATTAAAACTTTGAAACTAATACTTAAATTAAGTGAATATAACCTGTATTCTAATCCTCAAAAGTTCCAAACAGTTAGTGCAAAGCGCTGCTGTAGTGCCTCCTAATGCCCCAGATATTGATTGTAGAGCTAGAAGTGAACGAAAATTTTCTGGTGCAGATTCGATTCTTGAATCAATGCCAAAACTTCGTTTAAAAAAGCCTAGCCAGGAATAATAAGCGGACCAAAAACACATTGAATGAGGTAAGTAAAGAAGTAAAGAAGAGAAGAAACCTCTAAAAATTAAAAAAAAAAATTAGAAAAAAGTTATTACGTAAAATTCCTATGAATGGAAGATGGAATAGAACCATCGTATAAAGAACCAAACCAGAGCAACATTTATTCCCTTCCAAAAAATAATTTTAAGAACCTATAAAATCCAGTAATTCCATCAGCTTTATGAATAGCTTTTACAACTCTCAAACCCAAAAGTGAAGACGTATAATAATTTCGACTGCTTCCAATAGTTTTGGGTCCATCAATGCCTAATAAATTAATAATTGCTGCTTTGTTTACACTGCTGCCAAGAAATTGTTTTGGATTGTTGTAAATCATCATATGTTGACTAAAAATTGTTTAATAGTAGAATGTTTCAATAAAAATTAAAAATAACCTGACAATATCAGTTGGAACAAAAATAAATTGGGCAGAAACAGAAGCTATTCCACCTTGATTTTTAATTAAAAATTTTATTTTAAAAAATTGTAAAAAACCTGCCAAAGCAGAGACTAACAATGGCGATTCAATATTCGCTCTCAAATGAAGAACACTTCTAGCTTTTTCATAAATTGTTGAGTATATACAGCTTGCGCCAATTTGTGGAAGTGTTATCCAAAAACCCTAAAAAGGAAAAATGTTAATGTAAGATCAAATTTATAGAAATGCCAGATGAAAAAATGTTAGAGGGAATAATATTAAAAATAGAAAACCCTATAAAGTGCTGAAAAGCCTTCTCTTTTATAAACAGAAGAGAATGCATGCCGCATTCCAGTGTAAACATGATTTTGTTTTTGTAATTGCAATCTAGATTTGACAAGATTTAATGGATAGAAAATTGCACGAATAGAAGATGAAGCAAGAAAAGCCTTTAATTTGAAAAGAAATAAGATAAATTAATTCAAATATACTAATGGATAGAATTTGTACAAATCCATATGCTGCCATTCAACAATATGAAGTTGTTTTTCTGGTTTGTGTGCTGCTTAAAGGAAATTTTAAATTAGATACTCATAAAATATTATGGGTAATTCGGGCATTAAAAATGGTCATTTCAACATATTTTTTTTGAAATATCAGGGCGTTCTTTTTACTTACGACATGATTAACAGATCCAATATTTTAATCCTTAAAAACCTACAAGTTCGTTCTGTGCGTTCTTCATATTGTGAGCTGGATGAAGCGGCCAACATGCCTAAAAATTAAAAATCCGATATTTAACTCTACTCAATTAAAAAAAATTAAAAATAAATTTATTTTGTAGTTATTAACAAAAATTAATTAAAAAAAGTCAAAAAAGTATTCCATTTTATTTAAATAAACATAACACAAAAAATATATAATCAAGCATAATAATTCAATACAGTCTTCTTTTTAGCTTGTACTTCCAAAATAGCATCCATAAAATCTTCATGGCCAACAGTTGTTGCATCACGTCGAAGTGCAATCATTCCCTAATAAATAAAAATTCAAAAATTTATTTTTAAATTTACAGATTCAACACAAACAGCTTTACATTGTGCACCATTAAAATCATCAGTACAACGTGCCAATTCGTCAAAATTTACTTCTTTGCTTTAATATTATAAAATTTAATAAATGCTTCGATGATAATTTTTTATTTCTTAGAGTAAGGGTCGTTCCAAACAGTATTTTTTCATAACAGCTATATAGACAAAATCATATTTTGTCGTTAGTTTAAAAAAACACACTATATCTTTCCTACTTTTTAAAATAAATACTGGACTTTTTAACAACAAAAGACATTTACCTAACATTCATTTTACGAGAATGTAATTGCAAAATACGTGCTCGTGCCTTTTCATTTGGCGCTGGCAATTCAATTTTGCGATCAAGACGACCCGAACGCAAAAGTGCTGGATCAAGAACGTCAACACGGTTTGTGGCAGCAATTACCTAAATTTATAAAATTAAACATTGTAAATTTTATATAAAAATAACCTTAACATCATCGTTTGGTTGGAATCCATCCAATTGATTGAGCAATTCTAACATTGTTCTCTGAACCTCTCGATCACCAGCTTTTTCCGAATTGAAACGCTTAGTTCCTGTAGAATAAATAGATATATTTTTAAATAATTAAACAAATAAAAAAAAGAAAGTTTGAATTAAAACTGGAAAAGATTCGAATTTTTTGCAACAATGAAAGAAATATAGAACAAATTTTCTAACAAGAAAATCATAAAATGTTGCCAAAAAATATATTCAAATAAAAAAAAAACAAACCGATAGCATCCAATTCATCAATAAAAATAATGGCAGGTGCTTTCTCCTTTGCAAGTGCAAAAGCATCTCGAACTAATTTAGCCCCATCACCAATAAACATCTGAACAAGTTGAGGGCCTGCAAGTTTCAAAAATGCTGATTTTGTTTGAGCAGCAACAGCACGAGCTAACATAGTCTTTCCGGTTCCTTTAAGCAAGTATTTATGAAATATTTTCAAAATTATTTTTAAAACCTGGAGGTCCATACATAAGAACACCTTTAGGAGGCAAAATTCCAATATTCGAAAATATTTCCTTTTTAGTCATTGGAAGAACCTAAAAGTATTTTATCATATAAGTTTAGGTAATATTTTAGTCAGATTTTTAATTTCAGCACACATCTTTAATTTAAATAAAGGAGTTGGTTAAAGAAAAATCATTTCCCCCTTAAGCGGAAAATTTTAAAAAACTGACTAGAAATTGAATAAAATTTTTAAGATTTTCGCCTGCGTGAAATAAAAATATCCAAATTGATTATTTCAACTAAAAAATTACAATAGCTTCAATTAATTCTTTAATTTGAGTGTCACAACCACCAATATCAGAATAAGTTTCCGTTGGTCTCTCATCAACCTCCATGGCTTTCACCCGAGAATCATATTCTGGTGGCAACTTCTCCAAAACCAAATAAGAATCTTTATTAACACCAACCAAATCACCGGGTTTTAACTCTGCTGTGTCAACTAATCCAATAACTAAAAAAATTGAAATATTTAGTGCTGTAAAAGAAAAAAATCAAAAAGGCATACCCGGCAAAAAATATGTTGCACGAGTAGAAGTTTTAATAACTGCACATTTAGTCTTATGAGCGTCCAAATCAACATTAGCCCCTTCATCTTCTTGTTGGTCTTCAAGATCAAGCAATTCAATAACGTTAGAAACAAGGTAAGGAAGTTGTTTATTAACCTAAAAAATCAACGGTTTTGGAAATGAGAAAGATGGGAAGACCTTAACACGTTCATTATTTTCTTTAACCTTTTCTTTAAGGTTTTGAACACTGTGATTGATTCGCTGAATTTCACTTCTCATAATTCGAACTTCATTATCTAAAAGCATTGTACGCTCACGTATTTGTTCGGCAGACATTTCCAAAATTTCTGGGGAAATCTATAAAAATTTTAAAAAAATCTAAAAAATTATTTAACCTCATCCTCTTCATTGTTGTCAACATCCATCTTTTGATCAGGTTCCTGGCTTGCACCCTTCTCTACGGACATTTTTTGTCAAAATTTTGTAGTTTTAAAGTAAAGTAAATCTGAAGAAAAAATCTTACAAAAAAATTAAAATCTCATCAATGTGAAGAAAATAAAGAAATTAGACAGAGAGATTATTAGCTAGAGAATCAGAGAATTAAAGAATAAATAAAATGCCAATAACCCGCTAAGTTTTGCTTTAAATTTCCTTTGTGTTAGATTTTTAAATTTTCTTCAAAACTTTAATTTATTTTTCGGTGACACGGACTGTCATTTGTATTGATTTTTATTTTATTTTTATGAGATTTTTTTCAAGTTCTATTAAATTTTTGATTCATTTTCTAAATATTTTTTTTACCTTTTTTAGAAATCAATACTTTAATCAACTCAATTTTTATTAAAAAATGTCAACCGGAACGTCTAGAATTATTACACGATCAATGGCTGCCAGAAATGCTCAACCAAAAGAGGAAACTAAAAAAGAGCCAAAAGAAGAACCTAAAAAGGACAAAGTTGTTGTTGACCAACAAAAAGAAGACGGAGAAACTAATCAACAAAAGAAAATTGCTTGGACACTTGATGATTTTGAAATTGGCAAACCGCTTGGGAGAGGCAAATTTGGAAGTGTTTATTTGGCTAGGGAGCGGAAATCTGCATATTTGATTGCTCTAAAAATTCTTTTCAAAAAAGAATTGACCAAGCATAATGTTGTTAATCAAATGAAGAGGGAAATTGAAATACAATACCACTTGAGGTTTTTTTATTTTTTAGACTTGTGGATTTATTTTGGAGGAGCTGAGGGCATTTAAATTTTACAGTTAAGAAATTTTTATTTTTCAGACATCCAAATATTCTTCGTCTTTATGGTTATTTTTATGACGATGAACGAGTTTATATGGTTCTCGAGTTGGCACAAATGGGTTCAGTTTATTCGCTTTTGAAGAAGACACACAAAATTGCTTGTCCTTTGGCTGCGCATTTAATATTGCAATTATCTGATGCTCTTATTTATTGTCATGAGAGGTATTAAAATATTTTATTAAGAACTTTTGGTGAAGTTCTCAATAATTCCCCCGGTTCCAAAAATAGTCAGGCACGTGTTAGGGAGACCAGGATAATATCTACTCCCTCCACATATCTTCTCCCTCTTTTTCATCTCCAAAATTTTTAAAGTTTATATTTTACAGAAAGGTAATACATCGTGATATAAAGCCGGAAAATCTTTTACTGACTGCAAATTGTGACGTAAAAATTGCTGATTTTGGTTGGTCAGTCCACGCTCCTTCTTCAAAGTATTTTTAACAACTATACGTAGATTATTTATATTTTTTTAAAGGCGTACAACAATGTGTGGTACCTTAGATTATTTATCTCCTGAAATGATTCTCAATAAGGAGCATGATCATAATGTAAAAATAATAGCTTTTTTAATTTAAAAAATTTTTTTAAAGGTCGATAATTGGTCGGTGGGTGTTCTTCTTTATGAATTTATTATTGGAAAGCCTCCTTTTGAACATCAGACACATGCGGAGACTTTGGAATGTATTCGAAATGTTTGTTTAATTTTCAAATTTTGATTTAAACTTCTTTTATTTAGTTGAAATATCAATTTCCCAGTACTTTTCCTGCTGGAGCAAAGGATATTGTTTCAAAGGTTTAAAAAGTTTTTTAAATTAAGCCTTTCAAATCAAATAAATTTGTGTGTTAGTTTTGGGGTAAACCTTGATTTTTTGCCTTTTTAAATCTTTCCTGAATGTTAATGTCTTGGATGGTCTTTTCTTGTATCTAGGTCTTAGCTGCTAGAATTTAATTAACCTTGAGTTTAATATCTAACAAAAGAAAGAAAATAGCACCACTACTAGTCGGAGCAACTGAATAAGATTAGCTTTATTCAAAATCGGGGGGTACATGCCTTACTCCGGCCTGATAGCTAGGCTTTTGCTTAACTTTAACTTATGTTAATAAGCCCTAAAAATCTGATACTGTCTGATACTAAAACTGTCGATCATACCTTAAAAATGAATAGGGATTTTAAAATAAACTTTTTAATTTAAAAATTATTTTTTTAATTTTCAGTTGCTTTTATTAAAGCCAACAGCTCGTATGCAAATGCCTGTTTTAAAGAAACATCCATGGATTGTAGAGAACTCTGCAATTTTTGTTAAAGAACAGGAAGAAAAAGAAAAAACGGAAAAGGAAAAGAAGGAAAAAACGGAGAAGACTGAAAAGAATTAATTTTCTCAAAATGGTTGGGCTATAGTGCATCTAAGTGATCGTTTTTCTTATATATTCTGCTTAACAACAAAACAAAAAATGACTTTGATCTATTTATTGTTTACTTTATTTGTTTTTGGTTTGGTTTTATATAAATTTTGTAATTTAAAGAGTTTTTATTTAAAAATTCTGTTTTAGGAATAATATAACATTAAAGTTTTAGTAAGTGAATAAATCCAATAACTCATTTGCCTTTTCAAATGACTTCCCCACTAATTTTTTTGAGTTCAAAAATAATAAAAAAGTTTTACGTTTACCTTTTTTTTCCGTTCATAAAAATAAATTATAGGGACAAGTTATTAACATTTTAATATAAAAATAGGTCAAATTATCTTTGTTTAATTAAAAGAAAGGTAAAAAAAGAAGTAAACTTGACCTTTTCTTGACCTTTTTTTAATCAAAACTTGACCTCTTCATTATTTGAAAGCACTTAAATAAATGTCTAGAAAACTTTTAGTTAAAGCAAAATTGGGAAGAAAGGAGGTCACAAATGGGAGGAGTAAAAAATATTATTTTTTATATTCTTCCTTATTTGCTCATTCATTTAATATCAAAAACTTTTTTTTAATTTTTAGAGTTTTTTCCTTTTATTTCGCTGTCCCGATGAATATATCAGTCTAATTTTGTTACCCAGTCTAAATACATTATACCAAATAAAACTATATTGTAAATGCTATTTTTACAATTTGGCCATTAGGTTAGGGAGAGGTGCCTAAATTCTACCTAAGTTGTTCAATCCCTATTATTTACAAGAGAGATCCGACTTTATTATATTCCCACAAACCTAAAAAGTTCACTTTGATGTGAAAATTAGTTAAAAAAATTTTTTTTCTAAATTTCTAGCAATAATTTCTCGATTAATTTCAATTTTCTAGCAATAATCTATCTTCTTTTTTCAGAATAAAAAATTTTTAAATTTAATTTTAAAAATGGTTTTTAAATGTTATCGTTGTAGTATTTGCCACTCTCGTTTGCAGTTTGACAATGTTTTTACTTTGAAAAATTGTAACCATACTTACCATCAAGATTGTATTACTCGATGGATTACTGGGGTGAGGAAATTATTTTTGTGTGAAGTTATTAAAGAATTTTTTTTCATTATTTTTTAAAATCTGATCCAACTAGATTAGGACGAAAATTGCTTTTTATTCTAGCTGTTATCACTTTAATTTGTCCTAGTAAAGTCGGTCGTCTCTGGGACATATAAATCCCGGCAGCAAATTTTATTTTTAACATTTTAGTCACAAACTTGTCCTCGATGCCAAGTTCATGCTACTTTGACTGATATTAAAAAAATATTTTTCGACGAAGGAGGTGATGAACAGGACTCTGATGATGAAATGATTCAAGGTTCAAGTAACGTGACTACACAAAGCCGCGCTGTGAGTTAATGAATAAATTGAGGGGTACATTCACCGAATAGAGAATTCGCTGAAATTTTAAGGTTCGAGAAAGCTTGACAAAAAAAGGGAGGTCTAAAGAAATGAAAGAAAAGATAAATTAAATAAAATTTATGAATTTGGAAAATTTCCATTAAAATTCAGAAAGTTCGATGAAATATTTATTTAGTGAATTGTTTCATTAATTAATTTAATTTCAGCCTACTACTCAAGGAATAATACAAGTAATTGTTAAGGACACCTATCGAGATAGTAAAATGGCTATTCAAATGCAAGTAAGATTATAAATTTTATAAAATATTTCCAAGTAAAAATTTATAAAATTAAGCCAAACGATACTATTTTGGCTTTGAAGAATAAAATTGCTGAACGTAATGGTGTATCAACGGATACACAGCGTTTGGTGAGGGAAACTTCATTTTTTTATTTTTAAAATTAAACATTTTTCAGGTTTTTCGTGGTCAACAACTCGAGAACAATTGTAAATTTATATTCATTTTTGATAGAAATTTTTTCGAAAAGCGGTAATTTGTGTTGAGGATATTTGTTTAGGCGTGAATCGAAATTGTAGATTAACTATACTTTAAATGGATATTAAACCTTACAAAATTCTAGATTTTATGAGGTTTTTGGGTTAATTGTTCGAGCTTAACTCACTGAATTGATCGCCTCTGAATTAATCTTTAAGACTAGTTTTGTAGTAGTAATGTTTAAAAATAATTTTTAGATACACTCAGTCATTATAATATTGTCGACAACACAAGTGTTGATTTGGTTATGCGTTGTCAAGGTGGTGAAATGTAATGGGGAAATAAATAAATGGAAATTGATGTTAATTAATTTTGTTAATTTAAATATGGCACTAAAAATTATTTTTTCTAATAACACAGTTTACAATACTTAATTTTTTGATTTGGAATAAGAATAACAAAATTAAAAAGAAAATAATTTTTAGTCCATTTTTAAATTATTAACTCTATTTTTTTAAAAAATACTCCAACAAAAATCACTTAACCAATTTGTATTCTTAAAGAATTGTTTTTTTTAAATATTCATTTTACTTTTAATAAAAGACATTAAAATATAATTTTCTTTATTTTAAAAAATATTTCAAAAAAATCTCCCACAAGCCTTTGAAAATTTTGGTCTGAATGAGAAAGAGTTTTTATCTCGAATGTAAAAAATTTTAGGAATTGGAAAGCTCTACTTTTATTTTTTTTGTGTGGTCTGATACATTTATGTGTGTGTTTTCTGACCTTCTCCAATTAGAAAAAGGAAGATATGGACTTCCAGTAAAATATCATCTTCCTGTAACTGCCAACCCAAACTTTCACAAACAAACCTCTACAGTATTTTTGTTTTTACTCTTTTTAATCAGCTTATAAATATTTTTTAAAAATTTATTTTAAAATATTTTTAACTGAAATTCAGTCATTCGGATCATTAAATTCTCTTACACACATTTTATAAAATTATTCATAAAGTTTTTGATTTTTGTACAAAAATAAAAATTTGTGAATAATTCTGCAATATTTTTTGATAAAAAATGAATGATTTCCTTCTCTCTCTTTTAGTTTATTTATTTAATGATACATTTTCCTTTATATTTTTCTAAATATATTGGAATTCCTTATAGTTTTATTTTAATTTAAATTATTTTACAAAAAATGAAAAATGTTACACCCGCACGATACTGGACCACTGGCCTAAAATGAAGAACCGAGTACTTAAAAAATGCGATTGGGTGCATAAAATGGGATTGGACGCGTAAACATTTCAATGAATCACAAATGTGCCATTGGACGCGTAATCTGGACTAGAGCCAAAATTTTTTAGGGAAAACTTAAGAATTCCTAATTTTTTGTTTTGCAAAATGTCAAATTCTTTTCTTCATTTTCAAAATACTTCCTGTTTAATTTACTAACAAAAACAAATATACACGTTGATTCAAAACATTAAGTACATCAAATTCATAAAAGTAAATATTTGAATGTTAAATTTAAGCTATCAAATTTCAAAAATTCAAAAACATTTCAACACTTTTAACAGACTCTAATTTACTCCCCCCCTCCCTCCCTTTTAATTCATCTTTTTTTATTCACATGCCTAGCACTTTTCATTTTCCTCCTTCTTTTTCATTCATTTAACATCCGCATTCTTCTTATCCCCTCTCTTCCATTTTTTGTTTAAATGTATATTAAATTAAGAAATATATGTATTGAGTATTTCTTGAACAGCTGAGCCTCTCATTTCCCTCATTTTTAGGTTATATTTATTCGCAAAATTTTGCTTTCTTTAGCTACCGCTCAGAATTGAACCTGCAACTTTCTTTTTTATCCATTACTTTCTTTTATCCTGATGAGCCTCGTCATAGAAAAAACTCCTTAGTCCACAATGAATCCAATAATTTACCTTCTCGATAGTGCCCTTATCACCAATTAATTCCTTGAGAATAATTACGTTGCCGTGTCTTTTTAAGTATTCTGTTACATCATTAATTCTCTTTTAGAATCCGCGTGAACAAATTAACTCACCCAGAACATACATATGTATGTTATTTGACATTTTTCTGACCGGAACTGACCACTCTATATATTTATGTAAAAGAGAGAGAGAGAGAGGTCATTAACCGTTAGGTCTCAAGAAAATTTATGAACAGGGGTGAACAAAATAAAAATAAAATAAAAGGCGAAAAATAAATTTTTTAGTTAAGAAGTTGAAATAAAGCAAAAAGAAAAAGCGAAATTACAAAAATTATCATGAAAATATTTTTTTAAATTTTTTGGCTTAATTTTTAATTATTAGATGCAAAATTTGTGTGCAAAAATTTATTCTTAAGGAGTGAAAATCAGAGTTTAACCAGAAATACACATAAGTAACTACAAACGGTGTCGATACACAAGGTTGACGCCCCCATGACACTTTTAACTTTTTTCCAAACTTTTACAAAAAATACCTAATCTACACTCAAAAATATAAACTTTTTCCACTTAAATTTAAAAGAAAATTTCCACTCCAAAATTAGTCGCGAATATTTGGGTTAAAGTGTGTCATTTCTTCTAATTTCATTTCATTTCTTTGCCTCATGCGAGACAGCCGCCCTTTAAAATAAGCTTTTTTTCTTTTTTTTTTTGTAAAGGGTAACCAACAACTGTTTGTCTTCTTTAAATAAAAAAGAAAGAATGTTTTTTTAGCTAACAAGGCAAAATGGGAGGGAAGGGGGGGGGGGGGGAAGGAGAGACCTTTCCGGAAGAAAAGACACTTTAATTTTAAATAGAGCTTTTCTCTCTGTTGGCCAAAAGAATTTTTTAAAATTATTTTTGGTCGTTCAAGGTTAAAAAGGAACAAGAAGGAAATTAATCTTTAATTAATTTTTTTTATTTTTCTTACTCTAAAAAATAATCAATTTTAATTTTTAAAATCTTTAATTGATTTTTTTCATTAATTTTTTATTTTGTACTTTAAGGTCGCGATTTTCAATTATTCAATTATTTTCTACCAGTCTTTTTCTGGTCATTTCCTATATTAGGGATGATAACATCTCAGAAATTTCTTCCAAGTAAATTTTTTACCTTTTAACCATCCTGTTGAATGGAAAGATTGTGAAGCAACAACGTATCACCATCTCGACTTTTTAACTTTTAACCTTTCTTTATACATATGTAATTCTTTTATTATTTAAAAGCTCCATTTTTTTTATTTTTTTCATAACAAGTTTGATCTGATCCTCTTGTGGAAAAGTTATATTTATTGTTAGATTATTTCTCCCTTTTTTCTAAATATATTTTTTTTCAATTTATTTTTATTAACTTTCAAATGTAGTTTTTTTTCACAGAAAAATTTATTTTTGTTGTTTAAATTTTTCTGCAAAAAATACCTAATTTTTGGGACCAAATGTCTCATTAAAAATTTTTTTCAGAAAATGTTTTATAAAATAATTATATTATTATCTATATATTAAAATGACTAAATTACGTAAAACAACTTCTTCTTTACACATTAACAACGCAAGAATTGCCGGACTTTATGATTTAGAACACACAATTGGGAAGGGACATTTTGCTGTTGTTAAACTTGCGAGGCATGTATTTACTGGAGAAAAGGTTGCCGCAAAAGTTATTGATAAAACAAGGCTAGATCCCGTTTCTACTTCACATATGATGCAGGAGGTTTTTTTTGGAAATTTTATTGAGTCTCCTCCTTTTTCAAAAATTTTTCTGATAATAAAATCAATTTTAAAAAATTTAAGGTCAGATGTATGAAATTAGTTCAGCACCCTAATGTTGTACGTCTTTATGGTATGTTAGTATAAATATTTAAAAGAAAAGTTCATTAGGTTTTATTTTTATTATTTTTCGTTTGTCTTCAGATAAGGGCATTTTTAAGAAAATTATTTTTAAATAGTTTTTTACAGAAATAATTAAAAAATTACATTTTCTTTCTGGAAAATGTTGAGATTACCTTTCATCTAAACATTTTATTTTTTAAATTAATTTTTTCCTTTTTAGAAGTTATTGACACTCAAACAAAATTATTTTTAATTTTGGAACTTGGCGACTATGATATGTAAATAAATAAATATTTTTAAATTTAAATTAATTTTTTAAAGGTATGAATGGGTAATGAGAAGAGGTTATGATAAAGGGGGATGTAAAGAATCTGATGCTCAACTTTATTTTTCTCAAATAATTCAAGCCATTAATTATTGCCATAAATTACACGTTGTACATAGAGATTTGAAGGTTTTTTTTGGATTTTTTTGTTTGAAAAATTAAGTTTGGAAATTAATTAGATTCAGTAACGACCAGAGAAAGTTTTCCGTGGAGAAGCTGGGGGGGGGGTATAATTTTGGCGCCATGTGGAAATTTTGGGAGGCCATAGGCTACATGCCCTTGGCTATTTGCCTGATTTGTTTTATTTTGTTTTTTATAGCCTGAGAATGTTGTCTTCTTTGAAAGGCTAGGAATGGTAAAACTAACAGATTTTGGTTTTTCGAATTTGTTTACGCCTGGACAACAATTACAAACATCTTGTGGAAGTTTAGGTTTTTTTAAATAATAATTTTTTGTATTACATATTTCTTTATTTAAGCATATTCTGCCCCTGAAATTTTACTTGGCGATTGTTATGATGCTCCTGCTGTTGGTAACTTTTTTTGGAAAATTTTTTAAAACTTATTAACTTGGTTCACAAAAAAACTAACAGATACCTAAAACCAGTTTTTACGAAAATTTTTTGTTTATAACCCTCCCTTCTCCTGGCTACGGGCCTGGTCGATCCAAACTACATATTGCCCTTTTTAATGACTAAAGGACAATGAGATTATAACTTTGAAATAAAAAAAATATTTTTAACTTAACCTTTTTTAGATGTTTGGTCTTTGGGTGTTATTTTATATATGTTGGTTTGTGGCAGACTTCCCTTTCAAGAATCAAATGATTCTGAAACACTTACAAGAATATTAGATTGTAAATTCTCTTTTCCTGAACATGTTAGCGTTGAATGTAAAAAGTTTGTTTAAAATTTTTCTTTTAAAGTTGGGCGCCAAAAATTCGGCACCCCTACCCCCTAGTTATGGACCTGATTCTCTTAACGTTTTCTAACATAAGTTGACTGTATTTATTTTTAACGACTTGCTAAATTTCCTTGGAATGCTTTGGGGATTCTGGAGCCTAGCATGTTTTTAAGTTATTAAAATTTTAGTCTTGTTTCCTCAATGCTCGTTCGTGATCCTTCAAAACGCGCTTCACTTTCTGAAATTTGTCAAAATAAATGGGTTCGTGCTGGTGATCGTGGACATGCAGAAGCACTTCCTTTAATTGTAAAGGATAATTTACCTTTATGTGCTCACACGACAATAATTGAACAAATGGTGGCTGGACAAATTGGGACAGAAGAAGAGATTGTTAGGTTTGTATATATTTTTAGAATATATTTTCGATACTTTCGACTATTTTTCCGTCGTTTCACTTTCTCTCGAAAAGATTTTCATTTTATGCAACTAAGAGCTTCACTTCTTACTACGTTTGTAAAATTTAATTTTCAGTGCCATCGAACGTAATGATTACAACCACCTAACTGCAACTTACTATTTACTTGCTGAACGTGTTTTGTATTGTTATAGGCAGGCTGAAGCAAATCGTTTAATGGCTGCAGCAGCGAGGGAATTTTCTTCTGTTGATGAAAATTCACCAGAGTGAGCGAGAAATTTTTGTTAATAAAGAAAAAAAATTTTTAAAGCGATATTAATCAAAATTCTACAATTCCTGGCACTTCAACGGCCTCTTCTACACGTAGTCGGAGTAGAAGTAATTCATGGCGTGGTCCAGCACCTAGACGTGCCTATTCAATTTTGAAAGAGGAAAGTGAAGAAGAACTTTCATCCTATCTAAAATCATCGTCAAGGCAGTCGTCAAGGTTATTTTTTTACAAATTTTCCTCTTAAGGAGGAAATTTTTAAAAATTTCTTTCTCCATTTCTATTTTAATAAAATATATTTTTAAAATAGATTTTACAACATTCCTTCTACTGGAGCTAAGTCATCGAGAGAGAACGCTTCTTCACGTGCCAGTTATATAGCAATGAGTAGAGCAAATAGCAATGATTCTTTTACTCCTATTGGTTCGTCTGCCATTTTAGAAGATGAAATAGAATCTGAGGAAATGGATGAAGGAATGAGTAAAACAATAAATGCATCTGAAGAGGAAAATGAAGGAAATGAGAGGAAAGAAAGTGATAGACTAGCAACTTTTACAATAGAACAGCTACAACAAAATCAACAGACAGGGACGAGTGGAGGAAATAGGTGAGAGATTTGAATTAAATTATTGACCTGCAGACACTCTGGCTTGTAGGTTTAATTTGTCATATCATTGGAATAATTGAGAAGGGAGAGTTAAGCGAGGTAACCTTTGAAAGGCCTAGTTGCGTTTAACATTTATAAGGGAACGCTTCGATAAGCCATTATCAATAGTGAGGCAAATGCACGCATTGGGTTAAACTCCTAGCTATAACTGCCCCAGGTCAATGTTAGGTTTTTGACCGGTGGGTAACTCTTTTAAAACATGCCCGGTCCTCAGTCTTCGGGCATTAATTATTTTTAGAATATTTATTAGAGCCTTAGTTAATTTTCTCTTCATTTTACTCTCTTTAAGTATTGCTTCTACATCTGTCTTCGAACCATCAATTACCTCTACTCCAATCTTATTTCAAAGATTATTGGCACCTATACATGAAAATAATAGAGATCAATCACCTGATATAGTTATTCAAAGATTACGGCATAAAAATAGTAATGGTCAGTCAATGTTTGATGGCCAAAGTGATGAAGAAATGGGAGGACCGGGAGGAAGTGCTTCTTTTTATTTACCCAGACAAACAAGGCAAAGGACAACAAGTTCACATTCTGTTGGAGGTAGAATAATGAGTGGAAGTGGTAGTAATCAACAACAACAACTTCCACCTCTTCCAAGTTCTCCTGAACATCAAAATGTTGGTGGTGGTAGTAAATTTAGAATAGGCTCTGTTGGAAGTAGAAATTCTTCTACCTCATCTTTTGTTGGTGGTGGAAATAACAGGTACATATTGTTTTGGAAAGAACATCCTCCATCCTATTTTCGAAGTAGGATGGGGGATGTGCTCTTAATTTGTTTACTTGCTGTGTAGGTCTAGCTCCTCCTTTTTTTTTAGCTCTGTCCTATCTGAAATTTTTAAAGCTTAGAAAAATTTTTTCTAAACTTCAATTCAATATTCCAAATTTCAAATTAAAATTTATTTTTAAGAATTAACAACAACAATATATCATCCTCTTCTTATACCTCTAATCGTCCATTACGTAATGCAACTAGCCTTGAATTATTCCCTACACAAAATTCTTTTTTATCGACACAACAAAATGGAGATTCCAACCTTAATAAAACAAATATTTCCTTTTCTCGTCGTTGTTTACCAGCAACAAGTCCCCCTACTCCAAACCCTTCATTAAATAATAATAATACAAATTATTATTCTACTCTTTGGGGAGCTCCTGCAAATTTGGAAAGACATGCAAATTTTCCGAATTTAAATACTTTGCCGTCATCATCTAATTTGTTAAAACAACAACGTAAATCCTCTTCAACAACGGGTTCCTCACTTTTGAGAAGGTATTAGTAGTAGAATTTTTTACATTGATATTCCTTCTTCGCAAATAAGGGCCCTTGAGAATTAGACCTTAATAAAAAACCCCCACTTTTTTCAATTTATTTTCACATTCATTCCATTTCCTTATTTTTTAAATTAATTTAAAATTTTAAGAAATTCTTCTCCATCTGTTGCATTACTTCGAACAACTAGTTTAACTTCATCACGTGACCGAATCAGTCCACATGCCATTCAAGAACTTTTAGAGCTTTCTCGTTTGTCTGGCAGAATGCGTCGTACAGCAAGTCCCGATGGGGCTAGTAGTAGCCATTTATCTAGTAGAAGTGCTAGTCCTTCTTGTATGTCTAGGTAAAGTTCGGATTTTCTATTTAATGAGTATACGTATATATTTTTAAACTAAAAATCACCATCCAGTCATATAAAATAACTAAATTTCCCATTTTTTAATTAAATTATTTCTAGTGGAAGAGTCTCGCCTCTCTATTCGTCATCACCGGGTGGTGGACTTGTAATGCGTATCTTAAAAAGTGGCACTCCCTCAGGCAGCTTATTATCTTCGGGTGGTGGAATGCGAAAACTGAGTAGTAGTCCACATTTATTGGGTATTTGTGAGGTAATCAATAACTTTTAAAAATTTCAAAAAAATTTTTTTTAATTTCAGGAAATCGAAGAATGTGATTTTTCTCTAGAATCAACCCAAAACACTTGTGACGGTGTAGATGGCTTAGATCCAGATTGTTTAACAAGTGGTCGTCGTTCAGTAACCTCAATTGACCAGCCTTTTTGGAAAAACCCTCCATTAATTTCAAGGAGTGCTAGAAGTGCTTCTATGGGGTTAACAAGTATGGGAAGATTGTCTTTAGGTGGTGGAACGAATAAAAAGATTGTAGCAAATTTAACTAAGGCAACAAATCAAACATCATAATAATATATTTAAATTAAAATATTTTATGTATTAATTGGGAGCTTTTAATTGTGACTAACTCAATCATATGTATATTAATTTAAATAAACTCAAAAATTATGTATTAAAATTTAAGATAAATGATGATGGGAATAATTGAGAGGATTTTTAACTCGTTTTGAGTGTAAAATTGGAATTTTTGTTTGGACAATAATAAGCCTTAACCCTCAATTAAATTTTGAAGAAGATCACTTTAGGGGATTTAATTTGAGAATCCTTGGGTTAGAACAATTCACCGAAAAGGACACAATTCACGCTACAATAAATAATTTAGGTATTTTCTGTGAATTTCCCTTTGACTTTAAATTTATTCAAAAATTTTGCTCACATTTTTATTTAATTTTTTGTCTCATTTATCTTTTAAGTTTTGTCCATATATTAATTTAATTGTGACATAAAAGTTAATTTTTTACAAAGACTTTTTAATCTTATTTAATGTGGTATAGATGGCTTAATCTATTTTCAATTTGTTTATTTTTTATCAAAAAATATCAAAGATAAATTTAAAGCATTTCTGGTTCTGAAAAGAAAGTCCGCAACTTTTCCTGCAAATTATTTTAAAATGCAGAAAGTGTACTTGTAATGTTACGATTATTTTAGTGTAAATTCTGAATTTTTTAATTATTGGATACTGAATTTTTGTTATAGAAATATTTTAAATTTTTATCGTGATTGGAAAAAATATTTTCGGGCACTGGAAATTAAAAACAAAAAAAAGATAAGGAAAGGAATGTGATTTATAAAGATCTAAAAAAGTAGGTTAACGTCTTCTTTCTATCACAAAATAATTACACTCTTTAGTCACATGAATGTTTTGCTCATAAAAAGATTTATTAGGAGAAACAATTCCTTTGCGATTTTTGATTTGTTTAGAAATGTTTTTCTCTTTATTTTGTATTTTAACACTAATTTATTTGTGTTAAAATTTTATTTTTTTCAAGTTTTTAATGAACATCTGTTAACTTTTTTTTTAATTTTATAAAATAAAAGAACCTTATTTTCATATGAATTTATTGTGTTCTTTTAAATTGATTTTTGTTTTAGTTTTTGTTAAAGGTTTCTTGAGGTTTTTAAAAATAGACTTCTCTCACATTCTTTTACCACAGTAAATAAATGGGGGGGGGGGGGGGGGGGCAAAAGGGCGCGCGGCCAAAAGGCGCAAAGCCATAACTTGCTTCAAGATTTCCGATTCTTTCCAACTTTAGTATTAAACTCATCGAGCTAAAGCTTTGGTTCCAAAATTAATAAGGGCCAGAAAGTGTCCAGTAAGTTAAGGCCTTGAGTCTTTATATCCGCGGTTGTGTAGTGGTGTCACTATAGTATAAAAGCCAGTGAAAGCGTCAGTCTATCTCTCTTTCGTCTGTTCCGGTTCTCCATTCCCTTCGTCTTCCCTTAGTCATTCACATTTCATATTAAGGATTTTGAAAGTTTATTTTCAGTTTGTGCATTAGCGTCTCGCGCCCAAATGTCTTATTGAAAAAAGTTTAGCTCTTCCCATTATTTTTTCTTCTCGTGCGACTTTTTCTACGTGTTTTTTTTCTTATGCATAGTTTAATTTTTATAAATATTTAATGATTGATAAAAAAGGAGGGGGGAAGGACAGAAATCACTAAAAGAATATTTTTTGGTTAAAGATTTTTTTATTTTTTTTAAAATTTATTTTCTGACGTTGCATTTTTAAGTAAAATATTTTTAAAATTTTTTTCTTCCTTTTCTTTATTATTTTAAGAAAAAGAAATGTCTTCTAATTCAAATAAATATTTTAATAATTTTCGTCGTCTATGCCGCAACAGGCCAATTTTGGTAACTAGTGTAGTTACTGGCGCTGCTTTGTCTGCTACAATTTATTATTTGGATGTAACTAATGAAGAACGTTTTAAAAGAAATAAAGTAGGTTTTTTTATATTTTTAAAGTTCTTTAAATGTTTTTGGTTATTCGCCCCTCTTTTTACGTTTATTTTTGATTATTGGGTACTTTCTGTTCCATTCAGATTCTAGATTTAAGGAAATCTTGTCTGAGATTATCAGTTTTAACTTTTAACCTTTTGCTTTAATTTCGCTTACTTTTCGCTTGCTTTAGTTTCGCTTAGAAAATTTTTTTAAATTTGAGGGGTGAGGTATCTGAATAGGTGTTTTTCCTCTTGAAATTATAAATGTGGGCATATTTGCAGTTTATAAAATTATTTCTTTTTCTAGTCCAATTATTTTTCTTCTCTTCGTGCACATGCAGCATCTCCAAGTCTTCTAGAAACCAAACAACAACAATTAAATCGCCGTCCATCAGGGCCTCTCCCATCAAGAAAAGAACTTTTGAATGGATTAAGAGAAGAAGAATTTGATATTTTGGTTATTGGTGGAGGGGCTACAGGGGCTGGGGTTGCTTTGGATGCACAAACTAGAGGACTTAAAACTGCTTTGGTTGAATTGGATGATTTCTCTTCTGGAACTAGTGTTTGTGGTTTTTTTTTAATTTTTTTGTGAATGTTTGTTTATAGACCTCGTTTCACACTTTTACGATTATTCCTGCACATTTTTAATTTTAAGTGTACCAAAAGTAGTTAAATTAGGCATTATTGGAGGGAAAAGGATTTATTTAATTAAATCTATTAATTTTTGAAAACAATAACTAGTTTCGTTATTTAATTCATAATTTTTATCTGACAGTTCGATATATTTCCTTGTTAGAAATCGATAACAGATAGGGATTGGGTAAAATTACAAGACAATTTTTATAAAATTTTTGAATATAATTTTCCAAAAAATTTAATTTTCTAGTCTCGCAGCACCAAGCTCATTCACGGTGGTGTTCGCTATCTTCAATCTGCAATAATGAAATTAGACAGAGAACAATATAGAATGGTTAAAGAAGCTTTGTTTGAACGTGCAAATTTGGTTTGTTTTTTTAAAAAATTCTTTTAAATTTAATATTTTATTTGGAATATTAATTTTTTTTTTTATTTTAGTTAGAAATTGCTCCGCACCTCAGCTACCCTCTGCCTATTATGTTGCCTATTTATAAGTATATTTTAATTATTAAAATATTTTGTAGTTGGGAAGCTAGGATTGTCATTTCTGATATCCAAATTCTTTGACAGAAGATTTTTTCTTTTGCTTTTTTATGTTCCAATATCCTGTGAGTAATTCCTTTTTGAGATAATTAAAGAAATCTATCTTGAAAATTTCAAAAATAAATTTAATTAATTTAAAAGGCTTTGGCAAGTTCCATATTATTGGTTTGGAATTAAAATGTACGATTGGGTTTCTGGCAAAAGATTGTTAAAGAATTCTTATTTTATAAATAAAGAAAAGGCTTTAGAACGTTTTCCAATGTTGAAAAAAGAATCCTTGAAAGGAGCTTTGATTTATTTTGATGGTTAGTTTGTTTGGGGGAGGGGAAGAATAAAGAAATCTTTGAACACTTTTCTACATTCTTCTTATGTTTTTTTGAAATAACGATTTTAAGGAACAATTGAGAAGAATTCTCATTTGCCATTAAATATTGCATATCTTCCTCTCCAAACATTAAAATTTATTTTTTAGGTCAACATAACGATGCTCGTATGAATTTGGCAATTGTTTTAAGTGCTATTAGAAATGGGGCAAAATGTTGTAATCATGTGGCTGTTGAACAATTAATTAAAGATGAATCTACAGGAAAATTATGTGCTGCTAAAGTGAAGGATATGGTTAGGTTTTCTTGTAAAAATAAATTTCAATTTTTGAATACATAACTGTCCTATAAAAAATTAACACTTTCTCTCACTTGTTCGAGTTTCGCCTATATTTCCCTTTTTAATTTTTTAAAACTTGAGCTCAAATAATCTCCCACTTTTTACATTATAAACCAAAAATATTTAATTTTTTGTCACGGGTTTGTAAATGTCCATTGTAAATAATTATTGTTTAATCTTAAAAATAAAAAAATTAATTTTTTCCCATTTTAAAGATAACTGGAGAACATTTTATTGTCCGTTCCAAATGTATTGTTAATGCTACCGGTCCTTTTACTGATTCAATTCGTTTAATGGCAAATCCAGAAACTCAGCCGATTTGTTGTCCTTCTGCAGGTGTTCATATTGTTTTACCTGGTTATTACAGCCCTGCAAATACTGGACTTTTGGATCCGGCAACGACTGATGGACGTGTTATATTTTTCCTGTGAGTTTTTAATTTTAAACTTTTTTGTGATTAATTTAAATTAATTCAGTCCATGGCAGAAAATGACAGTTGCCGGTACCACAGATGCATCAAGTGAAGTTACTTTCTCTCCAAAACCTCGAAATTCTGATATTGAATTTATTCTTAATGAAATTCGTGGATATTTAAATAAAAATATTACAGGTTAATTCGTTAAAAATTATTTTTTAAATGAAAATTCGTTTAAAGTTCGTAGAGGGGATGTAATGAGTGCTTGGTCAGGTCTTCGACCTTTAGTTAGAGATCCAAACAAATTTGATACAAAATCACTTGCTCGAAATCACATTATTGAAGTAGCTGATGATTCTGGACTTGTTACTATTGCTGGTTAATTTTTTAAGAAAATAATTTTTTAAAAATAATTAAGGTGGTAAATGGACAACATATCGACATATGGCCCAAGAAACGGTGGATGCTGCTATTAAAGCACACGATCTTAAACCTAAAAATGATTGTATTACTGCTGGTTTATTACTTGAAGGTATTTTATTAGTAAAGGGTATTTATTAGCTCATTTAGGGGCACACAATTGGGACCCGTTGCTCTATGTCCATTTGGTCCAAGATTATGGAATTGAGGTTGATGTTGCTCAACATTTGGCAAATAATTATGGTGACCGTGCTTTTGTAGTTGCTAGATTGTGTAAAATGACTGGAAAACGATGTATTTTAGTTTTTTTTTAACTTTTGAAAATTTAAAAAATTTAAGGGCCGATAGTTGGAAATCGATTACATGGAGAATTTCCTTTTTTGGATGCCGAAGTATTTTTTAAATAAATTCGAAAATAATTTTTTCTCTTTCAAAAGGTTGATCATGCGATAAAAGAATATGCATGTACAACTGTTGATGTTATTGCTAGACGGTTACGGATTGCTTTTTTAAATACTTATGCGGCACATGAAGTTCTTGATTTGGTTGTTCAAATAATGGCAAAACGTTTAAATTGGAGCAGAAAGGAAATGGAGGTTTACAAAAATAGTTTTTTTATATTTTTCTTAAGTTTAAAACAAGGAGGGTTATAATTAATGTCTCCATCGAAGTAAGAAATAAAAGACCCAGAAGGGATTCGAACCCGGTCCATTCACATAGGCATGATTTTTTCTACTAGGCCACACTAAAAAAATAAGTTTCTCTTCAGAGACAATTACAAATGGCCAGAGATTTTATTAACAATGAAATGGGTCAAGAAGCACGTATGCAATCAATGTCAAGTGTCCCATTAAATTTAACACGTGAGGAAATGCAAGCAGCAAAGGAAAGGTTCAATCAATTGGATCGTGACAGAAAAGGGCATATTACAGTTAATGGTTAGTTTTTGGATTGGAGGGTTAAAAAAGAAATTTTTTATTTTAGATATTCGCCGACATTTCCGTGAACATGGCAACAAAATTGATGAACGTCTTTTACACGAATTGTTGAATGAAGTTGATTTGAATAAAAATGGAGAGTTGGAATTGGCAGAATTCTTCCAGGTAAATTTTCTAAAAAAAATTTTAATTAAAAAATTATTTTTAGCTATATAGCGGTCTAAAAACTGGACATATTACACAAAATCGTTTAGTAAGATATTTGGATGAAATGTCAGTAAAGGATGTTGCACGTTCTGGAGGGGGCTTTTAAGATGAGTTAAAAATAATAATTTTAAAAAATAGGAAAAATTAGATTAATGTATATTTATTATATAATTAAATAGAAAATAATTTTATTTTATAAAAAGGTTATTTTTTTAGTAAATTCTTTAAAAAATTGTTAATTCAGATAAATCTAAAGCTCTAAACTTTAATTTTCTGAATCAAAAATTAGTGTTTAGCAAATGGATTGTTTCAATATCAATACCGAAAAGTATTGAAAAATATCGAGTCAATACTTTCGGGAGTACCGAGCACTATCAAAAATTCCAGGTCTTTAGAGCTTTTAAATTTATCTGGTTAATCTAATTAAAGAATTTTTAAATAAAACAACATAGTAATTATAAAGGCATAGAAAGAAAAATCAAAAATTTCCTTTTAAAAAATTAGGTAAAAAAGAAATTGTAAGTACTCTTAACTTTAAATTATTTCTGTGCCTATAAGTATTTTAATTAGCCCAACAATTTTGTGTTTTTTGTTATAATTGTGTGCTGAAGTTTTTAATCTCTTAATTATTTAGATTTATTTTAAAATATTTTTTTGGGATTAAAATAAGAAAATTTAATTTAGAATGTCAAATTTTAATTTAAAAAATCTCCAAATTATTTTATTTGTCGATAAAAATTTCTTTTTGATTTTAATACATAAAATTTTTTAAAACAAAACAATTTATAAATTAAAAATCAAAAAAAAATTGAGTGAATTAGACAAAACAATATTTTAAATTACAGAGTTGTTTCGTTTTCTCTTAAAGTAGAATCAATTTTTTTATCAAAACATTTTTTCAAGCTTGAAACTTATTTTCGATATTAAATTTATTTTTAGTTAAGAGGTTCAATAAAATCTTCAGGGATCGGACGACCATTTCTATCGTAACCATCCAAATAGATAATCTGTGGTAATAAAGTGAGTACATTCTCGCGGTAATTTGGAAGCTTCTTAAAAGAAAAAATATTAATTCCAAAATATATTTGTGTGGGACTTTTTAAACTCCGCTATTTCTGCGGTATCCCATCCAGCAAAAATTTTTTAGAAAAAATTTTAATTAAATCAAAACGAACCGTTACACTACAATCAGTTAAATCTAATACTTTCAATCCCAAAAGATCTTTAAATGGTTCGAGTGCTTTGATTTCCTTAGAAAGAAATTAAATTGTAGGTTGGGAAAAAATATAAAACTTCAATTTTGTTAGCAGATAAATTGATAAAACGAAGACGTGGACAGTTTTGCACAAGTATTTCAAACTCGCCACTTAATTCGTTATGACTGAGATTGATTCCACGTAAAGTTGGAAGCTGGAAAGAATAAAATGTTTTTGATCATTAAAAAGAAAAAAAGCAAAGTGGTGGAAAAGTCTTGACCCAAGTTTTAAAATTTTTCGTGTTAATTTAAAAATTTCTATTATAATTTAGTGTTCGTCACGGTTAGATACTACGCTATATTACCGAAAAGTAACGATTAGGTACTTATCGGTACTACCGATAACGAGAAAATCCATCTTCAGACATTAACAGTCTTTAAATTATTTTCTAATGACAGCAATCTATACCTTGAACAATTTTTTTGCTCACTTACTGTAGGAAAAAAATTTGTAAAAATTATTGTGAATATGAATAAACGAACTAATCAAAATTTCGTTTTACTAGTTATGTATAACGTAAATAAGAGTAAGAATTTTCAAAAAAATATTTACGAAAAAATAAAAATAAAAAGTAAAAAATTCCATACTTTAGGAAACCCAACAAGCGAGATAAGCATTTAAAAATTTTCGTTTATTAATAAGTAGTTGAAAAAATATGTATGTATTAATAATAAATCTAAAAAATAAATTATTATCGAAAACGTAGCTTTGAGTGATGGATGGTGGGTGTTTTAGTTTCACTCTTACAAAGGAGAATACTATTTACAAATAAGTAAAGTTTTAACATTTATGAATATTTTGTGATCCAACAAAGTTAATATTTAAGAGGGAAAGGCATTTTCAAAGGAATAATTTTAAAAAAACACGTAAATGGTGAATAGTAAAGAAGCCTTGTGTTTATATGTGTGTAATGTCAAAAAATGGTAAAGTGCAATTACGAAAATTGTTAGTCGATTAATGGATAGAAAATGATTTAAAATATCAATTGAGTTAATTAAAATGATTAAAAAACATTTAAAAGACAAGAAATGTTTTTTGATGATTAATTTTAAGAATGGGGGAAAATTATTTGAAAAAATTAAATTTTGGAATTTCGGCCACTATTGGGAGAAGACCAAACAATTTAAAAAATGGAAAGGGTGCTTATATGAAGCTGTAAAGATTTTCAACACATTTAGTACCAAAAATAACCAGTCTCACACATTTGCCTTGTTTTAAGTAAATTATTTCCCTAATTTAAACCTTTTTGGACATAAATGACACACTCAAATAAGGCAACAAATAATCCAAACAAAAGCTAACATTCGAATGAAATATGAATGTGGGTTTGTAAAGAGACTAAGTATATAGGCCAGAAAAATAGAAGAGTGGATAGAGTTTTAGAAATGAGAGAATATAAAAAATTTATTTCAGCTAAATAGGAAAATTTTAACTATAATTAATCGCTCTTTTCACTCTGCGACATAGTAATAAACAAATAAAAATTAAAGATCAGAAACTAAATAATTTATGTAAAAATGAACATTTTGGCTCCTCAGAATTTAAATAGAAAATTAAAAAGGATGATTATTTGTATATAAATTATTTTTGTGCCTATAAGAATCCCTTAATCCTCCCTATTGAAGAAAAGTTAAGATGAGAGGTGCCATTTTAATTTTAAAAAATCTCTAAATTATTTTATCTGTCGATAAAGAATTTTTTTGATTTCACCACATACATAAAATTCTTAAAAAGTAAATTCAAAACAATTTATAAATTAAAAACCAAAAAAAATTGAGTAAATTTACAAAAAAAATTTTTGTGTTTTACAGATTTATTTATCAACACTTTATATTTAAAGTTTATTTTCATTATATGTCAATAATTCAAATCCATTTGAAAGGTCTGATTTTTGTGATGCCGTGTCTTCTTCTAATTCATCTAAAAAATTTAAAATTTGAATTTAAAAATAGACATTCCTAAAATTAGAGTTTAAACTTTTCAATTTATTGGACCCAGTATCCGAACCTGGTCAGTCCCCTTCCGCGAGAAGGGGAAGGAATTTTTAGAAAAAATCCTGCAAGTAATTTTTCCAATAATTAATTCAAAACCAACCAATCTTCTTTTGCGTTTCCTTTGTTTCTTTAATTTCTTTAATTTTTTCCTCAATTATTTGTTGAAAACTTTCTTTTAAATTTTTAATTTCATTTTGGTGTTCAGACTTGAGTTTTTGAATTTCCTGAAAATGAATTTTGGAAATTAATTCTTTCAAATAAAGATTGGACAATTTAAAATTAAAAATATTAGAATATTTTAAAAAGCTAAAAAAGGCAAACCCTCAGAACCGCCGAAAATTTGTGATTTTTTAAGAGATAAGGGATAAAAGGATAAAATTTTAAGGATAAAAATTTCCTTATAAATATAAGGAAAAAATAAGGATAAAATAAAATACCTCATTCATTTTCTTCTCCAAAACCTCCATTGCCTCCTTATTTTTACTTTCAACTAACGAAAGTTTAGTTTGAAAATTATTAAGCTTTCCATCAACTTTCTGAAGTAAAAAATAATTTTTAATTTACTTTCAAGTCTAAATACCTTTTCAAAAACTTCCTCATAATCACTGTTAAATTTATCGTCACCAAAATTCTCTTCACCATCCTCAGATTCATCTGAAAGATCTTCTTCTAAGAAAATTTTTAAAAATAAAAATTTATTAAAAAGATTACTATCATTTATATCAAAACCGTCCAAATATTTAATTTGTGGCAATAAAGTAAACATATCCTTTCGGTAATTTGGAAGTTCCTTAAAAGAAATTTAAATATATAAAAAGGCAGTATATGAAAGTAAGGGCGGCATCCAATTTTTTCCATATTCCTAAAAATATTTATTTTTCTTATATTTTTCTCTCTATTTTGATTTGTGGCGTAAGGTTATAAACGCAAAAGGATTATTTTCTTATAACTTGTGTGTGTGTGTGTGTGACCGATGTGTGTTCGTGTTGTCCGGGATCAATGTGTGTCCGTGTTGTGCGGGACCGATGTGTGTCCGTGACCGTGTAGGTCCGGCAACACGGACACAAACGGTCCACATCGGTCACACACACACGGACACACATCGGTCACGGACAACACTTACAAATACACACACACGGACACATATCGTTCCCTGACAACACGGAAAAATAATCCTTTTGCGTTTATAACATTACGGCACAAATCAAAAATAGAGAGAAAAATATAAGAAAAATAAATATTGTTTAGAAATATGGAAAAAATTGGATGCCGCCCTTACTTTCAGATAGGGTCTATAAAAATATTAAAAATACAAAACCGTTACTCTACACTCAAATAAATCCAATTCTGACAATTCTGAGAGATTTTTAAGTGGCTCGAGTGCTTCGATTGTCTTGAAAAAGGAAAAGATTTAAATTATAAAATTTTGTAAATAAATTCAACTTTAATTTTGTTAGCACTTAAATCGATAAAACGAAGACGTGGACAGTTTTCCACAAGTATTTCCAATCCTCCAGTCAATTTATTATCACCTAGTTCGATTGTATGCAAAGCTGGAAGCTGGAAAGAAAAGAGAAAATTTTGTGATCATTAAACCATTTTTAACGTAAAACGGGGGAAAAAGTTTAAAAATATTTTTTAAAAATTTTACTTTAGGCAACCCATCAAGCGAAGTCAATCCAACATACTCTAAATAAAGTGCTGTCAATTGAGAAAATTCATCAGTCAGACCGCTGATGGTTTTTGCTCTACAATGTTCGAGAGAAAGATATTTAACTTCGGATGGCTTTTTGCCTAAATTAATTTTTAAATTTAATTGATAAAAATATATAATTTACCTCTAAGTTCTCTTATAATACGCTTTTCCATTTAAAACTTTTTCAATTAATAAAAAACTAATTGTACTATTAATAAATCTGAAAAATATATACAGTCATCGACATAAAGATAGGGGCAAGTGTAAACGAAATGAAAATTTACTATTTTTCAGTCAAAAAATACGTTCTATATACCAATCGAAAGCTCTATTCGTATCTCAGTTGACATGTTTCTGCATTTTTCATGAAATTGAAAATTGGCCGAGATAATCCGGATCTACCGGATATACCAAATCCCATAATCTCGGAAAAATTTTTCGGAAAAAATTTAACGAACCCATTTGATAAAGAATATTTTTGTGAGTATTTACCAAAAGACCGCTTAGAAATATCTTTTTCCTGACCAGAGATATGATTTTTTGAAAATGGCATTTTTCGCTTAAAAATTGGATTTTTTGCAAAAATAGGCGAAAAATGCCATTTTCAAAAAATCATATCTCTGGTCAGGAAAAAGATATTTCTAAGCGGTCTTTTGGTAAATACTCACAAAAATATTCTTTATCAAATGGGTTTGTTAAATTTTTTCCGAAAAATTTTTCCGAGATTATGGGATTTGGTATATCCGGTAGATCCGGATTATCTCGGCCAATTTTCAATTTCATGAAAAATGCAGAAACATGTCAACTGAGATACGAATAGAGCTTTCGATTGCTATATAGAACGTATTTTTTGACTGAAAAATAGTAAATTTTCATTTCGTTTACACTTGCCCCTATCTTTATGTCGATGACTGTAAGTAAATAAATAATTTATTTTCTTTTATTTTTTCAAATCCACACCAAAAATATCGTTTACTCTAAATATCGAAACCATATTATCAACAGCAAATTTTTTAGATTTAATTATTATTGTTCCAACGACGGGAAAAGTTGCTCCAACTACAAAGAATGTTTTAATTAAATTATTATTTGTTAAAAGCTAAATAGGGGTATTGTGACGTGACTTAAAAAGTGTTGATTTCTTTTACGATTCTCGGATACGTCAATTTTTTATTTTTCGGGATATCCATCTCCCAATCCGATCTCTAGCTGAAACAGCCAACCAACTTCTCTGTATTTGGAATAACTTTTCCCGTCGTTGGGAAAGTTGTATTTTAACTTCAACAAATAAAAATAAATAAGAGTAAAGCGCTCCGAAAGTAAAGGAAAAATGAGGAAAGATAATATGTAAGTAAAGGGACTTAAAAAGGGCGGTAAAATAATAAAAAATATGGGAGAAAGAACATTAGGAAATATTTACTGAAGGGCAACAATTTGAATAGTATAATAAAGGAAGAAATATTTAAAATAAAGATTGAGGAAATTATTTGAATATGTTGAGAAGTGGGGCAAAAAAAGGATAAAAAACTTACTGCAAGAAAAAAGATATTTACAACTTCAAACACGTAAATATATACCGATTCACGATGCCCGAAAATTTCTCGGATACTATCTTCCTTTATCATCGATATCTCCCTTAATCGTTAAGATGCGCAACAGAACGCTTTACATGGGGTCATTAAAAACGCAGCCTTAATTCCTCGATATACCAATTAATCACTCGTTTATCCCCCACTCGTTTATCCCAATTGGGGCAAACTTTTTAAAATTTTGATTTACATATAATAGTGTTTCGAAAGAAGTTCCAATAAGTGGCTTTAAATGCTAATCATTTTCTGTTGAATACATATTCAAAAAAAGTAATTACACCTTGACACTTTCCTAATTAATCATAATTTTATAATATTTTTTAATAAAAAATTGATAATTATTAATTAATATTAATTATTAATTATGTATTAATATCATATTTTTATTTATTCTATCCAAGTAATGAATTTTTAAATTTCTAATTTATTAAATATGAATCATATTTCTTTTAATTTCCTTTTTTTTAATTTTATAAAAAAACTGTAAAAAACTGTAAATAAATAATATTATATTTTCAATTACTAAATATTTTTAGTTTTTACTTTTATTTTAATTTTAGAAAAATAATTTTTAAATTTCCATTCGTTAGCAGTTTTAATAAATGAATAAATTTTTGGATTATAACACCACCCAACGTTACGTGGCCATCCAATACACTAACCAAGTCCCCTAAATCCTTTCCAGAATTCTACCTTGCATTAACGCCATATAAGTTATACACTCATTTATCGGTTCCTTTATTAGGGGGTATAACAAGTATCTTAATATTCTTTAACTTTTTAGAATCTTTCAGAGGAAATAGTTAAATAATGCTTTTACAGGCCTTTTCAGCCATTTTATTTATTTCTTGTTTTTTATTTACAAATTGTTCAATTAATGATAAAATGTTTGGATCGTTAAGTTCTGTTAAAGTAATTATGGAGGAGGATATAGAGAAGGTTTCGGAAATACCGGTTAATTATGTGGAAGGATGTAAAGGGTAAATAATTTAAATAAATATTTAGAATTGGGACATTAATTTTTTAGATTCTAAAAAAGATTTTTCAGGATATTATTTTGTTATCCCAGCCAATTTTCCGCGAATTCTGAAAACAATTGGAAACCTAATAAAGCCTTTGAATTAACAAAAAAAGGTGCAAGTAACCTCTGTCTAAATTCTTTAAAAGAATCAACTGAATATGAAAAACTTAAAAATATTCAATGGAATAGGGTGATGGTATTTAAAGAAGGAAAAGAAAATTTGGAAATATTTGCTGATATATTCCCTGAAAAGTAAGGGGGGGGGGTTTAAATTAAAATTTGAGAAATATTAGAGGAAGAGGATCTTCTCTCAATTATTTATTCTTTTTTGAATACTTTCAGCGAAAATCTAAATACTGAGCAATAATTATTCAACCACTTATTCAAGCAAAATTTTCAACCCTTATTTAAAAAATAAAATTTCCTAGTCTCCTCTCTTTGATCCTTAATAATATATTTAATAATAATTTTAAAGTGATCAAATTCTTCTACACAATACCACAACATCGGTACTCTTCAATTTCTTGATAGGAAAGGATAATTCACTCAAAAGTGGGAGACTCTCTTTAATTAATTCTTAAAAAAATTTATTTTTATTTAAGAAAAGATTTTGTCGGAAAGTAAAATTGATAGAGAATATTTTAATGTTGATAAAAATCCAAAGCCTTTGCTAGATGATTATCCGGGCATTTTGGCATTGAAATTGGATATTATGTTAGGGAAATCCAAAAATATCAAGACAAATCCAATAAACCGACAGTTTATTTGGAAGTTAATAGATAAATGTGTTGTAAATAAGGTAAAATTTTTTGTTAGAGGGTACCTCTGTCCCAACATTGCTTAAGGAATTAATGCTCCTAAATATTTGAGCTAATTTTATGTCTCCCACACTGTTATTCGGCTGTCAATTCGTTATTACTATAACAAAATATTTTCTATGTCAGGATATGTTCATTACCAATAAAAAGTTTGTTGAAAATCGAATAGAAATATGGACATCATTATTTAATCTTGCTTGTGATGGTGCAGAATTTCGGAAGGATGATCGCTCAAAAAAGTGTACATATAAATCTGATGATACAAACAAAATGAGATAGTAATACCTTAAAAATATGCTTAAAAACTAGGGTTGCTCACTACCGCCGGTACTCCCGGGTTTTCGGTTCGGTTAACTGACTGTGAGCCTTTTTTATTAAAACTTTTAACACCCTTCAAGATTATCTATTTAAAATTAATTTCAGTTGGAACTCAGTCAATTTCACATTATGTTATGTTTCTAAATTAGGAAAAGAGGTAAATACAATCCTCTTTAAAATATAGTTTTACTTTTGTTTCAGCTAAAAAATAATCCAAAAAGTGAATATGCCAAAAATTGTAGCAAAGATGGGGAAGAAAAGCATGGAATTGAATTTAGAGTTTATGGAACGAGAGTTGGATTTAACCAATCTATTGAAGATTATTATATTGAATTTAATGTTGCCGTTGTACTTGGATTCTCTTTTTCAACAAAAACGTTAGGGGTTTTTTAAGTGGTCGAGGAGTATCACAGAAAGAGTTTGCAAAAGTTTAGACACCGGGCAGGATTGAACCTGCGACCACCTGCCAGTTGTTGCTAGCCGCTTTCGCTCACTATATGCAGGAGCTCTATCTCTGAGCTACCGGGGCATCGACTAATCCTTTCTCTTTTTCCTTTTTAGATCGTTTAACCATACACAGCCTAAGCGTTCTGGGTGAATCATCCTTACATCGCCCCTAAATATCCTGGGTCTGAGCCCGAGCTTAATACCAAAAATAGACAACATCCCTCTCAATTAGACACTAACCACCCTCTAAATTTAAAACATTTTTATCATTATTAGAATTGCATTTAATAAAACAGTTAAAGCAACTGGAAAAGTTCGACATTCTTATACTGGAATTCAAGATGAAAGATTATATTATACTTATCTTGACACGTTAAATAGAGAAGAAAGTTACATTTTAATATTTTCAATACAATTGGGGAATAATGGAAAAAATTTTGCAATTTTAACTGATGAAATGAATGGAAATGTTTATGATTATGGAAATTATGTTCTTACAAATTTTGGGAATAAAAGCATTCAGGAAATTGTAGAAGAAGTAAATTAACTTCCTAAATATGTACATAAAATAAAAAAAATTAAAAGGATGGGGCAATTGCAATGATTGGACCTGACATGAATTTGGAAGGAAAGCTTTTGCTGTCTAAAAACATTCAATTTTTACCGGTAACAAACGAATCATGCAGCATTCACACAGTTGATATAAAAATAAATAATGTAACAATTGAGAAGGAAATAAGTTGTGTGAGTTTTTAAAGTAATTTATTTTAGAGGGAATAAATAATAAATCTGTCCCCACTAGGGTTGTCGGTTCCTGGAAATTCTTCGGATATCCGAAACCGAACCGAAAAATTCTCGGTTCTTCGGTTCGGTCCTGAACCGACAACCCTTTTCCCCACTAATGGCGTTTACTTTAGTATAAACGTTCACCAAATATTTGTGATCAACTTGGTCTGGAGGAATACAACAAACAAAATAAGGCATTCAGTGAACTTTTGGAATTGTATGAAAAATGCCCTTGCTATACTTGGGAACCTCGTCCACCCTCCATAGTTAACAATAAATATATAAAATACCGTAAATAAATTATAAAAAAATCAGACAGATGACAGATTAATTGTCCATCCCGGAGCTAGAGATAAACGAAATGTTAAAAATGATACTTTGTTAGGAACTCGGGATGCTGAGGGATTAGTTTATGGTTGTGAAGATGCTAGGTATTTTGTTTTGGGTGATATTGCATTGCGTTATGATGATATCCTCCAAGAGCTAGAAATACAGCGTAAATGTAAATTTTTATTCTGGGGATTGTTAATTAAAGTCCTAGCAAGCAGGGGTGAATCGGAATTCCGAATTTCTGACAGTTCCGAGTCCCGACACCGTCGTCATTTCCGATTAACCTCTGATAGCAAGCAAGCTTATTTCCAACGAATTAGAAACATTAAATTAATTATTACTAATTTAAGGCTGTAAATAGATTGGCAAATTTCAGCAAAGTAGACTGGCAATTCTCTAAAGAAATTAAACTTTTGTAAAAAATTCCCATATACTTATACCTAATAATTTTTCTGATAAAATATAAAATTTAGATTTTCTCTCATTCAAAAATTTAATTTAAATATTTAATAAAATAATTAAAATATAAATTGGTTAATTAATTCTGTCTTTTTTGATTCATTTCTTTTTTAAATTGATTTTTTTTTAATTTAAAAAAATTCAAAAAAAAATTTCCTTTCGTCCTCAATGACTAAAAATTTTTTTCATTTAATTTTTAAATTTTTTACCGTTTAAATACACACAATTAAACACACTCCTCACCAATTCCTTTTAACATTTAAATTTAATTTTATTTTCTGATTTTTGTTCTCTTCTCTTTAAATTGTTCTAAATTAGTCTAATTTATAAAATAGAATTGTGGGTATTTAAATATTTGAAAAAGTTGCCAAATAAAATTTTACTTTGAAGAATTTGTCTGTGTCAAGATCTGTCTCATTTTTAAACACAATTTTACACACTATTTCGCCTTTTGTCTAACCTAAGAGGTAAAAATAAATACTAAATTATTTTTGCTATAAATATTTTCGGAATTTTCCGGATTCTAATCAGACACTTTTAGATATACCCACGAAATTAGTACACCTAGAATAAATTCATTATCTTTTAGTCAGGTTTGAATGTATAAATTAGAAAATTCAGAAAAGAGCAAAAGACACAACGGATATATGTAAATACATCCACAAGCCTCTTGGATTAACACAACGAAAGTTAATTTTAATCAATTTTATAAAATAAAAATATCTCCATTTTAACCCTTATATTTTTACTAAATTTCATCTACCTATTTTTAATTAAATAACCATTTTAATTTTACAACATATTAAATAAATCAATTAATTCAAAATTCATTTATTGCCAAATAAAAAATAGAAATTAAAAAAATTTTCCCCTCTTAATGCGCTCAAAAATACAGCTGTTTGTGTACACATTTTATAAAACCTTTTTATTATTTTTTATTTGTCACCTCCCCCTTTACCTCCCCTCACCTCACCCCTCTCCTTTTATTTTCTCTTCTATTCTCGAACCCTTTAAAACCTTTTATTTTATTGTATTATTTGAGAGATTCTTTCTTTTCTTTTCAACCACAACCACTTTTATGGCCAATCCATTTTACACACTTAAACATTTTTTTAATTTTATTGAGATGAGTCATTAGAGTAAAATTGGGGAAAATTCTTATAAAATTTTAAATAAAATCTCTTTATTTAGTTGGTTAGAAGGTTTGGGGGCTGATTTGGAAAATTATTATATAAAAAAACGAGCTTTTTGAACCCAGACGTCCTAAGAGTGTCCAAAAAGCTCGTTTATCGAAATCAACTTTCAAGTTTTGTCTAGAGCATGTAAATTTACATAAATATATTTTCAAAAACATTATTTTATTTATATAGAAATTTTGTAATTTTTGGTTGAGTACACAAGAATTTAAAATCAAAAAAAAATTCAATTTTCAAAGGAAAATATTGCCATTTTTCAGTTCTTTGCCCCCATAACTTTCAGAAAATCTAACCAAAAATTATGAAATTTATAAAGAAGGGGTTAGATAATACTTTAAAGAATATTTAAATAAAATTTCAATTCTTTAGGTCCCCAACTTTATGATTGTTTAGCGCCCAATCCCTTCTATGTCCAAACAGTTTTTATCTTTAATTTAAAATCTTTTTTTCTCGACTCAAACATTCTCTCAAAAATATTTTCATTTTTACATAATTTCTTTATTATTTTTCAAAACTAACAAATAAATTCTCTCAATTGTTTGTCAAGAGTTTTCACATGTTTTTTAAAATAAATAAATAAATATATTTATTTATTACTTTATTTTATTTTTCATGTTTCGCAACTTTCTTCAATTTCTTTTGTTATTTTTTAAATATAAAAAACAAATTTAATATTTCCTTGTCACCCTGTATAGTATTTCCATAAATCATTTAAAATATTCTTTAATCTTTTTATTTTTTTGATCAAAAAATATTTTTCTTTCAATCATTTGAATTATTAGTCATGTTAGTCCCCACTAAATATTTAAATAAGGAAAGTTTGAAAAATTTATTAATTTTTATTTGGAAATGGGTGTTTTTCTAATACTAAAAATTTATTGAAATATTTGAAAATTAAAAAATCATTTTAAATTTTGGGAAGAACCTTTCTCCTCCCTCCCCCTTTCTCTTTTCAATTAATTTCTAACAATTTATTTTAAACAATAAAACTAACATAGTACATATTAGAGATCTAACTGGGCCTGGACCAAGACTAGAGTTTTTCTTGTACTCAGGCCCAAGCATTTTTTGATCTTACTGGGTTTTTCCTGGAGTACAGGCCCAGGATCCGGCCCAGGCCAGTAAATCAAAACCGGAACCCAGGAACAGACCCAGGCTTTTCAAAAATCCCGATCTTTAGTTCATATGTCTTATTTAACGAGAATTATCATTGAAAGTTACGTATTATTGGACAATTTTAGAAAAATGATATGAAAATGAACAAGTAACGATTCCAAATAATGGTTTAATGAGAGTAGTTAATTAATTGTAAGATTCTCGAAAGTAAATGCCTCAATTTCTTTTAATTTCAACATTTTCAGCATTCCCCCCCCCCCCCCCCCCTCACTTTGCCCTTTTTTCAAAAAATTCTTTTTCCTTTCCATTTTTTGTTTCAAACAAACATTTTTATAAAATCACCTGACTTTTGTTGACAGTCACTTTTCTTTCTTTCTTTTCTTTTTCCAGACAGAGAAAAAGAAAGAAAATTTTTTAAATCAGAAAACAGAATGGCCATTAAATAAATAAATGAAATTAAATTGTTTTTTAAAATTATTTTCCCACAATTTTAAAATAGCCTTGAAAATTGTTGGGTATTTTTTTTGGTATAATTTAAAACAAAAATTTTTTTGGAAAGGTTAAATTACAAAATTTTAATTTAAAAATATTTTTATTAAATGATTGTTTTAAATTAATTTAAATGAATGGAAATATCTTCAATTACCTTTAAATTTAAAATTATAAAATTGTTTTATTAAAACCAAAATACTATCAAATTTTGCTTAGACATTCTCTCAATAATTTCCTTTAGTTTCACTAAAAATTTTAGAATTTTTGGTTTTCTATTTCAAAAATTTTATTGACAGGAAAGGTTTCCCCTTCCTTTTTTAACCAGAATTTTAAAAATTTTAAATAAAAAATTCTGAAAATTTAAAAAAAAAATTAAAAATAATGTTGAGAATATTTATATAATAAATTTCAAGGCTACCTTTATCTTTGCAAAATTTTTAAATTCGTCCAAGGACATTGAGGACTCCCTTCTTGACTATAAAAATATATAGAAGAGTTTTGAATTATGTTGAATTATGTATTTTATAATAAAATTTAGTATTTCACTTATAAAACTCTTCTAAAAATTTCAGAATTTTTAATTCTGTATTTTTTAAATTCTGGCCAAAAAACATAAATCAAATCTTACAAAATTTCACAATTAAAATTCCTTTCATTTTCCCTTATAATTTAAAAAATCTTCAGAAAGTTTCAGAATTTAAAAGTGATTATCTAACAATTTTACAGGTACAACCCAAGGTACCGCAAGGCCAAGGTACCTTCGAGCTATAATTCGTCGAGCTATAATTTATAATATAATAAAATTATTGAATCCGGGACGCATGGTTCGATGCATCTTGACGAGCTGAACCATACCAGGGCGTCCTGGATTCAATAATTTTATACAAAATTATAGCTCGGCGGTACATTGGCCTGCTCCCCAATTTTACAGGCCCCTACCCTTAACTCCCTTAAAAATATTTTGGATAAATTGTCAAAATTTTTTTAGAATTTTATTTACTTTAATTTTTAACAACTTTTTTTTTATTTTCTGGCAAAATTTTATTTTTAAAAAATTCTTTTCATTTTTTTACTATTTTCCCTCTTCTTTTTCTCTTTGTTAGCAGTTGTCTCTTTTTTAAGCTTTAATGCCGGCAAGAATTTTTTATATTTTCACTTATTTAATTTCCTCTATATTGATTTTATGGCCATAAACTATGTATATTTACTTTATATATTTTTTCCTTTCTTTTGCGTGTTCGGCACATTTTTAGTAAAAATAAAATATTATATATTAAGTAAAAAATTTATTTTCTTTTTTATTTGTTATTACTTTAAAAAAATCTAAAAATAATCTTTTTTTTCTTCTTTAATATCTTTTTGGTCATTAGCTGAGTATTCTCTTTTTTATTTAAAAAGAAAAGAAGGGATTTTTATCCCTTTTTTAACATTTATTTAAAGTTGTCATGTTACTTTTAGAGATGATTTTGCCAAATTAACATTTTGAACTGTGAAATTTTACATGGACATAGCTTATATTGTTGTTTAACAACACTAAAATTTTAAAAATTTTTGGTAAAATATTTTTGAATTTATAGAGGAAACTGTCATAAAAATCGACATTTTCTCTTTAAAAATTGTGATATTTTCTTCCATTCCTTTAAATTTAAATAAAAATTCGATTTTTTTGAAATTAAATACTAAAAATGTCCCTTCCTTGTTATCTGTCTGCCTTTATTAACACTCAATTTACGTCAGTTCCCGGATCTATTTTTTGTTTTATTTTGACCTCTACGGATGCGGAAATTAAAAAAAATATTTTTAATTAATTTTTTATTTATTTTTTATTCACAATTCTCTTTTGTTATTTCAGTTTTTTTAAATTTATCCCACATTCTCCATTATACTCTCTTAGATATCCAGTTGGCTTTAATTGAAGAGATAAAGGAGTCTCTATATTTTTATTAAATCTCTATCCAATCTTTCGTATCCCACATTACCTAATATCCCTATATTTTCGAGTTTTCAATCTTAATAATATTCCATTGATTTAATAATTTAATTTAAATTTTTAGAAGAAAATTTATTTTATTATTTTAATTAACTATTTAATTTAAAAAATATTTAACAATAATGTCGAGAGTTGGTATTTTTGGACAAATATCAGAAATTAATGATCACCTTTTTCTTAGGTAAATTTCAAAAAATAATTTTAATAATTATTTTTTAGCGGTGCCGGTGTTCTTCGGCCAGAGAAGCTCAAACAAAAAGTAAAAAAATAAATAAAAAATAATTTTATTTTAAATTAAAATTAAAGGGAATTACTTGTATAATTAATGCAACAATAGAAGAACCGACAACTAATTTATCTGGTAAAAGATAGAAGAAAATTTTAATTAAAATTATTTTTAATAAAGGTATTGACTGCGTCAGAATCCGCATAGAAGATTCTCCTTATTCTCGACTTGATAATTATTTTGATTTAGCTGCAGACAAAATTAGATCCATTAGAGTAAGGGGAATTTATTTAATATTATAATTCCGGAAACTGTCTATTGCACTCATTTAACATAGTCTCTTACTCAACTTCCGGAAAATATATTTTAATCCGGAAAATACAAGAGAATATTTATTTTCAGAAATTTAAGGAATTACAAAATTCCGGAGATATGATTCCGGAAATGTAATATAACAAGTTCAGGAAATTAAAAAGGATTCCGGAAAACATACATATCAGAATATATATTTCCGGAAAATACACACCTATGACAGTATATTCTCTTCCGGAAAATATATATAAAAATATAAAATTCCGGAAATGACAGAGAAACAATAGTATATGTCCTGTAATGTTTGCAATTTCCGGATCCTTTTCTCTAGTATCCAATTATTTACTTACACTTCTTTTAGGAACGTGGAGGTAAAACACTCGTTCATTGTGTTGCCGGTGTTTCACGTTCTGCTACTCTTTGCATTGTCTAGTATGTTCCTTTAATTTTATATTTTTTCAAATTTTTTAAATTATTTTTTCAGTCTAATAAAATATGAGAGAATGTCATTAAGACAATCATATCACTATGTTAAATCCTCTAGACCAATTATTCGGCCAAATCTTGGTTTTTGGCAACAAATGGTTGATTATGAACGAAAACTTAGGGGTAGATAAAAATAAATTGAGATAAATATTTTTTTGTTTAAGGACATAGTACTGTTACAATGATTCCAGTTGAAGGTTCGCCTTTTGCCTTTCCAGATGTTTATTCTCAGGTAGAAGAGATTTTACCTTAAACTTGGAATATGTATAAAATTTTAGTTTAATTTGTTGTATGTAAGGACCTAACCCTCTATAAATTAATTGATAAAATCTTAATTTTTTAATTTATTGGGGTATAGTTTAACTTCTCTAACATGCCGCTCCTCCACACATACATAACTTTCCTTTATACGCGGCTCATTTCAATCCCGAGGATGTGTCGGAAAAATTTGACTTTATTTCGAAATTTATATTTTTTGATAGCTTGTAAATATTAACCACATTTTTCGTAGTAAAATAATTATTTCTGGCCCAGCTCAAAACTTATTCAGGAAGGGGAGGGAGCCTTATATTTTTAATTAAAAGAAATTAAAATAATTTTAAATAAATTTTAAAGGATCTACGTAAACATATTTTAACAAATCCTGGCCCACCTCAACACGATTCAACATTAATTGCTTTACAAAAACGTTTAAGAGAGCGTGAACAACAAAGAGAAAATAGTAATGCTGCTGCAGCTGCTAGGGCAACTTTAATACCTATTCAATTAGTTAATACTACATCTAATGGAAATTCATCTTCTTTAGCTTCTCGTTTAAGGTAGATTTTTGGATACTTGATAGCATTGCCTACCCCCCCCCCCCCATATTTTTCAATAAAATTTCCAATAATTTTCAAGTTCTTCAACAAATCAACGAAGAAATAACGGATTAGATTCTTCTCTTCGTCATCGCCATTCTTCCTCTGCTTTACCTAGTCGTTCTACTCAAAATAATGTCCAACAAAATTCTTCAATTAATTCAACCTTTCCTTGGCGTGTTTCTTCACTTTTGTCACCAGCCCCAGGGAGGCGTTCTGCTGCCGGTTTCTCTAATGGAAGGGGAGAAACTGGGCTTTTTGGTATGCCATCGCTTTTTCAACAACAGCAACAACAAAGTCTTTTCCCGGCTTTTTAAATATTTTTTAATGAAATAATGAATGGGAAAGAACAAAATTACATAATTTTTTTGATAATTAAAGGGGTTGGACATAAAAAAACAATTAATTGGATTTTAGAGTCGTTTGGGTGGAAAAACAATTACTTTATCATTTGTTAAAGATTAAGCCGACTTTCGTTATAACTCTCCCCACCCCCACTTCCACCACTCCCATTATCTTCTACATTGTATTGGGAATGGGGGAAAATATAAAACTATTTTTTGGGGAGGAGGTTAATAACGAAAGTCAATTTAATCTTATAAAAAACCCAATTAATTAATTAATCAAATACCCAATTAATTGCTCCTAATATTTTTATTTTGTTGTGAGCAACGAGCATAATCCTTTTTAATGTTCCTTATTTTTAAAAAGAAAAATCCCGAAAAATTGCCACGATTTATTAAAATATATCCGGTTATTATCAGCAAGCATACTATATACCCAAAATAAAGGCAGTTATGTATTAAATTTTTAAATCCCCTTACAGAGTTTTCGGATTTATATTTTTATTTTAGTCGGTTTTTTGGCTTCTAAAAGGATGGGAATGATTTAAATCTGGCTGTCTTTATTTACAAACACTTCCTATTTTATTTCTTTCCATCCCCTCTTATTTTAAAATTAGAACATTTTATCCTTTTTAAATCCTTTAATCTGTTAATTTTAATATTTTAAAGAAGTGATAGGTTTTTGGAGAAGAAAGAAACTTTCTCTGCCTGGTTTTTACCTCCAAAATTAGGTACTTCAATTTAATGGTTTTTAAAATTTGGTTGAGAGAGAAGTACCCCTCATTATAAAGAGTACGATTTTTTGGCCCAAATGGGGTATCTAAAAATGAATTTTGGCTGTGCATCCAGCCTTTTATCCAGGAACTATTGATCTGAATTAAAACCCTTAAATCCATCACTTCTTCATTTAACATTTTTCTCCCCTCTTATTTTCCCAATATATTTTTTAATTCTTCGGGTATGCGAACAATGCACCGATGTGTTTATTTTTTCTTTCTGGATCTCCAATCCCATAATATTGTGTATCCTACAGAGAAAATTTTTTAAATGCTGTTCTTTTAATTTTTTGGTACAAAATTTTTGAATAAAAATCTGGCAAAATTTGAATTTTTTATTAAGAAATAGTTTTCTATCCCCAAAACAATACAAATTTCTGTATAAGTCTGTGTATATTATCTAAAAACATAACACAAGCCGTGACGTCATTTTAAAGTAATCAAATCTCGACCACTCCAGTAAATTTTAATTTAGCCGGAGTGTATTTCTTAATTGAGCTTAATTGAGTAAAAAGTATCTAAACGATAGTATGTATGTGCTTTTTCGAGAATAAATTTTATTAGAGAAACTTAAGAGAATTTAAAGTTTACAAATCAAAATATAAACAATATTTAATTGAAATAGGTATATGTATGTATATAAATATATGTGGCAGCAAATATTAAATATATGTGTATATAGTTGCTGATATAGTCATAATTAAAAAACATTAATATTTTTAATAAATACAAAAACACAAAAATGGCTGTGATATTAAAAACAGATAAAAATTTGTTTAAAAAAACAAAGTTGATTGGTGTTCTTATTTTTGTTTTATCAAAGGAAGGAAACTTGTGATCATAAATAAAATTAATTTATAATTATAGTTGTTTAACGTCGAGGAAAAACATTCGCTTTTACCAATTTAATTCCTTTATCATCCACTACATTAAAATCTTCCATTTTAAATATATAAATTGTTTTTTCTCTATTTAATTTCTTGCTTAAAATATCAACTTTGCTTAGATCATTTGTCAAAAAATTTAAAAGGCGCGTCAAAATTATCAAATAAAAAATCAATTCCCCCAAAAAAATAAATTCATTTTCAACTCAAAACTTCCAATTTAATTCCCCTATCATCCACTATAGTTGTATTTGTAGTCATTGGTTGTGGCTGTAAAATTAAATTACTTCCAACTGCTCGTAATGTATTGGTATTTAAATTATTAGCATTTGTTGTTGTTGTATTGTTGGAGGATGTAGTATTAGATGCTGCTGTTGTTGGTCTTTGACTTACACCAATATGTGTACGTACATGTTTTGTTAAATGATCAGAACGCATAAAACGTTTACCTAAATTTTTTAAAATTAAAATGGTCAAGAATAATAATAAATTGCTCTTATATTATAATTAGCATCATTTTTAACTGTATAGTTTTAATAAATTGAAAAACTCACTACACTGTGGACAAGTAAAACGTTTTTCGCCTGTATGAGTTCGACGATGTCTTTGTAATTCATCGCTACGAGTGAATCGGCGTGGGCATGCAGGCCAATCTAAGAAACACAAAATTTGATTTTAAAAAAATAATTTTAATTATCAAATCATCAATTATTTCCCAATATATTCATTCCCAAAAAATATTTTCTATTCAAACAAACCGCAAGCAAAAGGTTTATTTCCTTCATGTCCCCTCAAATGTGCACGTAAATGAGATGTTTTTCCATAAGTTTTATTACAAATATGGCAAATATGTTGTCTTCCCTTTTCTAATCCCCCTTTTATTCCATTTACACAATTTGGACAACTACAAGCAATTCTTTTCGAGCCTCCAATATTTGTTATAGGTAATTGGGGATTAAATCCGCCTTCCAATGGTTGTTGCTTAACATCGGTTTTAACTGGAAATTTTCGCATTTTTATTTAATGAAAAATTTTTAAAAAAACCAATTTTTGAAGCAGCATTAGCACCTTGCATAGATTTTTGAGGCGTTTTAACGTTCGAACTTCCACCACTATCATTTGTTATAATCCATTTTTGTGGATCATTTGGGTCTTGTTGGAAAGATAAATGTCCTTTAAAAAATTATTTTTTAAGAAAAAAAATATTTAAAAAACCCAAAGTAATTATTTGTTGAGACTTTGATACCGGAGTTAATTGCTGTTGAGTTGATTGGGGCTGTTGTACTTGTTGTTGGGTCTGTTGTGGCTCTGTTTTGACTGGTGTCTTTTTAGGTTCTCTCTTCTGTAAAATAAAAAAATTTTTAATCTTATTTTCAATTTAAACATAAAATTAGAATTTTGGTAGTTAGGAATATTTTTGGAAGTGATATTTTCAAAAATTTTTTGAAAATTTGGCCCAGACTAATTTTATGTTCGTTAAGAAAAATAGAAGAAAAAATTCCAAAGAAAATTTATTTATCAAAAAAACCTTAGTCTGTGCAGGCACTTTACGTGCTGAAGTTGGAATTGTTTGTGTAGAAAGACCAGTCTGTGTAGTTATACTAGCATTATTACTGACTTGGATAGTTGTGGCAGTAGTAGAGGCAGTAGAAGAGGTAACAACACCACCAGACATAAATTTACTTGGATCAATTGGTTGAAATTGAATTGTCTAAAAAATAAAAATTTAAAATTGAAAAGGATTTATGACAAAGTAGTTTTATCCCAAAACTCAGAATTGTACTGAAAACGTTATGTAAAACTTCTAATAGGATAGTTCAACAGTAGAATTTATTACTCCTAAATAGGATAGATCAACAGATTTTTAATTAATCTTTTTTCAGATTGAGAATATAAAATTGTCGGTTTTTAAAAATAATTTAGTTTCAGTCCTTAAACTCTTCTGAATCATCCTAATCTTTAAATTTAAAAATAGAATAACATAAGCTAAAAATAAAGGTTCAAAACTCAAAACATTCCTCAGAGCCTCAAAAATCAGCTTTAAAAAACCTGCAAAGGTTGTTGTTGTTGAGATAATAATAAAGGCTGTCCATTACTTTGATTATTGTTATTCTGAATTGTTTGACCTGCCACTTGGAATAATAATTGAGGTTGTTTCCCAGTAGAATTTATTTGTTGAGTTGAAGTACAAGGTTGTGCAGTAATAAGTTGAGTAATAGGAATAAGTTGAAACTTAAAAATTAAATTTTGATTTTTAATAAATTTTGATTATTAATAAAATAATTTCACATATGTAAGAGAATAGAGAATTTTAATTATCACGGTCCGATCACAAGCCGTGATATATTTTTCCCTATTTCATTCTATTTAATTCCTAATTATAAATAAAAAAATTTTTTTTTCTTAAAACCTGTTGTTGTCCACCATTTCCTTTTGCTGGGGTAGCTGCTGCTAAAAGAACAAATTGACCACCAAGTGCTGCTGTTGATTGGAATGGAATTGCTGTTGTAGCGGCAGGAGGTGAAGTTGTTGGGGTACTTAAATATTAAAATGGATGAAGCCAAAATGTTTAAAAATAAATTAAATTTTTTATGTATTAAATGGGGCGGAATTCCCTTACACAACGATTTTTTCTTAAGAACCCGTTGTTCTTAAAAATTTTAAAATGAACAATAAATAAAACCCAAAAATTTTTAACCAAAAATTTTTAACCTATTTGTATTGCTACTGCCAACAGTTGAACGTGTTACACTTTGTTGTTGTAAAGTCTGTTGAGGTTGTTGTAAAAAAATTATTTGAGGGTTTGGACGTGTTATTGTTGAAGTTGGTATTCCTCCCGAATTAGAAACTCCAACAGAAGAACCACCAGCATTACTAACTTCATTATTATTGTTAACTAATTGAGATGGAACAGATGTTGGAACAAGCAACTAAATTTTGAAAAGAAAATTAAAAAATTTTGTAGATAAAATGCTTGTAAAAATGATTGCCTAAATAACTAGACATGACAAATTTTGGAGGCAAAATTTTTGATTTTTCAATTTTAGTTTTCATTCGATTCAAAAATGTTATTTATAATAAAAAGTAATGAAAATGGATCTAAAATTATTTAAGGACAAGAGAGAAATTTTTAAAGACTTTAAACAAAGAAAAAAATTTTAGCCGGTGGTTCCTTATTCTCAATATTCGGCATCAATTTTGAAAAGTTTGAAAAAATAACTGCAATTTCGATTCACAATCCCCCAAACCACCAAATTTTTTAAAAATAAAAACCTGAACCATTTGTTGTTGGATTTTCCTTTGTGATGTCCCTGGTGTTTGTTGCTGCTGCTGTTGATTTGTTGCAGCTCCAACCATAATATTTCCACCAAAAGAGGCAAAATTTGAAGTATTTGTTGGAGAGATAACATTATTGGAAGAATTAGTAGATGCTGTGTTTGAGGTAGTAAATGAAATTGAAGGCTGTTTTGAATTAAAAGAAGAAAATAATGAAGATTGGGGAATTGATTGAAAAGCCTGTTGTTGTTGTTGTTGCTGTTGAATAATATTTTGTTGATTATTTTGGACATTACTTTGATTATTTGTTGATTTTACTATTTTAGGCTTTGGTGGCATTCTTAAATAATTATAAAATTATTAAAATTTGAAATGAAAAACAAAAAAACAAATTTTAAAAATTTGTTAATCAATTAAAGACGATGTTCAATAAAAGGATTCGAACCATGACCTTACTAAGAAGAAGCCTACGCGTTTCCCACTACACTACTTGAACATTGGTGTGAATCTTCTTATGGTAAGCTAAGTCTTTAAAATTTGAAAAGAAGAGACTCAAAAATATAAAAGAAAAATGAAAAAGGGAGGAGCGAAACGTTTAAGTCTTGAGTGAAAATTCTTAAAAAAAATGTACAAAATTAAAATAGGGGGACAAAGTAATGCAGGAATAATTTGATTTTATTACAAAATTAGGGTTTTGTTTTTGCCTGTTTTTGTTGTTTTTGCCTGCAAACAAGGATTAGATAGAGGTAATTTTGGAAAGAAAAATCTTAGAAAAATCAAAAAATCTCCACAGTTAATTCTCATTAAGATTAAATGCCATACATATGCCCCTCAAATGTTTGGATTAAGATCGGACTGGGAATGTCGTACGAGAATCGAGATCTTGAAAAATTCCTGATCTCTATAACCGGGATTTTTGAACGAGATCTCGGTCCGGTCTCTAGTTTGGATGTGGCTATAAGAAAGTCTATTACATTTACCGAACAAAAAAGTAAATCCCGCCTTATTAGGACCGCCAATAAGTAAATAAAAGAAAACAATTTCCTTAATCTCTTGGCATACTAGAGAGGATAGATAAAACAATAAAAATGTATGACCCGTCCTGTAGGGTAGTGATGTTCGGGAGAAGAAAAAACTCGGGAATCGGGAAACGGGAGTCGGGTCGGGAAATGACCTCGGGAGTCGGGATCGGGAGTCGGGAATTTATAAGAAAAAAATTTTTGGCGCCTTCGGCGCCAAAAATTCCGATTTTTTGTAATACAGGCGAAAATTATGAGAATTTTTGAAGGCCATGTTGTCAAATTTCTTCAATTTTCAGCGCCGCAGGCGAAAATTTTGAGAATTTGGAAAGTCGTAGGCGAAAAAATTCATTTTTGAATCTCTATATTTTCGCCGCTCCCTTTCCCCAATTTCGTGGCTTGGGGGGCTCTAGCCTCATGGATCGCCTTTGATGATATCATCAGTCTCAGCAGACTTGATATCCCTCTTAATCTCAAATCCTTTATCTGCGCCGCAGGCAAAAATTTTTTAAAGTTTGGAAGTCTAGGAACCAGACTTCTTCCTTTATTTACTGCCAGAGGCGAAAATTTTGAAAATTGGAACACCAACGAGCTAAATTTGGAAGACCAAAGAGTGAAATTTTTGCTCCCTCAGCGCCGCAGGCGAAATTTTTTTAAGTTTGAAGGCTTCGAAGCCATATATTTTTCACTTTCTGCGCCGCAGGCGAAAATTTTTGAAAATTCATGACTAATTTAATTTTTCTAAAGTTTTTTGACGTTTATAATAATAAAAAAACTTTAAAATTTTAAAATCAACTTAAAGTTAAAAACCATTTAATTTTGAAGGGAAAAATTATTTAAATTACATTTCCCAACCCTGGATTCGAACCATGCCCCATAAAGTAACTGCAGTCACACAACCTAACCACTCAACCACCTTTCAGCAATAGTTATTGAGGAAAAAATTGAAATATTAATTTTTTATTTTCCCTTTTCCTTTTTTTATTTCTTTCCCTTTATTTTTTTTTCTTTTCTAAAATAAAATTTTAACAGAAAAAACTATTCTTAGGGGTGTAAAAATTTCCCGACTTAGTCGGGAATTGGCATCGGGAGTCGGGATCGGGAGGCGAAAAACTCGGGAAATTTTCCCGAGTCGGGAGTCGGGATCGGGATACCCGAACATCACTACTGTAGGGTGTGGCTAAAAATGTTCAGAGAAATTTAAGTATAAAAGCCAAAAGAATCGCTCCAATTCCCAATTTAAATTTTCCCTTATAATGTTAAAAATCACAACAACAACAAAACAACTATAAAAGGAATTTGTGCACACAAACATTATCAGAATCAGTCTTACAAAAACAGGAATGGGCGGAGGAGAAACAAGGCGGGAAATAGTATAATTAGAAAGACAGGTGAAATACTTCTTATTGTTAGAGCAATTCTAGAAGAAAATTGTGTAATGCACATAAAATTAGAAAGAGAGAGAAAGACAGAAATAAGAGCATTGATTGGTTAGTTTTACTGCCTCTATTTTTGCCGAGTTTTGAGTCATAATGGGAGGGCGTTGACGCCTAGGGCGTAGCTTTTTTGGTGAAGCTGGGGCGTTGCTGTTGAAGTATATACCCGCCCTCATAAATTTTGTTCAAAATTAGAGAAAGAGAAAGAAAAATTTAAGTAGAGACTAAATGGAAATGAGAGAGAAAAATGTAAATGGAGAGCAATAAATCTTGAATAAATCCTCAGAGTTGAGAGAAAAAATATAGAAGAGGCGGGGATCTTGATTAGCGGACAAAATGGCAAGATGAACAATAATCACCAGAATGGTTAAAATACAAAACGGTCAAAAGAACAAAATATGTCAAAATGGTCAAGGGCAAAAACGAAAAAAGTCACATGGAAAAGATAATTGTTAAGTTAGTGAGATTTAACAGAGTGTATGTAGAATGTATGATCCGCCGACAAGAGGGGCAAAAAACTAAACCAAGAGGTAAAAACCCAAATTAAAAAAATTTTAAAATTAAAAATTTCAAGATGCAGTATTTGAAATAAAAAACTATCAAAACTTTAATAATTAATTTCCGTTTTACAGCCCAAAAGTAGAAAAATTATAAAGAAATGGAGAGAGAATATATAGGCGGAGTGATTGCTCATAAGGTCGGACCGCCTTAATCGATGGGTGTGTAAAAATTGGAAGGGCAGTTCTTCTTCCTCCCACCTTCTCTCTCCCTCTCTCTTTTTCTTCCTAACTTTTCAAGAGGACCTGAATTTGTGGTTAAATATGTTTGGTATCTTTTTGTGTTATTGCGAGGATAGGAATGATATAATGAATAGTAAAGTTATTCTGACAAGTGAAGGAGGAGAGGGGGAAGGAGGGGGGGTCTAATAATAAATTTTTTGGTGGGAGGAGAAAGAAGAGGAAAAATTAAAACTTAATTTTTGATAGGAATTCTTACTTTTTATTGAACGTAAGAAGCAATTTGGATATGATTATCATAAAACATTCCCTCAGTAGAATTCCTGACTCTTGAATTTTCCATTTAGTATCAGTAATTTTTCACGTTATTGTCAATTTGTCCATTTTTATTTTTTAGCTTTCTGTCTGTTTGGCATTTGTCTATTTTTATCTTTTGGCATTTTGTCGTTCCTCGTTCCTATTGACAATTTGTCTATTTTAGCTTTACGTTTATTTTTTAATTTCGTAAATGTTTTTTTAAAGGAAAGGAAAATGTTTCGTAAATTAAAATCTAAAACTGGTGATAATTCTGCAAGAAATATTAGACAAAGAATTGAGGAAGAAGGAGATGCTCAAATTATTTCTGCTAAACGAACTCTTCCAGACGATAGCCAAACCGTCAATATAGACAACGAAGCTACTCTTCAAACAACTGGACCTAAACATACTGGACTTAGTTTTAACGAAGGAGAAGGTTTTTTTTAATTTTAATAATTTTATGATTTTCTTTTGTTTAAATATTATTTATTCAAAAATACCCCAACTATAACAGTTTAAATATTTTTTCAAACTTTTAGGTGATGATTTGGTTGGGTTTAAGTTGAAAAAGCACGGAACTCACGGACACCGCTCAGTTGTTGAAGCAAATGAGAGAACATTAAGGAAACAGAAAATGCTTGCAGCTAGAGCAGAACGAATAAAAATAGCAGCTGCAGATATCACAATAAAAAGAGAAGATGGAATTGATGAGGAAGAGATGACAAGACAAAATACGAAAAGCCCGGACGAAACGGTTTTTGTTTTATTAAAATGAGTAGAGTTTTTAAACTAACACGGAGAGGTTGCGAGGTGTCCGAGCTAAAAACGGTCGAGACCGGGCTCATTCGATAGAGAAGAGCCCTTTCTAGCAAGGATTCACCACTACACCACCGCGCCAGCAAAATTAATGCATTATTTAAAGTTTATATTCGAAGGGGGAAAATTATGGCAAATTTTGGGACTTTGGAGGGCCATATCTTGGCCAGATCAAAAAACGGGCAAAAACGGCAAAAAATCCTTGCTAGAAAGGGCACATTCTCTATCGAATGAGCCCGGTCTCGACCGTTTTTAGCTCGGACACCTCGCAACTCTCCGTGTAAGATAGTTATTGTTGATTTTTGTCGTTGAATTCGCGCTTTTACTATTTTTGGGTTTTGCCATTAGGTATCACATGTCCGGATTTCCGGGCCTTTTTAGTATTTCTTACATTAATATATTCTTTTTATAATTTTACAGACTGCTTCCCATTCCGAAGAGATTATTAGTGTGAACTCAATGGAAGATGTTCGGGAAGTATTCCCAACTTCATTTGATGGAATTCCTGATGCAAAAGCAGTCTATGAGGCACGAAAAAAGAGAGAGATTCTTAGACAGGTTTCAATTCTTTTTTTTTAAATTTTAATAAAAAATATTTAGAAGGGCGCTGGAGGTAATACTGGAGAATTTATTCCTTTGGATGACACAGTTCGGCTTAAGGGAAGTGGACAATCGGGTGAGCGGTCTCGTTTGGTACGTGAGGACGAAAATGATATGTCTGATGAAGAGGAAGGAGGGAGGTAGGTAAATTAGTTGTTTCTTTAAAAAATTCCTTTTTAGTTTTTATTCTGCCAAAAAACTGCTTCAAACTGAAGAAGATGCTCGGCGAGAAGAACAAGCCAATTTTTTGTCTTTGGAACAGGGTAGTAGTGATGAAGATGGAATGCCAATAAAAAATGGAAATAGGCGGAGAAAGAATTCGAAGAAGACTAAAAAGGCCGCTAATGAAGAAGTCTCTGATGCAGAAAATGAAGATGATGAATTACAACGTTGGGAAAGGGAACAAATAATGAAGGGAGTTAGTTCGAATAAGGTTTGGAAAAATATATAAATTTTGTCTAAAAATTCTACAACTCTTATTTAGGTAATGCAAATGAGAAATGAGTTGGCGGCAACAAATTTGTATTATCCTGAATATTCAAATCGTCTTGAAAAAGAGGGGGAAGGCGAAGCTGAAATGGATATTGAAGTTGATTTGGAAATATTGGATGTTCAACAACAAAATGTAAAAATCTCGCCTACGATTTCAAAACCTGATAATTCAACAATTCCAGGTTTTTTATAAAAATTTAAGGATAAGTTCAATGATTTATACTACCTCTTCTTCTAAGAAATTATTTTTTCAGAGTTGGCAAATGGCACAAAATCAAAAGTTTCCCTTGAACAACTTTTAAATGTGTTACAACAACGTCTCGATGAAAGAAAAGAAAATACCAATACAATGGAATTTGATTTGAAACGAACACAAGGGCAAATTGCTGAAAACACAGATTCAATCCATAAGGTTTTTCAAAAATTTTGTTTGTAAATAGGTCATATTTACCCGGTCATTTAACATTACTTGATTCCTTTGTTCATACTAATGTAAAATACAAAATCTGATTTTTGAAATTCAAATAAAAATTTAGAAAGGCATCTGTTTTATCTTCAAATATTTTTCTCTTATTTTAGCTTGAACATTATATCCCTCAATTAGAACATAAATTTAAAATGTTGCAAGATGTACGTATTTACACGCGTGATTTGCTTGATTGTTTAAATGAGAAATTTTTAAACATAAATGCATCGGAAGAGCGAGTAATGGAAATGTGGAAACAACGAACAGAAAGATTAATAAAGAGAAGGAGGCAAGATGTCCAGGTTTTTTATAAATTTATTTTTAATTAAAATTTTGGTTTAAAAAGGATCAATATGAACGTTGTGCGGCAAATGCAGCTGGTCGATCTTTCATAATTCCCAATCCTGAGTTTGCACTAAGAGAGACTGAACGTGAGGCTAGAAGGTTGTGTTAGAGGGTTAATCTATTTTTTATAAGTCAATGAGGCACAGATTAGAAACAAAAACTATAAAGCATTTTTTATTAGATTGGGCTAGATTGTTAAAAATAGACGCCTAAAATAATTCTGATTGTGAGCTTCTTTGTTTTGAACTCTAACTTAAAAAATTAATTGTCCATAATTATTTGTTTCATTTAATATTTAAAGAAATCGTCGTCGAATTAAACGAGAAAATCAACGAGTGAGTCAGAATTTATCAACATCTGTGCAGGCAATGCCATCAGGCAGCAACATCCATTTTGATGGCTTAAGTAGTGACGACGAGGAAACACAAAGCCAACACGTTTTTTATGCAGAAACCCAAAGTATTTTTTCACAATATTTTAAACTTTAAGATTTCTTTAGGTTCAGTAGAACAAAGTGCAAATGATTTATTTTTTGATACCGAAGAAGATTTTTGTCAAGTACAAAATATTATTTCACGAATATTAAAATGGTTAGCAATAGATGAGGATTCTTTTGAGAAGGCTTATGTTTCTTTATGTTTGCCAAAATTGCTTGGACCTTTTATTCGTTTACAAATGCTCAATTGGCGTCCATTAAAGGTTTTAAAGGATTTTGATTTTAACAACTGGCTACTATCTTTCTCCTTTCAAATCCCATATTCTACTAAAGGGCAGTCCTTCCCAATTTCAATTAACTTTTGACTGTGTTGTTCACGAAAGATTGTTAATTCTAGAGCCCGGCTCGATACGATATTTTTTGAAGGATATCGACCGACCCCTTCGTTCGGGCTTTAGTTAATTCAAATTAAGATATATAAGATTTTCTTTTCCCATTTAGAATGATTCATTGCCTTTACACTCCTTCCCTTGGTATAAACAATTATTGATGGCAGGATTGGACAATTCTGGCTTGGAAAATATAGAACATTCTGTTTTAGTTCAATTAATTCCTAATGTTGTGGAGAAAGTTATTTTTCCAAAAATTGCAAGTATAAATATATTATTTATTATTCACCTCCAAATAAGTTCTTTTTCTGTGGAATTAATTAAATTTTAATTGTTTTCCGGACTAATTAAAATTGCGGATAAAAATTGTGGACATTGCCTGCAGAGCAGAAAAAAGTTCGAATGACTGAAATAATTTTTTCATTTTTAGGAATTATCCGTGAACAGTGGGATCCTTTGTCTCTAAATGAATCTACCAACTTGGGGACCTTTTTGCGATCACTCATCGATGATTATCCAATAACCACTACTAACATTAAATCAAAAAGAATGAATGAGGTTTTTTAAGATATGCTTTAGAAATTAAAATTTTCTTAACTTTAAAGATTCTCGATTTGTTGCACTCAAAATTTCGGGATGTGCTTGAAAATGATACTTTTGTACCTCTGTACAGTAAAGAGTTTAGTTTTTTTAATTGGTTTAATAATTTTAAATTTTTAGTGCCATTGAAGCAGTAGAGACAGGCTGTGCAGAATTTATGGATAGACAATTTTGGAAGTCTATAAAGGTGGGGAAAATTAAATTTACATGTTCCCTCCCCTCCTCCAAGTTTTTTATCTTCATTTTTCTTTATTTCTGTTTGCTCATTTAAAAAAATTAAAAATAATTTAAAATCAAAGATAATTCGCTCAATTCTTTGTTTTCGTGGAATTCTTTCTGATCTTTTTCTTGAAGAATTAGTAATGGAAGGACTTGTTAATCGATGTGTAGTTATGTCTCTTCAATTTGGCTCAATTTCAAATCCAACAATAATTCCAAAATGTTTAGCTTTGTGTTCACAAATTCCGGTAATTCTCTTAAAAATTTATTTAAAAAATATTTTTTAAAAAGGTTGATTGGCTTTCACAAAAACGCCGCTCTTCCAATACTTATAGTAATTAAATTTATTTATTTTAAATTTATTAATCTTTTAGGGCCATTAGAAATTTTACTTAAAAAAGTGATTGAAGTTCATCGACAAAAGGATAGGTTGGGAATTTTAATTTTTAAATGAAATTTTCGAAGAGGGGAATTTATGAATACAAAGGGGACAATTTGTCTCACCAAATAGTAAAAAAATATTTAACTAATAATTAAAGGAAATTTGCTGAACAAATACAAAATTTCGTTAATTTGTTATCTGCTTCAATAATCAAAACAGAAGAGGAGGACGAGGATGATGAATAGTTTAAAAAATGGAAGTAGAAACCGGTCTGTCTATCTCTCACCTGTATTTTTTTTGTTATATTTTTAAATCTATTAACAATAAAATCTAATAATAAAAAAGGACCATTTTTAACAAATTTTAAAACAAAAATTTAATTATTTTACAGCATTAAGATTTGAAAAATATATACTAACATATTCCATATTTAACTAATAAATACTTAATTTCCTCTATATTTCAATCTATTTCTTTTCCCTCACAATCCTCCTGTCAATCGCTTCATTCCAATAAACCCAAAGGCCAACAAAATACCAAAACCAATTCCAACAACCACATTCTCTGCCACATTCCTTAAATTGTTAAATAAATATTAAAATGAGGCAAAAATTTACCCAATACTGAGTTCTGTATTATTGCAACAATTTCCCGAGTTTTTGAAATAATTCTAAAATTAAAAATATGAAGTTTTTGAAAAAATTAATTTAAAACATTTTAACCTCACTATAAGACCAATCTCGGGATGGAGGATCCTAGAGGCATCTTCCCCTTCTCAAACATTTTAGCCTCACTATAAGATCAATCCCGGGATGAGAGATTACATCCTTCCCCTTCCCAGTGGCAAACAAATTTTTAATATTTTTCTTATGCCGAGGTATAATATCCCTCTTGTGTGTTACTTATAGTGAGGTCTGACTGCATTTCAACTAACTCTTTCAATCATGAGCTCCGCATTTGTTTCAATAGTAAATGTACATTCACCGCTAAGTTCCCTAAGTAAATTAACAACATCCTCATTTGTCATTCCATCCAATTTCTGGCCATTTACCTTAAAAATAAAGAAAAATTATTCCCCTTAAGAAAATAATTATTTACAGCTAAAATCCGATCGCCCTCAGAGATTCCTTCAATGTCTTCTCTTCGTACACGAGAAATGAAAATTCCAGAATGGCCAGGCAAATACTGCTTATCCACACCACCAACAATATTGATACCGAAGCCTAAAATTTAAAATTGAATTTTAAAAACACTTTTAAAAGTACCTTGTTCGTCATCTTTAAGTATGACGATATCTTTAATCTGACCGATACTTTCAAGTTGTTCAGAACAATCAGAACTTTCAGATTGATGCACCATTTGAAGAGTACTAAATATAATCTGATTTTATAATTTAGAAGTGTCATTTGTATTTCAATAGATAAATGGGCTTTTATACTAAAATGGTTTGTGTATATGTAGGACGAGGAGTGACGGAATCTTATAGTAAGGCTTTACAACAAGGGTATGCCGAAACAGCATAAGTTTAAAAAGCGGAAATCCGCGAAGAGCGAAACTCGCACACCACTGCCTTGCAACCTGAAACTAAACTTCGAAATAAAAAGGAAATTGTGTTCGTACCAACAACGCTTATTTGTATATCATTTACTCAACTCGGCGAGATTTTTTGGACTAGCTTGATTATACATTTCGAATTCTTCTCCAAGAACGGGTATTCCTTATTATGGTTTTGCGACTTTCAGTAGTCTGTATAACTTGTTGATATTTTGATATTATTAAACCCAGATCACCGAACTCTTTCAACCTTTACATTAATTTCTTCAATAAATTAAAAAATCAAAATTTAATCAATACAAGAAACCAAATTTACTCCTAAATTTAAAAAAAAGGCTCAAAAACCAACAAAAAAAGAGAAAGAAAATATAAAAAAAAACTTTTAAATAACAAATTTAATTTAAATAAATTTATTTTTTCTTTGCAGCAGTCAAACCAGCACCAGCATTAAATTTAAAAAATATAACATCCCCATCTTCAACTACATAATTCCTTCCTTGTTGTCTATATTTTCCAGCTCCTTTAACTGCATTTTCATTTAATAATTCCATCAAATCTGCAATCTTCATTACTTCTGCCATAATAAAACCTTTCTCAAAATCCTAAAAAAAATTATTTCAATTTTGTTTTTGTCAAAAAATTTTTAAATCTTTCCGTTTACAATTTTTTCGAACGGTTCCTCATCTCAATTATAGTAGTACGCGGATTTCTTTTCTAAAAAGGATCCAACAGCCAAGATCATTTTATAAAAAATAATCAGAGTTGGGGGCAGAGCTGCACACAATTTCGGATTGCGAGTTGCGGAAATTGCGGGGTTTTTTGCAATTGCGAGTTGCGGGTCCGGATTTTTAAAACGAAATTGCGAGTTGCGGAATCTTTTTTCGGTTGCGTGCAGCCCTGGTCGGGGGTTCCGACTTCAATTAACTTTCCATTTTTCAAATTAATAAATTAAAAACCGTATGAATTCTTCCAGCTGCCTGAGGCGCTTTTGTTCCTTTTTGGATTGTCCAAGCCCGAACCTCATCCTTCCCAGCACTTAAAAAATAATCTTTTTTTTTAATTAAATTAAAAAACAAACGTAAAAAAATATTCCAAACACAAAGCTTTATAACCAGTTTTAATTATTTTATCTAAAGCACTACTAACACCAGTTTGACTAAAATATTCTGTTCTTGCTGCAGGGTCCATTTCAATAGCTTTGAGTTCGAAAGCACCAGAAAATGGAATTAATACCTTTTTAAATATTTAAATTTTATATTTGGATTGTTGTAATATTGGAGTGGTTTCTTAAAAAATTAAATTTGGAAAATTAATTATTAAAACAATAAAAATTAAAAATGGTTGCTAAACGTTTTTGAGACGCTACAGTCGAAATTAAATGGAAACCTATTCCATTTTTTCAAGTAAATTGAATGGGATTGATGACTTTATTAAATTTTTTTGTAAAAATTATCTCAAAAATGTTTTTATTTTTGAGAGAAAACCTAAAAAACCCCCTTCAGTAAATAGTTAGTAACTAACTTTCAGTTATTGAAAACACGTTACTCGTTTCAAACTCTACAAAAAAACTAAAAAAACTATCTCCATCCGTATATTTTATATAAAAAAACAAACCCCTCCAAGATCATTAGAATCGATCCAAGATTTAATCTTTGGTAGCCATTTATTCTTCTTTTTAATATAATCTGTTTCAGATAAATTAACCAAATAGACGATTGGTTTTGCAGTTAAAAATAAATGTTTATTTAAAATTTCAATTTCTTTTTCGTTCCATTCGTGTTGTCGAACAAATTTTGTTGCCAATAATTCTTTTACTTTAATTAAAGTATCATATTCCAATTTTTTTGTTTTGTCCCCTGCTCGAATTGCTAATTTCTCTACTTTATCTAATGCTGGCTGTAAATATGCCAAATCTTTTAGTCGAAGTTCTGAACTTATTATTTCCAAATCACGAATTGGGTCAACCTCTCCTGAAAAATAAAATTTTTTAAAGTATCGAATATAAAAAAAATTTTAAACTCAAAAGATATATTAATTGTTTAACAAAATTTTCTTCTACGGAACTTTCGTCTCAAGATATAAGAATTATAATTTCGTAACTGTAACTATGGTCAAAGGTCTTGGTTACTTATTCAACATTTAACAACAATCTCTTAATTATAGGAGGAAAGTCAACAGACACATTAAGTAATAAGACGACTATCAATATATACAATACCAGAGACGAACGTTCAAATTGTGCGCATAATCATTCGAATTAAAAAATGTTCAAAACTCTTAATCCTTGGAAACAAAAATTAAAAGAAAACCTTCAACATGAGTAACTTCGCTATCTTCAAATGCTCTACACAAATGAAAGAGGGCGTCACATGCACCAACATGTGAAAGGAAAGCATTTCCGAGACCTTGACCTTCGGAAGCACCTAAAATTGATTTTAAAAGAATTTTCTGAACAACAAAAAAAACCTTTAACAAGCCCAGCAATATCCACAACATTCAAAAAAGCAGGCACTCTACTTAAAGGTTTATAATGCTCTACCAACCAATCAAATCTAACATCATCAATAGGTACTCTACTTTCATTCGGGTCAATCGTACAAAATGGATAATTCTCTGCCTGAGCTTCTGATTTTGTTAAAACATTAAAAAATGTAGATTTTCCAACATTTGGTAAGCCAAGAATTCCCATCTTTAAATTTTAAAAATTATAATAATGCGGCCCGTCTGAAATATAAACATGATGGCTCATCAGACATGATGGCTCATCAGACGCCGAGTGGGTAAAATTCAACGGTAATTTAAGAATCGCAAAAATTTAAACGCAGCGACTGATACGCGCGACCCATCAACTTGGGATGTCACCCAACTTTTGATAATAAAAAATAATTAAAAATACCCTTAAATTCGTTGACAGTCTACCAAGAATTGGTCCATGTTGAGGCTCTTCTTGTTTTTTAGGAGGCATTTTTGAATAAATTTATTTGATCCTTGCTTTAATAAAGGAATGTATTATCGGGACCGAAGCAGAAAAAAGCACAAAATGTCACAGAATCCTATGAAAAATTAAAACACTAAAAAATCAAATAAATACTTATATACACTCAAATTGGATTCGCGTACTAAACCAGAGCCGCGAAAATTTAGAGAACAAATTTTAAATTAAAAAATAAAAATTCCAAGTGTTTTCATCACATATTTAATCCCAAAAAAGAGAAATTTTTTGATCATAAATAAAACAATAAAGAGAAAAAGACAACCAAAATATTATAAGAGTTCTTTTAGAACATTTTCCAAAAATTTTTTTCAACAGATTCTCTCCATCTTTAAGCTCTCTCTTCATTTAGAATCTTGGAGGACCATCCAACATATTATAACCAGGCTGCATTGCTCCCATCCCAGGTCCACCAATACCACGAACAGCCCCTTGAAGTCCTAAAAATTAATTTTTTTCATTCTTTCAAATTTAAACTTTTCTTAAAAAACTTTGAACATTATTTTGTCAAAAATATCTAAAAAATTACCATGCGGCACCGACGGCATTCCAGGCCCTGGAGGAATCATTCCACCACCCATAGGAGGAACACCACGTCCAGCACTCTTCGCCTGTCCAGCTCCCCCAAGTCCTCCAGCACGAGGCATCTGAACTCCAGAATCATCACGCGCTGGAGGCCCCTCAACCGAAATGGAAATTATTTTATCTCCTCGAAGAAGTACAAGACCAAGAATTCGCTTCTCTTCTTCATTGACCGGTTTCTTTCCACCAGTCTTTGTCCTCACACGACGAAGTTCTTCACAATCAGACAAAATGACGTTCATATGCTTGTCAAAAGCTAAAAATTTAAACGAAAACTAAAACATCTCACTCAGAATAATCCAAAAATTATTCTTAAGGCCTAGAAAAAATCAGGACTAGCCCGCTTCCTTCCTTTCTCTCTAAAAGTCCAAAAATGAAGCCAAGATCGGGAAATTTACGATTTTCCCTATTGCTCTTGGAGATTTTCCAAAATTCCAGAATTGATTCTTAAAAATAAACTTTTAAGAACCTTTAAAGTAGCCAATGAAGGTTCGATTGTCCTGCACAATTACTTTCATCTTGTAATTGATGTGCTGCATCATCTTGTTGTTCTTTGAGATCGTCTGGAAATTTTTACGAAATTTATTAGAAATTTAATAACAAAATCTAACCATCTTGGCGGTTTTGAGCTGTATCAGCAATTCCAAACAATAAAATTAAAAAAAAATTTAATATCTGAAAGAAATTAAAAAAAGGTAAATATTAAATGTAAGATGGACCCAAAATTAAGACGCACAATGGACCAGGCCCGTAACCAGGGGGGGGGTGAGGGGGGGAATTCCCCCCCCCCGAAATGGGAAAAAGGAAAAAATTTGGGGAAGGGCTGGGGCAAAAAAGTGAATTTTTTTGGCCTACGGCCTTCGAAATTTTCAAAATTTTTCTCTTTCTATTTATAAAAAAATTTTTGGCGCCTTCGGCGCCAAAAATTTGGTTTACGAAAAATTTTTTAACACTTTTCGGCTATTCCTTATTTAGCAAATAAAATTTATTTAAATTTATGAACCAAAATTTTTGAAAATGGATAAAATCCTAATTATTACTCGATTAATTTAATCTGTTTTCCCTCCCTTTTATGTAACCTACTAAAAGTTTATTTAAAAAATTTTTTTAGATAAATGGTAAAGACAATAAAATAAATGGAGTCAAGAAAGATGGGGAAAAATTCAAAAATAAAGAAGAAAAAGAAGAGGGAGAATTAACTGATGAAGAAGATTTTAAAGATTTATCAAATACTTCAACTTTAAGTGTTTGTTCAACAACAAGTTTGGCAACAGTCCGTCGTTTATCTCAGTCATCAGATAAAAATGATAATCTTTATAACGAAGCTGAAACCCGTCCAGCATCTGCAGCGGCTTCTCATTTTAATAAATATCGAACTAAACCGCCTTCGCTTGCTTCTGAAGATGATGAAGGGAGGAATACAATGCTTATTCGAAAGGTTTGACTTTTTTAATTTTTGTTTAATTTTTGGTTAGTTTGGGATGAATTTTGGATTTTTCTTATCTTATTTTTGAGTTCTTATGTATTTCATTCTGGTTGAATTTTTGCTCATTTTCAATTTCAAATTAGTTTTTCTGCCCTTCTCATTAAAAATAATTTAATTTTATTATAATTTTATATTTTCTTTATTATTTTTAGATCAAGCTTGGTTTCAGTATTGAAAGAATTCTTGAGGATTTGCAAAATTTTGGAGATATTATAGAATATAAACAATTGGATGAGGTTAATTTTTTGAATAAAAAATTTCAACATAAAATTTTTAAATTGATAGACGACAGCAATATTTAAATTTTTGGATGCTTCTGAAGCTGAATTGGCTGCTAAAGTTGTTTCAAAAAATTCAAATCTGTTTGGAAATATGGCTATTTTTGAGTTGCAACGTTAAATTTAAAAAGAAAACATTAATGGTTGTTTTAAAAAATTAAAAAAGATATATGGCTAACATACTTTAAGTTATTTGATTGTTTTTTTTGGTAAGTTTTAAAGAAGTTTCACATTTAAGTTTATCCATGAAATTCTAACATTAAAAGTGTTTACTTTTTTACTAATTGTAAGGATTAGAATCCTCTCAAGTCAGACTAAATTATATTTACACTTACTCGGTAACAGATACACTATTTAAGGTCGCGGGTGGGGAGGGAGGGGATCGGGCGATACCTCAGCAATAATGATTACTTAATTTTTAACCCAAATGATGACTTATAATTGAGATATAGGTATTTTTATTTTTAAAAACTTTTTCTGATTATAAACTTTTAGATAGAATGATGAGTATACTGATGAGGACAGAAGCGACAAATTGGATGATGTATTTGCATTATAAATTAAAAATAATTTTAAGGATTTTCCTGATGTAAATAACCAAATATTTGGGCGGAGAAGGAGGCAGCCGAACGTTCAACGGCGCATAAACCACCAATCTCTTTTTGGCAACAATATGGAAGTGGACGTTATCTTCAATCAACAAGTCAGGAAAATCCTTAAAAATTATTTTTTAAATTCTTGTTCAAAAAGTTAAATCAAGATTTAGTACATCGTCCAAGTTGTCATGTCTGTTTTCATCTATAAATTCATCTTGTTCAATCTAAAAGTATAATCAGAAAAGGCTTTAATATATAATAGGTCTTGCCCGGCACGTTTACGTATTCAGTTCCTTCATAATGGGTTAATTACATTGGCGCTTAGACCTTTTGAACGAGAATTTAAAAAATAATTTTTAAGGATTTTCCTGACCTCAATCATCAAATATTCGGCTGCCGGCGCCGGCAGCCAAATGCACAACCTCGTAGAATTAATCATCAGGCAATATACGGCAACAATTATCGTGGTGGGCGTTATAATCAGGCTACCAGGTGCTGGGTTGCTTTGGATGCACAAACTAGAGGACTTAAAACTGCTTTGATTGAATTGGATGATTTCTCTTCTAAAACTAGTGTTTGTGGTTTTGTAAATTTTTTTGTGAATGTTTGTTTGGACCTTGTTACACACTTTCTTACGATTTTTTTTAGCAACCCCAGCACCTGGTAGCCTGATTATAACGCCCACCACGATAATTGTTGCCGTATATTGCCTGATGATTAATTCTACGAGGTTGTGCATTTGGCTGCCGGCGCCGGCAGCCGAATATTTGATGATTGAGGTCAGGAAAATCCTTAAAAATTATTTTTTAAATTCTCGTTCAAAAGGTCTAAGCGCCAATGTAATTAACCCATTATGAAGGAACTGAATACGTAAACGTGCCGGGCAAGACCTATTATATATTAAAGCCTTTTCTGATTATACTTTTAGATTGAACAAGATGAATTTATAGATGAAAACAGACATGACAACTTGGACGATGTACTAAATCTTGATTTAACTTTTTGAACAAGAATTTAAAAAATAATTTTTAAGGATTTTCCTGACTTGTTGATTGAAGATAACGTCCACTTCCATATTGTTGCCAAAAAGAGATTGGTGGTTTATGCGCCGTTGAACGTTCGGCTGCCTCCTTCTCCGCCCAAATATTTGGTTATTTACATCAGGAAAATCCTTAAAATTATTTTTAATTTATAATGCAAATACATCATCCAATTTGTCGCTTCTGTCCTCATCAGTATACTCATCATTCTATCTAAAAGTTTATAATCAGAAAAAGTTTTTAAAAATAAAAATATACTTGACGTGTCTCCCACGAAGAGCCAACATCTCTAATCGGGAAAATTGGTAAAATAAGAAACCGCGCGATAGGCATCCATTAATATGCTCTAAAAAATAAAATATATATCTCAATTATAAGTCATCATTTGGGTTAAAAATTGAGTAATCATTATTGCTGAGGTATCTAGGAAAGATGCAAAAAAGGTTAACTCCAAAATATGTAACAAAATTTGACATTTTAATCCAAATATTAGAATTGGCCTTAATTTTTATGTGAAAACTTCTTTAAAATTTAACTTCTTGGTTCTAAATTGTTTGTTTTTGAAATTTTAATGGTTTTTGAATAAAATTATTTTGAAGTATAAAATGTTTGATTTATTTCAAAAACTTTATTTTTCCTAATTTCGGGTAAAACGAGAGGTAAACAAATAAAAATAACTTTAAATTTTGGATTTCTTCAAAAAATCTAAAATTTTGCAAAACTTTTATCATAGATTCAAAAATGTATTTTTAATTTCAAAAAATTAAGCTTCAAAATACTCTAATCAAAACAGAGTAATTGTTTCGCCCAAACTTTCTTAAATTGCCATTATTTTGTTATTATAAAATTAAATTACATTAGATTTGTCATCATCCCTTTCATACTTGAAAAGAAAATATTAATTTTTTAAATTTATTTTAATCAAAATTAAATTCATCACAACACACACATAAAGATGAGGATTGGAAGTGTAAAAAATATTTTCAAAATTCGGTTTGAAAGCCAGTCTGATATTCTTATCTTGAGCTATCCGAAGAATTAATCAAAAACAGGGTGATCCTGTTTTCAGGCAATTTTTAAATTAAAAACCGTGAAGGATATTACTGGAGAAAAAATCAACAGAATTATAAAAATATTTTTTTCTAAAATTTTTTCAAAATTATTAATCTCCAATCCTCTAATATTTTTACATAAAATATACACATATACAATTTATGTCACAATTTATTTTTTCCAAACACAAATTTCAATCATTTCTTTGTATTTTTGTTGTTGTTGTCGAAGAATTAACAACAAACCCTTCAAGTCTTTGTGAAATATTTAAATTAATATTTATTTCAATTTTGTCAACATCCACCACAGAATTATTAAATTGCTGTAAATTTGCTAAAGAAGCAGAATTTGTTTCCTCTTCCTCTTCCTCATCTGGTTCACCCATTTCTGCACCTGAATCTGATGTAAATCCCATTGTGCTAGAATTTATACTTGATTCATCATCTTCCATTTCATAGGACTTAAAAATAAAGAAAAATATTTTTCTTAAATTTAAAACAATATTATACCCCTCGTGGTACCGAAAGAATTATTATTGAGGTTTTTTTATAAAAACTAAAGAACATGGCGGGGACGGATAACAATCCTTTTCGGTGTACTTAAATTGTACAATCGTAATTTTAAATTACGAATTAATTTTTAAATTATGGCCTGGACCTCCCTCTTTAAGGTAAGAAATCTGAGGGAGGATAATTATTGTTTCAACCTCTCACTTACACTTAAAGTTAAACTTTCTCTATTAGTAGCTATTGGTGGACTTAAAGCATTAAGTGTATGTACATATATATTTCGGAAAATATTTCTTAGAAATTGTTAGTTAGATAAACATAAATAAATTAAGAAGCCAGCCAAGTTTTATTTAATTTAAAAAAAATAATTTACCCAATTACTATTATCATTATCAGACAAAGGTGCCAAATTTTCAGTTGTTGCTGTTGTTTCAATCCAAACATCACAACAATTATTGCTTGTTTCCCCCAAACTTTCTAAATTTTCTAATAATAATTTTCTTTTAAGTGAAGGTCTTTTTTGTTGTTGTAATTCACAATTATTATTAACAACAATTTCTCTATTATTAGCTATTGGTGGAGGTCGAAAACTTGTTTGTAAAAACATTCCAAGAATATTTAATAAAGAATCTATTCCAAGTATATAACCATCATCTGCACCTGTGTACAATTTATCACCGAGAAAACCGTTAAAAGTGGAATGTGCAAAATCTGAAAATTAAAAGAAAATATATGTAAATGTGTATTAATTAAAGAAAGTTTTGTGAGAGTAGTATACAGTACTTATAAGTTTCAATTTTGCTCGTACCTACTACCACCCGTAATGTACACGTACCTGCCTAATTTTCTGCCCGTACTCGTACCAAAGACAAGTACGAATTTTGGTACGAGTGTATAAACTCTGGTGTATGAGAATCGACATCGATATACATATATCTCGAAAAATATCAATCTCTATGAAATTTATTTTCAAAATCTCGTATCTGTCATTAATTATCAAAAAATAAAGAATATTTTTAAAAATGGAACCAAAATCTATATGGGAAGATTATTAAACCCAAGATTTTAAGAAAATATCACCCCTTCCTAAAAAATATAATTTCTAATCCTCAGACTTTTTAAAATTATTTTCATTTATAAAACTTACCAATCATTTTCACAATTATTCCTCCACCTCCTCTTTGATCTAAATTACTTCCAACACTTATTTTTTCACCATCAAAGGCAATTAGAAGTGAACTAGAGAAAAATCGGAAACCCATGGCTCTAGACAATACTTTACGTAATTTGAGTAGTTCCTTTAATTAAAATAAAGATTTTAATTTAAAATAAAATCAAAAAACCTAAAGAAGGTCTCTTAAAGAATAAACAAAAAATAAGGATAAACACAATTTAAGGACACCGAAAAGAGTTGTGACGGGGAGGCAAATAAGGATAAATACAATATAGGGACGGGGAGGCCATTTACTCCCCGAAAATACCTTCAATGTTTTGCTTCAACTTCCCGTCTACCCGTTTCGTCTCTTTGTCTCTACGGATACCAATCCTAGAAACTCTCCATAGCAAAAATCATCAGAAAATTATCTTTCTTCCTAGATAAATCCCAAATGTTAAAAAAATAAAAAACCTCAATAATTTTCCTCGTTCTTCTCTTTCCAGCTACTCTAAAGAATTTTAAAAGAGCATCACAAAATTGGGAATGATCCATTCGACGTCCCTCATATTTATTTACAAAACTTTGAAAAATTAATAAAATTAATCTTAAAATTAAAAAAATACGTGAATTGATTAGATTGACGATCATATATTTGCATTCCAACTAAACGTACACCAAATTTAGAGCTTGTAGATTGGCGGCTTTAAAAAATAAAAATTAATTTTTAAATAAAACAAAAATTTAAGAGATATTGGTCAATCAAAATAAAACATAGGTGGGCCTAAATAAGACGGGCCTTGAGGAAAAGAATTTTTTAAATGACTAAAAAGTCATTCAATGAAAGTGCTACTACTATGAATTATTTATTTATAAAATTTAAAAAATACTAACCATTTTTGTGTTTGTGTTAACTTTTTTTGTGCAGAAGCATCATCGCCATGTTGTCTAGTTCCTTTAAATAAATTAAATAAAAATTGTTTAAAAATTAATTAAAAACCCATTTTAAGGTCTATAACACAAGGCTTTGAGTATTGCGCCACCAAATCTTCCAAAACGATAAAATATTTATCGGTGCCTTTAAGCAATCGTTGGACAACCTAAAAAAGAAATTTCTTAGAATTCTGTTAATAGTCAAACTTCCCCCCAATTTTTATAATTTAAAAAAAAACCTTGCTCTGACACTGTCCTGCCCATTGATTTCCAATAGACTTTTCTGTCTCAACTTTTCCACTTTTAAGACGGAATGACATCGAAGAAGAGGAATTTGTTGAAGAAGAACAAAAAGAAGAAGAGGATTTAGTAGCCGAGAATTCCTCTAAAGAATTTTCTGTCCCACAAATTTTTGTTGAAGAAGAAATAATTGTTGTAGTTAAAGTATTTGGTGGAATTTGGATTAATTGTGGATGACAATCAACTAAAGTTTCTGTTGACATACTTACTAAAGATTGTTCTTCTTCTGAAGCTGTTTTGGCAATTAAAGAATTATTGTTGTTGTTGTTACATTGAACTTTAATACGTCCTAAGAAAAAGTAAAGGGAAAATATTTTTTAAAAAATAAAAAGCAGATTACTTTTTAATTGGAAGGTTTAATAAAATTATAAACAATATCTGATTGAAATAAAATTTACAAAAATAATAGTGATAGACATTAGAGAAAGATTTTGGTCAGAACTATTTTAGACACTGGAATTTTTAAAAAACAGAATTAAAATATAGGTAAATATAGTCAAAAAAATTTAAGGTACGGTTAAATTGAGAGAAAAAAAGGTGTCATTATTAAAGTAGATCGAAAGTAGAGTATTTAACCGTCCGGTTATCTTTACCTTGTGGCGGGTCTTTTTTCTCTTTTCTATTCTCTCCTCTTTTTGCCCGCTACAGGAAAAAATTAACCGAGCGGTTGACCGGCCACGAACTACTCTAACGAAAGTCGATGTAGGAGAATCGAAAATTCACAAAAAAATAAAAAAATCAAACCACAAAATTTCGCAGTGAAAGGCTTAAACCTCGGATCCAATTGAAGATAAAATTCATATTCTCTTTGATTAAGTAGTTTACAAACATGACCAGAAATTGAAAGAATCCCCTAAAAACATATTTAAATTAAATAAAAAATTAAAAAACAAAAATTCCAAACTTAACCGTTCATTTTGTGTTTAGGTAAATAATTAAAAGCGCCTCCCCACAAACAGGCGTTGCCTTCAAAATATTTTTTTTGCTTTTTGGAGAGCTTGGCAAGCTCAAAAATTAAAAAAATTAAATTTAATAGACTTACAAAATGCCCGCCAACTTGATGCGGAAATCCTGATACTTCCATTATTTTTTATTATTGAAAAATAAGTAAAACTAATTTTAATCTGAAAAAAAAAGAAAAAATACTCGAAAAAATATTTTTTACAAATCATCAAATTAAAGATATTTTTGTTCTCTTCTCGTTTTCTCTAATTTTAACAATTTAAACAAAACGCCAAAAAATTAATTAATAATTAATTAAAATCCCCGCGTATTTAAATCTTTAAATGATTGGAGTAATTAATGCCTCTAATCCCCTTTTCGATCATAACTTTTTATATCTTTAACTAATCTGAACAATTTTTTATATAAATCGAAAGCTTATTATTTTACTTAAAAGGACCTATTCATTTCAATCATTTTAGAAAAAGTTAGAGCCGAGAAGGTGTTAGCAATCGTGACATTTTAAAGAAGTAAAGGATTAGACCGAATTCCCTTATAAACATGTTTCGATTAATATTAAAAACTGTTCGAACTGATTGAAGATTTAAAAAGTTTTGGCTAAATAAAATTTAGATAATTAAAATTAGGTTGTTGGCGACCGGTTAAAAACCGTTACCCTCGGTTTTCGTTATCGCCGGTTTTTGACCCCCGGTTTTCGGTTCGTTTAACCGACCGCCAACAACCCCAATTAAAATGCACAAACAAGCCCACATTCAAATAAGTAAGGAAAGGAAACCCCCCCCCCCCCCCCCCCAAAAAATCTAATTTTGTAAATTTTATCGATTTCATCATTGGATAAAGCAAATAAAGGGCTATTAAAATTGAATAAAAAAAATTGGTACTTATTTAGTTCCCCCCCCCCCCCCCCCCCCCAGTCAGTTTTTTCGAAAAATATGTAAAAATGGTCAGTCTGAACAACAATTGTAGAACCCATCGAGCTGTGTCGAATGACACCAAAATCAACGTAATCGGACAAGATTTGACAAAGTTATGACATTATTTAGACCTGCCGGAGTCGACAATTTATGTCATATCTTTGTCAAATCAAGTCGGATCACGTCGATTTTGGTGTCATTCGACTCAGCTCGACGAGCTCTTTCGAATGAGCTATCATTTTTATAAATTCTCGTCCATAAGATTTTACGCCCCAGTGGTTCAGGGGTCTGTATCTCGGTCCAATCAAGTCGGATCTTGTTGATTTTGGTGTCATTCGACACAGCTCGATGGGTTCTACAATTGTTGTTCAGACTGACCATTTTTACATATTTTTCGAAAAAACTGACTGGGGGGGGGGGGGAAACTAAATAAGTACCAAAAAATTTTGGATTTTAAAATTAATGGGGGATGAATCATGAAAGAAAAAATGGATGGAAAAGACTAACTTTTCTTTTTTTAAACTCAAATTTAATTTGTCAAAAAGGGACTAAAATAGACTACAAAAAGTAAAGACAAAAAAATAATATTTTAAGAATTTAATTAGTAATTAGTTTGTTAAATAATTAAAAACAAGGAAGTTTTTATTTAGTTAAAATATTTGTATTTTTTAACGAGAATTTTTTAAAAAATGAGTGAAGCGTTCTAAATTTTGATAATCAGGTATGTTTTGATGTTTTGATTATAAAGGTAATGTTTTTTAAATTAAAGCAAATGTTCGAGATTTTCGTTTTAATTTCTAGAGTGTTTAAATAATTTGTCTTATTGGTGAAGAGGAACGGCTGCCCGCTGGTAGCTTTAATTAATAAATTATTCAGATTTATTGAGGACTAAATTGCGGACTGGGGGTTATTTCCCCCTAACTCTTAATTAAACTAAACTTTCAATTAAACTTAAAAATAAAAACAAAAATAAGGTGGAATTTTAGGGAAATTTTGACACGGGGAGAGGGATACCAGAGACGGGCAACAGAAAATCCCAAAAATTCTTCACAGAGGGGAGGGGTCTCAAATAAAATGAAATTAAAAGTGAATCGTCTGACGGCGAATTATCCCGCAATAAAATTATATTTTTAATAATTTTTGTCTATTTTTTAAACAAAAATCTTTTTATTAAAATAATGATAACACAAAAATTAACAATTAAATATATTTTCTATCAAGGAAAGGTTTTATGGACCCAAAGACAAATAAAAAAAGATAATAAAAAATGGCAATAAAAAAATAAATTTTTGCAATAATAAAAGGTATAAAATAATATTAAAATTATTATTTTCTTATGACAATGAAGGGGGGGGGAGGGAGTTATTAGATAAGAATGATTTAAATAAAATTTAAAATAAATGGCGAGATTAAATTGTAGTAAACGATTTTAATTTTTTAATTAAACTTCGATTTTAAATAATAAAAAGTAAATAGAAAAGTAGGGGAAATTTAGAAATTTGTTTGGACTTGGGGTACTTCGTACCACACCAATTACTGATTGGTATATGAGGCCAGTACAGCTTAGTAGTTACTCGTACTTATGAAATAAACAAAATCTAAAATTTTTATGATTTTCTGATTATTGTTTTTCTAAGATAAAAGTGTACATATGTATTAATTATGTTCGGAGTTATAAAAACCCCCGGGAATCGGTAGACGGGAGTCGGATCGGGAAATATCTTCGGGAGTCGGGATACCCGAACTTCACTAGTACATATTATGTATTTTAAATTGAAAGGGGGTATTACTTATTGTTAGAAGACAGCCTCCTCACTCCTCCTCTCCCTCCCACTCCATTCAACCTAAAAAATGTACATAGAATTGAGGTCAGCTTGTATTAGTTAATTTTTGATTTATGATCAAAAAAATCCTCAAAAGTTTATTTTAATAATCTCCAAAAAGAATCTAAACAAAAAACGTCAAATAATCATTTAATTATAGACACACACACTTTTTTAAAAAAAAATAAAAATATCTTTTTTCAGTCAATTTTTATTATTTTCTTCTTAACTTAATCCACCCACAAACAACCAGCTACTACTTAAATGAAAAAAATATTTTTTAAATTAAATATTTAGTTACTTTATATACGAGAGAGAGAGAAAGAAGCTTTATGGATTTATTTAAAAAAAGACATATGACAATAAAAAAGCTAAAATAAAATAGAGAAAATAAAAGCTTAATATAGCCAGTCACAGACTTCAATTTTAAATACAATTTTTAAAATTTTGTTGGCCATTAGTGGGGGAGGAAGAGAGAAGAGGAAGGGGGGCTACATACATATATGTCTAAGACCTAAATAACGGACAAACTCGATTTTAATACAATTTTACAGCCCAAATGGTGTTTGGAGTATGTAAATAACGGGTAAAACTTTCAAAATCCCCTATTGTCTTTATTAAGAATAGCTGCACAATTGTCTAAAGGGATTAGTGTTTTGTATGAAATTCCAGTTTTAATTTATTTTAAAAAATAATGATCCGGGTAAATGTAAGAATTATAACTTACCTATAAATAATTCGGAACTTCCGGTTTATTTTTTCTCTGGAGAAACTTTAAAGGGGAAGCGTTTTGGCGAGACTTAACCCTCTATTCACGCCCCTTCCATTAAAGCATCAACTTAATTCGGCCCCGAAGGTAACGTCTTAATCAGATTTAACCGTATATTTAAAAAATTAATTTTAATAAAAGAAAACTCTCCCGTTATTTTCAGACAATAAAAAAGTGTCAATGGAATAAAAGAATAAAATAAAAGTTTTTTCCAGTTTTTTCTTTCCTTTCCTTCCCCCTAAGGCTAGTAAAATAATATCGACCGTTTTTGGTCGCGTGGTACACGCAAAAAGCTTTTTTTCTTTTAAAATACGTTCATTCTCTCTTTTAGTGTTAAGCTTCAATTAGTTGTATATTTAAATAAAAAAGGAGGGGGAAATTTTGGTTGGAAATAAATTGGGGGTTGTAGAGATGTCAGTGGTTAACTGAAAGCCGAAACAAGACCCGAGACTTAGAAAATTTATGAAAACCCCTACCCGATTTTTTCCTCAACCGAGACATTCTTGACGGAACTTGACACTATGTAATATGTATTAGCAACGGAAAATTTTTTTGAAAAAATAGAGTTGAAGCAAATGAGAGTGTCAGTTACATTACAGTCAGTCCCTGGGGGGCCTCTTATTTAGTATTTATATGTAGGCTGTCTCGGTAATACTTTGGGAAGTCACCCCATTTTTTCCTTTCTATTATTTTCTATTTTTTCTCATTAAACATCTACGATCTGAGTCGAATAACACTAAAATCAACGAAATCTGACTTAAGTTAACAAAGTTTTGATTAGTTTTTTTATCCCTTGAAACGGGACAAGATGTTTTTCTAGTATGGATTCAGCTTTCATATTTTTGTTCAGAATGATCAAATTTAAACAATCATTGCATCATCGACCCAGCTCGAAAAGCTCTCTTAACTATATGATAAATTATACATCAAGCAAAAAAGCTCATAATGGTCAGGGAAGGGGGGGAGGTAAGTTCCAAAGTATACGGTATTATTATTACTTTAATTTTTATTGCTTAAAAATAAAAATTTTTAATTTAAAAATTTGAGTGTGTGTGAGAATATTAAATAAAAAAATATTTTTTAATAATAAATAAAAAATAGTAAAATTGCGTAAATAAAAAAATAAAAGAAAAAGTTTGTTTGCACTCACAAAATAATAATTATTTTTTAAAACGCGTGACGCACCGAATGCTTTTTTAATTAAAAATATATATCCATCCACACACACAAATATTATTTTCCCATTTATTAGTCACACAATCCTTTATTTGTTTGGCTACTTTACTATAAAGATTATTAAAAATAAAGAACAAAAGAAAGAAAGAGAGAGAAGGAGATGATAGAAACAAAGGCTAAAAAAGTTTCTTATAAAAAAAGAAAATTTCTCAAAAGTTAAAAATAAAATATTTTAAAAATAATTTTTAAAAGTTTGTTAAAAGAAGATTTATTTAAAGAAAAGATTAAAATAAAATTTTCTTTTCTTTTTTTTCTTCAATGAACAAACATTAAACAACAACCGCTTTTTAAATTTTTTTTAACTTTTTTGTGGATGAATCAATAAATTTTTGGGTAAAAAAAAGAGAGGAAAGGAAAATTTTTTTCAATGGTGAAACAC